GGCTCTGGTTGTAGCGGTGGCGGCGTTGACTCGAGTGAACCTATTTCACGGCAGACACCCTTCTATGAGGAGGACACGCGATCGCGTCAAAGGTAACTCTCATGATATTCAAAATTTCTTCATATAAAGCATGTGCCGGCGACATAAGTACCAAATAGATTATGTGATTCGAGCCCTTACATGGTCACTATATGTGAATTGTCTGACTAGTGGATGAGACGAGACCCACAGGATAGACCTACTACTACATGGCTGCAACATCTAAACGCCTGCTAACTAGCTGAGCCAACATCAAATATTTTAGCCATGAAGGAGCTGGTTTGGTATCTGGCAGATGGGTGGAACAAGATGCCCAGGATAGTCCAGCTGCTTCATGGATATTACATGTTGACATGTGCCAGCCAGCTGAGTTAACATTAAATATTTCAGCTGCGATGGAGCTGTTTCCTGATCTGACAGGTGGATGGGATAAGATCTTCGGCATGCTCTTCCTACTACATAGTTGTCATGTCTGAACATGTGCCAACCAGCTAACCTAACATCAAACCTTTCAGCTGCTATATAGCTGACTCCGTATCTAACCCATGTGCGTCGACGTATGCGTCCAATGAAATTAGAAAACGTGACTACGAGATATCATACATTTGGCAGTGTAGTGTATCGGAGAACCGGTATTTGCCTATCTCTCATAAGCATGAGTTGTACCGAAGTGTAGCATCTCTTCCAGGAACGAAGGTTTTGCTGCTCTATTGGTCGATTATTGTCATGCACACTCAAATGTATAGGACAAGTAGCATCATATTGGTAGCGAACTTGTACTGCGCATGCTCGTCCTTCTCCGACCTAGCATTCTCCGACCTGTTCGTCTGACTGAACTTGCGCCCGCGCTCTCTGTCGGGATTTTGCTACAGGATGTAGCAGATGGTCGAGATATCTGCGCAGCGGTCAGAAGGGACGTGCTCGGCGCTTCTGGTCTTTGAAACGATGGTCCAGCTTTGTAAAAGGCAGACCGAAGGGTATTGCGGCTTTGCACAGCTTTGCAGAAGGGCATTTTTTCTGGCTGCTTCGACGAGATGGACTGGTGGTCCAAGTGTGGATAGATTTATGTAAGAAAGGGTTTGCTACTGGTGACTTCCGTGGTCCTAATGCCGGTATATGTACTACAAGAAGGCAAATCCATTCGTCTCCCCGCAGTTTAGCTTACGGGGAGCCTCGAGGGGTGTGGAGGGCCGTTGAAGGTATCATGAATATCATTCACCTGCTTGACACTTTTACTACTCTTCCAGGATAAACGGTCCAGAAGGTTCCATGTGAACTGGCCTTAAAACATCGGCAGGATGTTTCACTAGAGCCTGACGTGCGCAGCAACAGGAAAGGAGAACATACTGCGATCCGCAGTAAACACCGAGGATATCAAAGAAGAAATGACATAAATTCTGAAGCCGGGATGCTCATAAATGGACACTTTGCAGCTTTCTGTGAGTGAAGCTCCTCAAAGATGCACGGTATCCTAGACGAGAGAGCTCGCTTACTGGCGCCGGACCACGTCGTACCTCTTCGTCAAGGTGGGCCCCTTTGCTAATCCACCCGGCCTGACAGATACCAACAGTGCATGTAGCTCATGTCTGGAAAGCGGCGAAGACGTGGACCAGGGCTTACGAAAATGATCCTGAAATGCAATACCTCAGGATGGTGAGAAAACGTTGTGCTCGGTCTTCGAACGGAGGGACTGAAATTCAGTCTTATAGAGCCACAAGCAATCAGGCCTCGAGAAGGCAATGGACAGAGTTGTTATGGCAGCTCTGATGTCTCTGCTTAGGAAGCGAAGAATTGCTCTTACAGTTGACGACGGTACAGCCTTTGTCTTTGCGTAAGTAGGAGTTCTTGGAGGCGCAGTTTGGAGACAAGTGCTGACCTGGTGAGATAGGGCTCCTTCTGTTGTTCCAGAGCCAACTGGTCCCCTCGACCGAGCGGCTACCGTGATCATACGAATTCTGACTTCCATTCTGCAGAGGAAAATAGTGTCGTCGGAGCGGCGCAAGGTAAGCTACCTTTCGAGGCATGCTGGCCAATTTTAACAAAAGTCAGAGAAACCAAGAGCTCGAAGACAAGACCAAGAAGGCGATAGAAAACTCGTTGGGCGATCGGGTGAAAGACATGGTCACAATTATGATTCTAGCCACAGATCCAGAGAGCCGAGGGAGAGGGTATGGAGGGAGTCTTCTCGACGCCGTCACCTGCCTGGTACGAGTTTTGCGGTTTGTTTCGCTGTCTTGCTTTTAAAGGACCGCAGGCGGACGTCATGGGGCAATCATCGTGGTTGACATCGAGTAATGTCGCCAACACAGAATTTTACAGAATCCACGGTTTCAAGCCGGTTGCCGACGTCGTTCTGGGCGATGACAATCCTAAATGGCATGAGCGGCCGGTGGTAGTTAAATTGGTATGCTCGTATAAGATCCTTCTTTCCGATCGGGTTGTTCACTAGTTGTCCTAGATGGTGAGAGCACCTCACGGGCGGATTGCCTGATTTTCCAGCGATCATTAATACCATAAAGAATGCCGGATTCACCGAGAGTCCAACGTCGTACTTACACCTGTGTCAACATGTCTTGAGCATCTATCCATATATCCCTCTGTTTCCATATCTCTGCAACAATCGTAACGATGATCCAACACGACGTTTCTCCCATCTTGCCTTCTGTACATGGCCGGATGGTTGGAGAAGATTGGAAATTTTGTTCCCGTTTGATGGCTTTGAGTAGAGCAAGACAAGCTCTTGCAAGGTTGCGAAGAAGGTTCATGTCGTCCGCTGAGATGTAGTCGTCGATGCGCGAGAGTAGAGCGAACATCCAACGGGCATGTGATTCCAGAGGTAGATAGACGCTGGATTCTGGCGTGTTGAGATATTGTTGGATCCAGTGAGCAAAGTACATCAGTAAGTGCAAGGCCATCCGCTAGAGGGCGAGGTCAAAATCTAATTTATCAAGAAAGTAAGAAACACACTTCATCAATAAGCTTCAGGAGCGTTGTTGTAGGTTCTCGTGGAGAGATGCTCTGCCTAGAGGTTTGTCCTGCCACAGGTCCAACACCCGGCTGACGATGTTCTTCTAGATACCCCAGCGGCACGGGTGTGGCCACAGGACTGGGCAATGACTCGGCTGGATCCAATTTCAGAACCTGCTCCACTTCACCCTCATCATTGCTGTGCCAAGGAGCATGTGAAGTAGCAGCGTGGCTCCGTTGGGGTTCGTCTGCCCATGCACGCATTCCCGGAGGAGGTTGTCTCTTCGATTTCGCTTTTGAGGCCTTGAGTGGAGCCCATTGTGATTCAGGTTTCCCTGACAAAAATTCCCACCAAAGGTCCCTGTCTCTCTTGTCTGGCATCAGTCGGCGGGTGGGTTCGCTCGCAGGACCCACATGTATGGTTGGTTGGCTGAAGTTCTAGAGGATGATCAGTAAAACGCCATCTGTCCAAACTTCAGCAGTTACCTTGCGAAAATTCTGGAATCTCAGCTCAAACATGCCTCGCCACTGTTCGGATGGCAAACAAGGAGAGTCAGAGGAGGTTTGGTCATCTGAACTGGAGGCGTCCGGTGGCGGTTCTGGCTTTTCATAAGGATTAGGAACGCGAACGATGTCTGGTAGCTGACGCGCATCTCGTCTGTAGAATATGATGTTTAGATATCATTATCTCATGGGTGACTTCAAGCGCCGTACCGAACAGTGAACAGATATTGCATCCCATCCATCGGTTCGTCGTTGAAGTCATACGGTAGATTTGCAACTGGCAAAATTTGCTTGCCATACGCGGGTTCATCTTCGTCAGAATCTTCGAAATCTTCTCTTTTGCGTTTAGAGGGCATCATTTCGGATCGGAGCGAGACGAGTTGGCGGTGGTGATGGTGATGATGGAAAGGAGGCAAAAAACGCTTGCTGGGGATAACAGGCGGAGCGATTTACGGTGCCAGCCCGAACTAATTTCTGAAGACAAATTGAAACATCATCTCTTCAGGCTCGCACCACCTCTGTCTCTGTCGTTGCCCGATACATGTCAGAATAATTTGGTTTATATCTCTCCAGATGAGCTCAGACAATATCGACGAGGATTCCATCGACGTTGAGGCTCTTCAAGCCCAAATCGACTTGTCTATGTCTTTTGCTCAAGGTCTGGTGACTTCTTGGATGGATCCTCGCAAATTTCCAACCAATTCTCACCGGAATGACCTGGAGAAAGAACTGTCCGAGTATATGAAGCGACCTTCGAGGTAAGGTGCGTCACTTCAGCCACGACACTGGTTTTGTTCATTGATTCAATTTATAGGCTAGGTGTTGGGGCATCTATTCCTGAGGGCCACCAGAGCATATCCAGAGAGACAGCTCGCCTGAAAGGAAAACTCGTCGGGTCTAAAAGACCTCGTGAAGAGGACGGGGTTACCGCCCCCAAGGCGGAATACGACGATGAGCACGAAAGCAGGGCCACCGCTATAAAGAAGAAACACCGTCTAGATCCTTTTGACGTAGTCCACGGGAAGAAGAAAAACAAAGCACCACCATCCAGTCCTCCTGCTCTCTCGCCCCAAGTTGGACCATCTCAAAGTCCAAAGCAAGCTAATTTCGGACAGAAGGCGGACGAGCCTACAGCTGGTCTCAATAGCTTCTCTCCCCTTGATGCCTCTCCAAAGAAAAAGAAAAAGAAGCGCAAAAAGCTCGCTGAAGTACAGGGGGATGAATCGCTGGCAAAAATCGCTTCGACGTCTCATCAAGGTTCCGAACTCCCCATTCGCGAGCAAACACCTCCGCCTCCTCCGACTATTGCACCTGCCCCTTCTACTCCACCACAGGACCTAGGTAAGCTCATATGTTGACAACTACGTAATCGTGCTAAGAGTTCTCTAAGATGAAGTCCATGATGAGCTGATGGCTGTTTCACCTGCGACACCGACTAGCCCTCCAATGAAACTGGCCCAAGGCAAATCGATCCCTGCTGACTTGTTGAGGCGGCCTTTGCTCAATTTGACTAGGCCTCCGCCAAGCGACGAAGAATCCGACGACCATGTTGCAGAAACCCCTTCAGCAAGCCCGAAGAAGCGCAAGCGGAAGAAGAAAAAGAAACACCAAGCCAACGGCGATCCCTCTCCAGCCACACCTTCCACAGCACCAACTATTCCCGCATCCTAATGGCGATATATTTTATATAAATTAGGTATCGAGTTTTCTAATCTATCTCGTGCTATCCTGTCCGGTTCGGTTGTCCATGATCTTCGTAAGAGTTCGTGCATATCGTGGCTAGTAAATCAAGGTCGGAGGGAAAGTGGAGGTCCATCATCGCGCATGGTGGCGCTATACAGTCTGGGTCACCAACTCCTGAGAGACGAGGATTTGAACGCCGATACCAGTGCGTGGAGATGAGCACATCGGCTCTCGTTCCTTCTCGAACCTGCGAGCTCGCCGGCGGTCAATGGTGCTCCTGATTGCGATATCTCCAAGGATAACACACTCCAGAGGATCCAGCATAATCTGAATCTTCTGTGTGACCCTCATGGCTTGCGGTACAGCGATTTGAAAGTTGAACAGGGTCATTTCCTTCAAGTCCCGACACGACAGAACGATGGTCATTGCGATGAAGGCGCCCAGCCACGAAGCCGTCAAAAGGTAGGGCGCAATCACATAACCCACTGGCAGCACCGGCGCGTCGTCTGGTCTTTTATACGCCAGGATGAGTATTGCAACGTGGTAGCCCATGGTGAGGATAGCAAAGAATGGGTTCAAGCACAGCTAGTAGGAGCACACGTCATCAATACTTGTTCCGCCAACAAATGCTGGCCCGACGGCTCAACTCACCGACAGAATACCACAGTCTCTGATGGACAGAATTAAGATTAGGAGTGCGATGAATAGTGAAAAGCAATGAAGGGCGATTATAGACTGAGCCAATGGTGCGGGGGAGGGCATTCCAGGATAACCAGTGGCCTGCACCAGAATATCGCCACTCAGGAGGACATTTCGAAATGTGGAGGGTATTTAAACTTCCACTGAAACGAGACGCCCGATGTGTTCCCGCGTTTGTGTGTCACTGAAGGGATGGCGTGATGGAGGGCGGCAAGGACAGCGCCCAATGTAACGAATATTGACCCATGCCCACGTTTAAGCGACCGGGTAATCGAATGGCCTTAACGCTCGGAGTGAAGCAAATTCATCGATGGAGGAGCGCATTTTTCTCCTTTCTTCTGCAGGCCACGGTATAACGAAATTGAAAAATGCGCTCATTCAGGAAACGAACGAGGGGAGGACATTCAACGAGCTCGAGGTAAGAGCATACCACACTGGTAGACTATATGTCTAAATGACATGGCAAATCAAGCCTTGACAGGGATGATGCGCGCCGGTACAAGGTAAGCTGCGGCCAAAAATAAAACATCTGGAGGCTCATGGTAAGTGCGTGGACTCTTCGGTCCTGCAGTTGCACAGGTCTGTCGTGGGTAGTTCATATACATATCTGGACAGCAGACATCTGAGTCTTGATGCGCCCAAAATACACACAAGCTTTCTGCAGGCCGTTATCTACGCCGCTTGTGATTGTGCCAATTGACACCGGGCACCAAACCCCGTCGGAATGACAATGTCCCTCTCACTGGACAAGTAAAATCATACAAGATGTATACAAGGCCGACATTCAACGAGTGTACAGATACGTCATAAAACTGGTAATACAAAGAAAGTCTCCCCCAAAAGAAACCAAAAACCAAAAATACATCGATTAAATATTAGGAATGATGTCCACGCGAAACTCTCGCTCTCGAGATGGTAGTGAGTTGTTGTTGAGGCACTGGTCGGCGGATCCAAATGTTAGTGCGAAGGAATAATAGACAGGTGAAATATGGTTAACGACGACTTGATCTACGCGAGTAGCCGGGGCGGGATGAGGGCCCCGGTCGGTGGTTGCGGTCACTCGATCGCTGTGAAGTGCCAGATGGTCGAGGGGGTGGTCTCACTGCCCGTGATCCATGGGTAGTGTTAGCGGGACGAGGGCTTGGTCGTGAAGGCCCAGTACCCTGCGGCCTTCTCGAGAGCCGAGCTGGTTGCCTCTTGTCCTTGTTTTTCCTCAGGCTGAGGAATGAAAAGAGGCTCCCTGACTGAGAACGTTGCGCCTTCTCCTTGACATAACGCTTGCGTGCTCCAGCGTCTCTCATCTCGCGTATGCCCTGTGCCGCAAATGTTTGGGTAAGTCCTCGATACCTCCATGAGGCAACGTAGTCTATCCTGACCTTGGACCGGAGATCTTCATTGCCTATGAGAGTCCCTCTCATCTTTGCTAGCCAGCCGTGCATAGCGGAGGGAGGTGGCTTGCGTCTGGAGCCATCCGAACGAAACTAGCGGACATCGGAGGCGTAGCGACATGAGCGATTGCTATGCAGAATAATCGGAAAACTTACTGATGAGCTCCATTCAATCTTCATGTCGCGGGACGTAAGGTGGTAAGAAGAAAAGAAGGCTGATAGAAGGTGAAAGTTGTGAAGAGAGCGGGGTTGTGGGGATCAAGCCTGGAGTGCAGCCACGACAATTTGTAGTCGACGCTGTGGGAGTGACATTCATTCCGTCACATCACCTCATTGCATTCATCAAGTTTCCCACCTATGAAAAAACCATCGTGGTTTCCGCATGCTAGCCGTCCAGGGTCTTCGTGAACTCGGAACAATAGCACCTAGAAGTGTGACGCCCATGGGTTGCGGAAGAGGGTTAAAGTCGAACGATACTGCCCACTCGATTCATTGGGGCTCGGAATCGAGCTCGAATGTCATATCGTCATAGTGTGCCGTTCCGTCCCAGGACTGACTCGTGGCTAAGGTCCGTAATCCGAGGGCCGCATCTGTTCTGAACAAGAGATCTTCCATTCAAGCTCCAGCACTGCAAGAAAGGAACAAGGCTAACATGTTGTCAAGATTTCAATGTTGCGCTACAAGATTGGCGCTTATCCAGGAGATCGACGACCGAATAGGAACACACTGGGAACACAGGGTGTCTTCTCGGATGTGGGACAGGAACGTCATCAAAGCCCGTAGGATGTCCGCGAGCCGTGGCTTCTTTGCCCAACGTGTGACACCGCCATAGCAATTGCACGCCTTCCGACGCTATTTCCCAGAAAGGAATCCCACGTGTGGCCCGCGGCAGGCACAGATCCTCCTCTGCAGGCAAGATATGCGCATCGCCTTGACTTTTCTTCTGGCTGTCCCCACCATTAAGTTCCTGACACTGCTTTATTTTCTCTCTCTTTGTCGCACCAAGGTCGAGGGCAATGGCGACGGGAGTCTGTTTCTCCGCGAGCCCTCAAGCATTCGGTGGTCGACCTCGCCGCGCTAAGCTGAGCGGGTACATAACGAGCCATGTGCTCCTCGAGGAATGCATCTCAAAAACCCACTGTGCTAACTCATTAACAGCTCAAGCACGTAGACGATGGGCTGGAAAAACATCAATGCCGTTGTGGAAAACAGGCTTTTCCTGGGAAAGTAGGTGGCTCTGTACTGTATCTGGGTGCCTGTCAACCTAACCTGTCTGTTCGGTTTAGCATCATGGCCGCACGCTCGACGCGCTCTCTGACAGAAAACCGCATAACCCATATTGTTTCCGTTTGTACAGACCATATCCCCGCTGAACTACCAGAAGCAGGCATATGTCATATGCGTATCGGCGTCGAAGACGTGGATTACGCAGATCTCTTAATCCACTTGCCATCCGCGTGTCGGTTCATTGATACGGCTCTGCGATCCGGAGGTGCCGTCCTTGTCCACTGCGTGCAGGGAATCTCCAGGAGCGCGGCCGTTGTTGCAGCCTACAGTAAGTGTTCGTCCCGTCCTTTCCGCAAATACTCTGAACTCCATTTTAGTGATGTGGTCTCGTCGCCTCAATGCCACGCAGGCTCTAGAGGTCGTCAGACACGGTAAAGCTCACATCACTCATATTTCAGAACCTATACTTACGACTCTTGTAGCACGCGACCAAATCTGGCCCAACCCTGGCTTCCAGGAGCAACTTGTGCTCTTTGAACTGTGCCAATACGCGCCTTCCCCTTCCAACGGCATTTATGTCAAGTGGCGAACTCAGTTGGAACGCCGACTCGCCGCTGCTGGCTTACGATAAAGCGCTCCTTTAATTGCATGGATTCAGCAAGCTTATTTGAAACCCTCTCTTTGTGTTATCATTTATTTGGTTATTCCAGGACCCACTTGTAGCCTAGTTCTATATTACCGACCGCTATGTAATTGTAGTCTTCGTACTTTCCTATCTGACATTCGTCATGTATTTATGCAACTACATAGAAGTTCTTTTCGAACAGCTTGACGCTCGCTCGTTTGGTGTGACATTGTGTGGCGCATTTGAACAAGGACTACTGTGACTTCGTCCATATGAGTCCACAAACCGGTGATCGCCGCTCTTGCCAAATGCGTCCCTGGTGGTAGATTTCTGAAAAGCACAAGGAGGCAAGTTGAATGTGGTTCAAGTAAATTATACATTGGTGCTACGAGATGCGATGAACGCGTCCGGATTGCTGGCCGAAATCACCGGTAGTCATTTTCCCTCATCCGCTGGTGGGCCAGCCGGAGTGACTACTGTGTACTGTCAGACGGGTCCGAGCGGTGTAGATGAAGAGGATGCGGATGGATATGGATTGTGACGAATGCGCAGACTTGAGCTGCGGCTGAATTAGGTGGTCGATACGTGGCGATGGTGGGGATGGCAGTATATAGGGAGGGGCGTGTTTGTCACCTGGCGGAATTTCAATTTGCGATCCCACGCAAACAGTCTCTGTTCGCTGTCGCCAGCATCTTCACTTTCACCACCTTGCATTTCTCTTCTCTCGCAAACCATGGGCCTCTCTGTCTCTCGTCTTCTCTCTGGCCTCTTCGGCAAGAAGGAGATGCGTGCGTACCCCTCTTATCTCGCCGCCCTGCTCGTTCACTGACACCAGACTCTCAATAGGTATTCTGATGGTCAGTTCCGACCTTTTCTCCCTCTTCCAGCACTCTTACCGTGCTTCGATAGGTTGGTCTTGATGCCGCTGGTAAGACCACCATTCTCTACAAGCTTAAGCTTGGTGAAATCGTCACCACTATCCCGACAATCGGTGAGTTGGCCCCACTGCACCGCCCAACCCGCCTTCTGACGCCAGATCGCAGGATTCAACGTCGAGACCGTTGAGTACAAGAACATCTCATTCACAGTGTGGGATGTCGGAGGCCAGGATAAGATTCGCCCGCTCTGGAGGCATTGTAAGTCCCATCCAGACCCCTCCCGAATATGTACCTCATAGGAGCGCCTTCTACAGACTTCCAGAACACCCAGGGTATCATCTTCGTCGTTGACTCGAACGACCGAGAGCGTGTTTCCGAGGCTCGGGAAGAACTCCAACGGATGTTGAACGAAGATGAGCTCCGGGATGCCCTTCTCCTTGTCTTCGCCAACAAACAGGATCTGCCCAACGCCATGAATGCTGCTGAGATCACCGATAAGCTTGGTCTCCATGGCCTCAGACAGCGAACCTGGTACATTCAGGTGAGTTCGCTGCTTCCTGTGCATCAACCAACTGACTTGACCGATCCCACCAGGCTGCGTGCGCTACATCTGGAGACGGTCTGTATGAGGGTCTGGAATGGCTGAGCGCGAACATCAAGCGCCGAGTATAATCGGGTTTCTTCTCTCTGCGTCTGGGTACCTTATTAGCATCGTTATACGTGTTACGATCCCTTCATGATACCGAAAACGTATTCACCGCTGTTCATATCGCTCTCAGTTCATTTACTAGTTCCCGGCCACCTCTTTCTTTTATCTTCAACCGCGTTGCCAATTCTTCGTCGAAGCCCCGGCGTGTGCACTGAGATCACTCCTCTATAGACCAGTGGTTTTGCTATACATGTCGTAGTTTACAATCTGAGTGATTGGAGAATGAAAATTGGGCAATGCCGCCGAAGTACATGGCAATCACAAGGTTAACGGCTTTCACCAGGAAAAAGCCGCCCAACTACCTCTGCCTCTTTCCGTCTCCGTTCAGCCAAATCGCGTGAGGTTGGATCGCGTTGTTGGGTGCCATAGCGTGCCAGCTTCTCAAGCAATGCCTGCAAGCGTTTCGGCTTGACTGATGTATAGGATGCCTGTCTGTTGGCTGGGATAAGGTATTCCTGAACAGTTCCGCTCAGAGGGATGGATGTTGTCTATTCCGGTATGTCATAACCAGTTCACCGGGGTAAGGGGTACCGACATACCATCCGAAGTTCACTGAACACCGATGCCAAATGAGAACGCCCGATTCTTCTCAGTTCCTCTTCCAAGAAGTCCACGTCGATGAGAATGTTGGAAATGGCGTTCTCGTTCATCATGGGTATGTCATGACCGGTCAGAAAGTTCTGCAGATCTGAAAAAAGGCAATGTTTTAATTAGATGAAGAGAAGACACGCACCATAAGGCACTCCGCGATGTATCCCAAAGCACCCTTATATGCGTCTTCCTTGTAGCTCTCTTTAATGACCAAGGAATCGACGACGGTCGTCAGCCAGTTGACGAGCTCGTACAGGTACATGCTTGGAGACGTTTCTCTTGAGTTGGGAGTCCAGTCGTACTCGGAGAGCTCAAAGCATTGATCGAGTTTGGACGAGATAAGGGAATTCATCCGTGTGCAAGAGCGAGAGATTGTCGCTTCGAATGCATTCGCCGCCGTAAACCGAATGAGGCCACCTCGTTGTGTAGAGCTACAGAAGAGGGTGTTTGTTAAGTGACGTATTGTGATTGAGTGGTCTGTCAGGGATCACTCACCGGAGGTTCGTCAGAGACCTTTCCAATTCGCCGCATGCCACTTGGAAGTGCTCAAGATTTGTGATGATTTGCACTATTTGTGTAGGACTTTGGGTGGTGGCCAGCCGCTGACCAATTGTCTCGCCGACGCTCTTTGAAAGAAGGGAATCGAGAGACTGAGAAAAAAGACAGCTATCATTAGCAGCTCAAGTTGAAACAAAGAGAGGTATCCTATCCCTACCTTGCTCAAGAGCTCATCGATATCTCTATGATGTTGAGAAACGCCTTCCACGAAAGCATAGAACTTCTGAATGAATGCCCGGATCTAAAAAGACGAGAATAAGGAGAAGCGTGACAAGGGAACGAAAATAGCGCGCACGTCTTGGCAGCATAGATAGAAAGTTGGCGACCATGGTAAAGAATAAGATCCAGCCGTCCTATAGATAGATGCGATTGTCAACACGGTCATCGGAGAAGAAATCGACTTACTCCCTTATTTCGGCCTTCTCACTCTCGTTTATCCAGACCGCGTTTAGAATATCTTCAAGGTTCATATCGTTCTCTAGTCTCATGGGATAATGTTCGTCCTCGGTGACAATCTGGACGATCAGGTCAACTCGTCGGTCCAGTGAAGAGCTATTGGGGTTTACCTTCTCGAATCGCAGGGTAAATTGACCTTCAAGTAACTTGGCGTATTTCTCGAACAGGACGATAATGAACGAATGCAACGAGGTCGTGGAGTAGGAATAGGTCTGAGGGCATTTCCTGGGTGAACAGGGTCAAGTGGTGTTAGACTGCTTCGACTCACCTCCAGGGTCATGATGAAGCTCAAAAGGCTCTCCTTTACCCTCAGGAAGGCGTCTGGGTCCGTTTCTGGACGCAAGGAGCTCTCGATGGCTGTGGTCAATCGAGTAACGAGCGCATCCCAAAGCTCTTCGACATCTCTTCCCGAGCGGAAATTCCCGGTTGTTTCCAGGACATGGGACTCGACTATGAAAAATCCTGAGATTTCCTGTGTCAAAGAGGAGAGCGAAGCAAGGGGGAGAGGAGTTGGAAGAATGAGGTCGGATTGAGCCTATGAATCAAACAGCCGTTAACAACGACGACGGGAAACAGAAAATGCTGCTGACCTTTCTGTCAGCTTGGTACGATTTCTGTAGCTCGTTTAGCGAATCCAGTGTGGTGTAGATGTGTATGCATTCAAAAAGAGGTTTGAAGTCCACATGAAGCTTCTCGTTATCTAGCACATTGACTTTACAGAGTTGAGATTAGCGCCGGGAGAAAGGACATAAGTGAGCGCTCACACTCAATCTTCTCGTATGTGATAAGCTCGACCGCACTCCCGACTCTGTTGGACCGGAGTAAAAGGTCCTTTTCACGCCGTTGTCGCCACCGTCGCGTTCGGGATTCCATAGACTCGACAGCGAGTCGGCCAACCTCTGCACTTATGTTTCTAATTTCCAAGAGCCATTGCTTCATAGATGCAGTAACGGCGTCTTTAATCTGGCCACGCAGAGACGGTAATGAGGACAGCAGATACTGGAAAAAGGGTGTCTGAGACAGGGATGTCGGAGGCATACTCTGAATGTCTTCGAGTGACTGCAAAGATTGCATATGATCCATTGAAAAAGGTGTACACGACACGAATAACATAAACGACAAACCCTCAGGGCGCTCCAGTATTTCCCTTCCTTGATCATGTCGCCAACACGGTCGACGACGTCAAGGACGCGCAAGCATGCCTGGAGTGTGTCAATAGCCTCGTCCAAGTTGGCAGCCGTCTTCTTGGATTGTAGAAGTGCGCGTTTTTTCTCAACCAAGCCGCCGCCGAGCTGAGCGACACTGACGTCCAATGAAGCAATGTTCTCCTTCATTTTGTCGGTATACGACTTGACCGTGAAGAGGGTGGAGACGGAGGAGATGAAGTCCTGGTAGTTGTCACTGCATATCTTCTCGATCTCTGCGTCCTTGGAGTCGATGAGACCCTGTACTGTTCTGAGATATGCATCCTGCTGTCGAGTGGTGTGAATCTGTTTGATTATGGGGCCGAGCTGCTCAAGATTCTCGGAGGACGAAGAGGGGTCGAGGAGGTGGATTTGCTGGAGCTGCTGGTCAATCTGGTCCTGGGTGAACTGCTGTCGCCTGCGCGGAGGCATAGCTGGACCGATGCTGAAAGAGGAAGAGTCGAAGCGACCGCGGAGCTGCCAACACCAATTCACCGATGGTCTCTATTTGGCACCATCCCCCGCGCCAAACACGTTCTCGGTCACCTGCCTGGTGAGTTTCCTTTTGCGCGCTCATGAATTCCGATCCGCCGGTAATCTTCCTTGCTCTCTGCAATAATTATGTCTGACACCATTCTCCACCTCGATGCCCTGTACGTCGGTATTTTTCTTCCTTGGCACACCGGCGCTCACATAGCCTCGTTGCCAGCCTATTCGATATGGACGGGACGCTCGTCGACTCTACAGCAGGTGTCGTGGGCGCATGGGAGTTGTTCCGGCAGTCCTATCCTACCATAGATGTCCAGGACATTCTGAGCTGTGAGCATCGCATACACTGCCGTCTCCCCCCACCTTTAATTGATTTTTCTCTTCGCCGGCCCAGCCTCGCATGGCATTCGTACGGTCGACAATCTGCAAAAGCACTGTGGGATCGACGATCCCGAGATCCTTGAAGTAACGCGTCTCCTGAGTCTTCGTGTCTCCAGATCGATGCTCATATCTATGGCTGTTCGATAGCAAGAGGCGGAACGCTTCGAGAAGGCCATCGTTAGTACCGCTTCTGAAGGCGGTCGTCCAGGCATTGTTCTTCTACCGGGCGTAAAGCCTATCATGGACGAGGTATGCTCAGAGAAAATGAGGCAGAACGGCGTGCGCTTATCCATGTCGCGTAAGATCGCGTCTCTTCGTTTCTTTCCTAGCCCCCGATGGGCAATCTGTACCTCTGCGACTCGGGCGTATGCTACTTCCGCACTAGCCTCCGCAAAGGTCCCCGTCCCAGATGCATTCGTTGCATCTGAAGATGTTTCCAAGGGCAAGCCATACCCTGATCCATACATCCTTGGGGCGGAGAAGTGCGGGGTCAAGCCAGAGAATTGTGAGTGGCCAGACTTCAATCCAATGGCTCCTGTCTGATGGGCCCGTCAGGCGTAGTATTCGAGGATGCACCGTCTGGCATCCGCAGCGGCAGAGCAGCGGGATGCAAGACCGTTGCATTACTCACTACACATACCCGCCAACAACTTGAAGAAGCCAAACCTGACTTCATTGTTAAGGATCTGTCATCGTGAGCCACTGGATTGGACAAATGCCGCGCATCCATAACTCCTCTGATTCGCGTGTTTGCTCCTTTAGCATTTTCATTAAAGCCACGGACACTGGTGTTCTCGTCACGATTAAAGAAAATTAGAGGGCCCATACCAAGATGCATGGATATACAGAGGATGTAGATAGACGATTTGTATTGATCTAGAGTAGAGTCTAAATTCAATTTTGAAAAGGATCCATGCTACATCCAACCCATAGCGGCAGTTTACTTCAATGCATCTCTATAAAGACCCAGAAAAACGAAGTGATATTATCGTAGAAGGCTTTAATGATCGTTAAATGACTATGCAATCAATATTTATAGGTCAATGAGACATAGTGCTCGCTGGGTAGCAAAGAGACATCGCAAGGACATAAGACAAAGGAGGAGAAAACCAGGGAATCACGGGCAAGAGAAGGGGTATTCAAGTGTGTCGAAGGCAGATTTTGGAGGTAATCAGTTAAACCCTTCGCCTTAATACTCACCCTCTTCCTCCGGGTCGGCAGAATCTGTCCCGACCTCCTCGTAGTCCTTCTCAAGAGCCGCAAGATCCTCACGAGCCTCGGAGAATTCACCCTATAATAACAATAAGTCAGTGGTTAAAGGTAGACGGCACTTGTGTGTAGACATACCTCTTCCATTCCCTCACCAACGTACCAGTGGACGAAAGCACGCTTGGAGTACATGAGATCGAATTTGTAATCTGAACACCGACTTAAATCAGAATTTGCTTTCAAACTTTGGACGGCCGACGCACCAAGGCGACCCCAAGCAGCGGAGATAGCAGTGGTACTGAAATTATGATTAACATGCAGTCATTAAAGATACGATGGGACGTACTTGGAAAGCATGCAAAGACTGCGAGAAGTCTTAGCGAGATCACCGCCTGGTACACACGCCGAGGGCTCATTGCAAACACCAAGTTTGAAGCCGGTGGGGCACCAGTCGACGAATTGGATGGTTCTCTTGGTCTTGATAGTAGCAACAGCCGCCTGGACATCCTTAGGAACAACGTCCCCACGGTATAACAAGCAGCAAGCCACTGAACCGGTTTCAGTTGACCTTAGTCGATAGAGAATATAGGAAGATACGCACTGTATTTGCCCTCCTTGGGGTCACACTTGACCATCTGATTACCGTTCTCGAAGCAGGCGAAGGTCATCTCAGCGACAGAGTTTTGCTCATGGTTGGCTTTGTCGGCTGAGAGGAGAGGAGCATAGGTAGCGAGGGGGAAGTGGATACGAGGGAAGCTTTAAGAGACATGGGAAACGTTGCTTTTAAAAAAAGAACAGAGAAATGCTCACGGGACCAGATTGGTTTGGAACTCATTCAGATCGACGTTGAGCGAACCATCGAAACGTAACGAAGCGGTGACTGATGAGACCACTTGCGCGATAAGCCTGTTGAGGTTCGAAAAGCTAGGAGAGACGACGTTGAGTTTCTTCTTGCAAATGTCGTAGATGGCTTCGTTGTCAACCTTTAATGCGGCCTTAGAATGGCACATGTAACGAGGGGTAACCCGAGACTTACCATGAACGAGCAGTCCGAGTGCTCCAAGGTCGTGTGAGTAGTGAGGACGGAGTTGTAGGGCTCAACCACAGAGCTAGAAAGCTGAGGAGCGGGATATACGCAGAATTCGAGTTTCGATTTCTTGCCGTAGTCCGTCGACAGCCTTTCGAGGAGAAGAGCCCCAAATCCTGATCCAGTTCCTCCACCGAACGAGTGGAAGACGAAGAAGCCTTGAAGACCAGAGCAATTATCCGCGAGCCTTCTCAGCCTATCCATAACGGGGTCGATGAGCTCCTTCCCTACTGTGTAGTGTCCACGAGCATCTAAAGATCAAGAGATCAGTCAATTAGCATAGTACAACGCGATAACGACAGACAGTTGTTGGCAGCGTCCTCTTTGCCGGTGATGAGGGTCTCGGGGTGAAACAACGACCTGTAGGTGCCCGTCTTGACATCGTCGATGACACCAGGCTCGAGATCGATGTAGAGGGAGCGCGGGACGTGCTTTCCTGATCCTGTCTCTGAGAAGAACGTAGAGAAGCCGCTATCGGTCTGCGAAGGGGAGCCTTCAACAAGGCGACCGTCAGGCTGAGAATGTACGCGGATGAGAAGCAGGTCAAGGTGAATCAATATGAACACGCACGCTCAACCCATGCTCAAGAGTGTAGAGTTCCCCTGTTGTCGTTATGAGCCAATCCGACGCGCCTCAGCAGAGGAGCAGCACTCACAGCAGGCATTACCGATCTGGACACCAGCCTGACCGACGTGCAGAGAGATGACTTCACGCATGATTCGTTACTGAGAATGGGAGTTGGCAGGGAACAGGGACTGTTGTCAGAGAGCAACAGTGGTCAGAGTCTGACTGGAGTGCCGACCAAAATTTGGGACCTTGTCAACATTCCTATTTCGGGTTGTTTGGTCTCAGGGCCGAGACTTGTTGGTCCTTTTGTTCGAAAAATGAAAACGACAAATTGTAGTGCACTGCTATGCAGCTACAAGGGCGTGTAGATTATAGATCTCGCGTCGTACAATATAGTAAACCTCAGAAACACTGCCTTCCAACTCGATCTTTCCCTTTGCCAATTTCCGGACAGCCACCGATCCCCCCAGCGCGTCAGACGAACCCTTACCTGATGTTCCACAGATCAAAACGCCCTCCCCAATGAGCTCAGCTTGCACCCCAACGGAAGCTAGACGAGACTTCAAGGCCGTAAGCTTAAGCTCGCCAATCATTGTTGACTGAGGAACTGGCACTTGTGGTCTTGAGCCGAGCATGCGTTGGCCTTGCGCTTGAGGGTGACTTGCAGGGTCGGCTTGGACAGGAATTGACGACACAGGTTCCAAGCTTGGGATCGTTGATGTTGCGTGCGCAGAGACACGTCCTCGGACATACGCAATTTCATTGTCCTCGAACTGGGAGAACGTGAATATTGAATCTGGTTGCGAAGAAAAAAGAATCAGGCTTACCCTAGAAATTTTCAGAGCTGCCAACAGTTCATCGGTGATATTTATGGAGAAGCTGTTCGTTTGTTGACCGATCTGAATGCTTTCTCCAACCTGAGGAGCAAATATGCCCTTCGTCATCGATCGAATGTTCCTACAGCTTTCGATAAGCGCGTCGGTTGCATCCGATGGAGCATGAACGATAATCTGAACGAGAAAGTCAGAAAAAAATAAGGTGGCATGGGAGAATATAGTACCATTTTTCTTGGATTCACTTGAGGAACAATGGTCTTGACGGCCCGACCGTCGTTTAACCCTTCCATGTCAATGAAGAGCAACCTGCAAGCCAGTTGTATCTCGACCTCATTGGTGATATATTTGGATGGAGTCTCCTTGATAGCTTTCTGGAAATGTTATCAGGACAAAACGACGGAGAACACCAAAACAGAATATACCTTCACATCCTCCTCAGCCAAAGCTCGTCGCTTGTAGTCCTTCATCTCCTCACTCTCTGCCTCTTCCTCGAGAGCCTTTCCTTTCCTTAGCCACATCCCGACGTCGATGGTTTCACCATAATCGTCAACTTTCCGTTTCTTCTCGACATAAGGAAACATCCTGAACCGCTGGCTTTGGCCAGTGCTCTTGAAGAACGAGGTCGACTTCGAGACGTTGCCTTTGAGATAGATATCGAAAGATAGTAGCTGTTTCGTCAGGCCCTCGTCGCCATCATACCAGTCAGTATTGTCGACCCCTCTTTCAGATTTCTTTCCCCTTTCTCCGCCTTCCCCAGCGTCATCGCGCATCGTATCCGTCGAGTCTCCTCCGAGCGCGTCCCTTACTTCAGCTTCGTCGTCTGACTCCGAATCCGAATCCGAGTCACTGTCATCTTCATCGGCCTCCAACATGCGTTGGTTGCGCGCAAGCTGTGCTTGATGAGCGGCTTCCTTTTCTCTAGCAGCACGTTCCTTTTGTTGGTACAATTCCAACTCAAGTCCTGAGAGCGGGACTTTTCGGTTCATCGTGAGCTTGATTGTACCTTCCAGCATGACATTCCGTCCTATTTTACCGCTGTCCCACCTGTCTTCTGGCCGTTGAGAGGAGTTCCATTTGTCAAATAACGCTCGCGCCAATGTACCCTCCTCGCCTCTGCCGGTCAACAGGATAACGTTGTCCGACACCGCTGCGAAGTCAGAAAACATGTGCCTTGACGGGCCGTGGGAGAGGGATGCTGGGACAGCAAGTATCAGCTTGGGATCCTTGGAAGAGTATGTTTGCAAAAGAGCTTGAGGATTCGGGAAGAACTCCAAGTGTCTGGAGAGAGGAGAGGGTTATCAGGTCATCACCAGGCATTAATTCTCGAGTAACGTACTTAAACCTCAAGGCAAAAGCACCCAAAGCATCGTCGTCCGCATCTTCATCCCGCCGACGTTTGTTCTGTCGCGAATTTGTCCCTTCTTCTCCAACGTCCTCTTTACTGATGGTACCACCCAACCATTCCATCATACTTCTCACAAAAGTCAGCATCTCACGACTTGTGCGTGACAGGAGACATATTGGGTATCGGAGCCGGGAAAAGTTCCAGTGTTGATCGAGTAGTACAAGCAATTCCAGAATGCGAGTGCTCGAATCGCAAGGAAGGAGGAGCGATGAACGAGAAGAGAGGGTGGAGGTAATTGTATCTGTTAAACAATCAGTGTATGGAATATTCAGAAAAGCAAGCCAGCACATACCAATAAGGGCGGCATCCCGATCTTTTCTTCTGCTTGTTATGACAGAAGCACGGTCGGCGTCGGTAATTAACAGGTCTGGTCGTGCCAATGGCTCGAATATGCCACCAGCTGCCTGTCGGATAAGAACTGTTCCATCCAGATGACGTTCGCGCATGTGGTTCACGTTGACCGCATATATGATCGTGCCAGAAGAGGGCGACCGAACCTTCCAGATTGTGCCTCCGAGTGTATGGCCCGCATTGAATGGAGTAATGGTTAACCCTTGACACTTTCCTAAAACAACGGATGTTAGAACTGCGCCCAACGAGCTTCGAATTAGCATACCTTGAAGATGGGTTGGTTGTGAATATCTCAGCGTGTTCATCGAATCGAAAGCATCCTGTACTTCGATCACGGTTGGTATACACTTGCCCTTGGGGTTCTTGCCTGGAGGTGGAGTTTCGCGTGAGACTTCGACCTGTTCTTGAGTGTCGTTGCCGTCGGGTTTTTCAGTTGGCTCGTCGCCTATATCTTCTTCATCCCGAATCCCTTCGACGTCTTCAGTGACCGCTATTCGGCCCATTGCCTGCACGGGTAGCGTAGTATATGCTGGCGCCTTGAGTCCCCATCTCGCGTGTGCCCAGGGATAAAGCCCACAATGAGCGAGATCTCCATGAGAAAGAAGAATCAGATCTACTGTCGGCGCGACTCTGCAACGTTTTTTTTAGAACGAGCCTATTTCACATTCGAGGAACTAACTTTTGAACGGCGTCGCAGTACTCGGTCCATGGCGCCTGTTCTTGAGTTTCCTCGGATGGTTCAAACGGAGAGGGCTCGGGGTTCCAGTCCGGCGAGCCGCAGTCGATTAATATTCTGACATCGTCGATCTGGAGAAGGTAGCAGAGGGGGGTTGTCTTGGACGCGCGCGCAGCGCCAGAGAGCGGGGTGAAGGTGATCATGCAGAGGTGCTGCTGACTCAGCAGGAGGGCTGCCTACAAACAGCCGATCATTTTAGCTTTCTGACGTCAGTCGAGGCCGTTCTCAAGCATGGCCCCTGCCCGCTACACACCTGTTTACAATACAACCTTTGAATAACTACATCACACCGCTCGTTTCTCCACACTCCCTACTTGCTCTTGCTTTCTTTTCCTAACCATGCCTGTCACTACCACATCCGCTGCTGTCCACATTGCCCCAGGTATGCGTCCAACGTCGCCTCGGTCGAGGTGAGACAGCTCATATAGCACTCTCAGTTGTCATCAAAACCTTCTTCAAGCATGGCGAAAAGAAATTCAAGCGACTTAAAGCCTCTCGTCCTGAAGGAGAAGTTCCACAGGATGACATTTTCTTCGACGAGTGAGCCATGCGTGACTTCGAATACAGACCCCTAAAATATAGTACATTCTCAGGGCCTTCAACATCGTGAAAGGTATCCTAGTCTTGTCAACTTTATGTCGGGCGGTTGTGAATGCCTATTCATAGCCTTCATCGCACTCGGAACCAAGAACACAATCGAATCTCTTCAGGCATTGTGCGTCTCTATTTTTCACAATTATCTTCTTCCATTGACCCAGCACGCTCAGCACGAACACCCATATTCCCGCGCCCCCATGGGCTGCTGTCTCACCTGTCACCATACCCCTCAGGACCTGTAACGATGCCGCAGACTCACTCATCGAATGGTTCGGACCCGAGGAGCTCAAACACGTCGTTGGTGGTGAACGCTGGTGGCAAGTCCGCGGTCTAGATGGGATCGACGCGGAGTGGATGGCTCAACAAGATGATCTTGAACCGCAGCCTGGTACTAAGCCTCCGAAGGACAAAAAGTTGAGCGAAGAGGAGGCAAACATCTTGCGCATGGAGAGGTTGGACAAGGTCTTACTCTACGTTCATGGAGGTACGATAGTGCGCTTCTGCTTCCCGAACAAGCCATTTAAACGCCTCCTTTCAGGGGGCTACTCATGGGGCTCAATTAGTATGCAGTTTGATACGCTGGGCCTTCCCACAATTAATGCGATTTTAAGATACTCATCGGTATCAGATCCTACATTATGGTAAGGTGTTCAGGTTTTCAATTATCAACTGAAGCACAGTATTAATTCTGTCCAGCTTATAAATTCAAGGGAAGAGCCTTTGCGGTCAATTATCGTAAAGCTCCTCAATATCCGTGGCCATGTCCACTGCAGGATGTCATCGCTGCATGTAAGCTTAGAAACATTCCAGTAATAATGTCTTTCTGAGAGACTAATGACTTCTGAAAGATCTTTATCTCATCCGACCGCCTCCCGAGGCGCTTCATCAAGCTGTACCGCCGTCCAGTATCGTATTCGCCGGCGATTCGGCCGGAGGTGGTCTTTGCTTGACAACCCTGACTGTCCTCAGAGATCTTGGTCTTCCAATGCCCGCCGGTTCGGTTTTGATCAGCCCATGGGTCGATCTCACACATAGTTTCCCGAGCGTTATGCAAAACTATGGGACTGTGAGTTTTCTTGCCCGGTTCTCTGGTTGCCAATCCTGAGAGACGTCAGGATATTCTACCCAAACATGGATTCCTTGCCAAACCTTCGACACTGTGGCCTGTTCCAGCGAGACCTGGGAACGGCGGCCGTATTGTGCCTACAGTGACAAACCCGCCCCCGATGCCTGGAGAGGCGGATACTCTTAAGCCCTCGCCTGAGCGCCTGGAAAGAGGCGACGAAGGCGAGATGCCCAGCCCAGGCCCCCCCGTTCAATCACAGCAAGAAAAGCTTGACAATTCTTCATCTGAAAAACAGGACAAGCGTGAGACGCAGAGCACTTCGACGATAACACACCTCGACGAGTGGGAACCGAAACCTCCAAAGGTACTCATGGAGGATCCAAATGCCACACCTCTGGAACTTCGCTCGCAGATTCAAATGTATGCTGCCACAGAGTATGCCTGCTTTTTCGCTAATAATACAATCTTGACTGATCTCGAACTTCTGCAGACTGCTCACTCATCCTTTGGTCTCGCCTGTGCTCCAGGGATCGTTGGGCGACCTCCCGCCATTGTACATTCTAGCAGGTGATGGCGAGGTCCTACGAGATGAAATCATCTACTTGGCACACAAAGCTGCACATCCGGCAGAGTACCCGACAAGAGAAGGCGTTCTTCGTGACTCAGTAAGGCAGAAAGAAAATGCGGAGAAATTCACTCGACCCACCAAAGTTCGTGGAAGTCTATTGCTGAGTCAGAGTCGTTAGTCTAATACGCTGGAACTCGAAGGTCCACCTTCAAGTATTTGATGGTGGGGCCCTTTTCGATGATACTTCTGAAGTGCTGAATGTTGTTCAGGCATGTGCCACGTCTTGACCGTTTTCATGTTCACGAAAAGTGTAAGTCTCTCAATGCGCCTCCAGGAGCCAAGTAACATTTAAAACAGGCAAGGTATGCGTATCGATCGATTGCCGACTTCATCACGCACATTACAAGCCACGACGATGAGCATCTCGAGAGACACCCGTTTCCCAAGCGGCGCCAAGTCCCACAGGAGACATCGGCCGACGACAAAGACTTGGAAATGAACGAGAAAGAGGGGAACCCAAAATTGCACGTAGATATCAGGAATCTGTCCGAGAAAGTCGATGACAAACGAGAAAATTTGCCTCCATTCAAATCCTGGCCGTACCAGCAGAATGAACAAATTTCAACGCAAGGGAACGAGGGAGAGGTCGATGAAATCTCCGCAGTGTCTTCAGAGTACAGGACAACCACGAAGGGCGAGATTGTGAGTCCTCATATAGAATTTGCCCGTTGGTATAAGCTGAAGCCCCTTGCTAGGATTCACGTGGAATGCATATGAGACGTGAACGTGTTGATCTCTGTGGTAAAGTCCGACCATTGGAGCCAAGGGAAGCCCTCCAAGCTCTGAAGATGAAGCCATCACAAGTTGGACTCCTTACGGAAGCACCAGCTCTACGATGGCTCGAAGGGCAGACCAAATGGGACAAACGATTTGCCCAGAGGACAGAAAAGGTGTTGAAGAAGCAGGCGAAATATGAGACCAAGGCAAAACGCCTGATCCAACATGCATTGGACCAAGGCCTCATCCATGACACTGTTCGCGTTGACACAAAGGGAGACGAACAAGCGATCTATGGAGTCTCAACCCGACGACGGAAGATATCTTTGGGAAAGATACAGCCAGAACGACGTTGGGGACCACTTGATCTGGCAGATGAACGGCCGCCTCCAACAGCAATCGCTGGTCGACGCAACACGGTGCATCGCACTCTTCTTCGTTATTGTACCTTTCCTCATTCCTTTTCGCAGCCGGAGTCCCTAGCCTTGTTGAAAAAGAGCATATATCACACCGCCCCGGTCACCCATCGCACCGTGCCCAAGCTCAAGGTTATGGACGCAGTTCAGGCTGCATTTAATCCTCACGATGACCCCAGCAAGCCCCCTAGGCAGTCTGTCTCTGAGGAACAAGTGAGGGCCCAAATCATTCCTGTCCACGGTTTGAAGATGTGGGACGGAATTTTGAGGTGAATTTTTTCATGTCTCGAAGCGCAGTGCGCTCATCACTCGTTTCCAGGTATTTCGGACGTAAGAGCACTGCTAAGGCAGCTAAAGGCTTCAACGCTGCCGCGAAAAAGGTTGGGCTGAAGTCCAATGATAAAACAGAGAAAGGGAAGGCTTGACCAGGATGACATGTGGACCGAATTTGCATGGACGAATGGGATATTTATTAGCATTCATCTAGCAGGGACATTGATTTTGAGCACGTATCCGGGATATCATGTAGCATAGACTCTCATTAATCTTATTCCACCACACACATCATATTTCTGAGCCGCAATAAATCGCATCGGTCAAACCTCGAACGCACAGACCAGGTCCGAAATGTGACAGGGACGTAGCGTGGGAATTGTTTGGTGTATAATGCTATGGGAAAGTCCCTCTCCTTTGTCCTGTTCTGCCATCGCAGTATCCCCTCTGCCCCTTTCCTCTCTGTAAGTAAGCCCCCACGCGTCGTCAAGCAGTGCCGTTGTTGATCTCCCGCCGCTCCGTCTGCAGTCCTCGTCGACCTCTGAAAATGCGTGAAGTCATCTCTGTACACGTTGGTCAGGCTGGTGTCCAGATCGGCAATGCCTGCTGTAGGTTTCTTTTCTCATTTCCCACATTTCTTCGTCCGAAGTTCGTGGTCGCGCGGTTTACTCTCACTGACGCGTCGATCCCGCGGCGTTGTGCTTCGATGTTGAAATTATCACCAAGTGGCACGATGCTGATCCGATTATCACAGGGGAGCTGTATACCGTCGAGCACGGTTTGAGCGTAAGTTACTCTATGTTTTCATGAATGCGGCTGACGGAAAAGTTAGCCTGACGGTCGTTTGCTCGAAGGCTCCCCTTCCGCTAATGATGGTGGCTTCAGCACGTTCTTCTCCGAGACCTCGTCTGGCAAACACGTGCCCCGTTCGTTGTACATCGACCTCGAGCCTAACGTGATTGACGAGGTTCGGAACGGCCCTTACAGGAGTCTCTTCCACCCTGAGACTCTTGTGACGGGCAAGGAGGATGCTGCCAGCAATTGTATGTGTCTACCCTTTCATCTCTGACTAGCGTCCTGATTGATCTGTTTACCAGATGCTCGTGGCCACTACACCATTGGAAAGGAGCAGATCGATGTTGTGATGGACAAAGTTCGCCGCCTTGCAGACAACTGCTCTGGTCTTCAGGGCTTCTTTGTCTTCCACTCGTTCGGAGGTGGAACTGGTTCCGGTTTCGGTGCTCTCATCCTTGAACGCCTCTCCACCGACTATGGCAAGAAGTCGAAGTTGGAGTTCAGCGTCTACCCGGCCCCCACCCTCGCAAACTCCATTGTTGAACCCTACAACTCGGTCCTCACCACTCACACCACTCTTGAACACTCGGATTGTTCATTCATGGTCAGCATATAACCTCATGAATTCAAGAATTGCATTCACCACTGTCGAATAGGTTGATAACGAGGCCATTTACGACATTTGCAAGAAGAACCTGGGCATCTCGTCACCAAGTTTGACCAACTTGAACAGGCTGATCGCCCAAGTTGTCTCCTCCGTCACTGCTTCATTGCGCTTCGATGGCTCCTTGAACGTCGACTTGAACGAGTTCCAGACTAACTTGGTCCCGTGAGCATGGGTTCTTTTCTCAACTAAGTGAAATTCATCACATTTTCAGTTTCCCCCGTATTCACTTCCCTCTGGCCACCTTCGCCCCTATCATCTCAGCTGAAAAAGCTCACCACGAGCAGAACTCTGTTGCCGACATGACCTTTTCCTGCTTCGAGCCTGGCAACCAGATGGTGAAGTGCGACCCCAGAGAAGGCAAATACAGTGCGTCAACAATCCGTCATTACTTCGTTCTTTTCTGACACCTACTCACAGTGGCTTGTGCTCTTCTCTACCGCGGCGATGTCGTGCCCAAGGATGTCAATGCTGCCGTTGCGATCATCAAGACCAAGCGCACCATCCAATTTGTCGACTGGTGTCCTACCGGCTTCAAGCTTGGTATCTGCAACGAACCTCCTGCCCACGTTCCTGGTGGCGACCTCGCTAAGGTGTCGCGCAGCATGTGCATGTTGTCTAACACCACCGCCATCTCCTCGGCGTGGAGCCGTCTTGACCACAAGTTCGACCTCCTCTACTCCAAACGCGCCTTCGTTCACTGGTACGTTGGTGAAGGTATGGAGGAGGGTGAATTCTCTGAGGCCCGTGAGGATCTTGCTGCCCTCGAGAAGGACTATGAGGAAGTTGGCATCGATTCGGCTGACGTCGAGGAAGCTGAGTATTAGATGGTGGAGTTCTTGTCGCTTTTGTTGTCAACTTGGTGTTAGCTCTTTTAATTACGTTTTACTCCTTCATGATCATCACTTATACCTTGACGTCCTTTACTTGACATACTGCGGAATTTCACGGCTTTCTAAATTCTCTATACCCGTGAGCGGAAACAAAATCGTCAATGAGGCTAGCATGAAGAGCATATGTACGCTATGATTTGCCAGAATCTTCCTTCAGGCTGACAATCCGGTTCAGAACAATATAATCGCCTTGCTCTCGGCCTGCTGCCTGGCTACCCTCTTCCAAAGCAGCGATACGAGAATCCTTGTCAAGAGCAAAGTACGCGACACGCAACCCTTGGAAGCGAACACATTCATTACCCACAAGTTGGTCGCTCGTGGCCTCAGGAGTGTCATCGCCCTCCTCGTGATGCTCACTTGGTGCGCTCTCCTTGGCTGCCTTCTCCGTTCTAGCTTTGGCCACTTTCCTTGCATCCGTCATTGACTTCTTCGCTAACGACCAGAAACCAACTTCTACAACGGCGGTATTGATGACCTCCAGACTATTAGGCGCGATATCTGACCTGAAGTCGCTAGGAACACGATCGCTCTTGAATAAACGGTTGAAGATGCGCGTTTCGTCGACTTTGACTGGGCTACCGGACGGTGCATGCTCTGCCACCCACTGAATGAATGCTTTGGGCTTCTTCGGAGGTCCTTCATTCTCCAACTTGCAGAGGAGTTCCACCACTTCGCCGGTTGCTGTATCCGTCCTGAACGAGGTACATGTAATGGGATAAGGCGCCTGGAATAGGCCGACTGTCTTCCCAGGTGCAAGCCGGAAATAGTCCTTCGAATCCTCTGTCCTGAAGTCCTCGGCTTCGATGTAGAGTGTTCTTGTGAAAGGAATCGTGGATGATCCTAATTCCGGGACCTTGGGGTGAAGGGGCTTCTCGACCATCAGAAAATAGTCTTGAGGGTGACCTTCAATGGCCTCATCACCATGAGTAATCGAGGTGCCGACCCTTCGAGGAATTGCCTAACGGTTTGTTCAAAACGAGCGGTTTCGATATTCGACGCAGCGGTAGAAACCCCGAGCGTGCTGACGAAGGAGATGATGGCACCAGGGGGTACTCCTCGGCGCCGCAAAGCAATAAGGGTGTATAGACGGGGGTCATCCCATCCATTCACGAAACCTTCGTCGACCAGAGCAAGAATCTTACGCTTGGACATGATGCTGCCTTCCAGACTTAGGCGTCCGTACTCCGATTGCCTGGGTTTATAGACTTCCAGAGCATCGCATAACCAGTCATACGACTGGCGTGATGCAATGAATTCGGTCGTGCATAACGAATGCCTGCATCTGCGTCAATGCATTATAAACGGTAGACAAAGTTGACTTACGAGATGTTCTCCAAGCTGTCCACTAAACAATGAGTGAAGTCATACGTGGGGTATATTTTCCATTTGTCATGCGTCCTATGATGCGGGGTTTCCAAGACGCGATAAGCAGTCAAATCCCACATTTGAGGGTTTCCATCCTGAAGGTCTTGTTTCATCCGAAGGTTAGCCTCCTTGGGCTTATAAGCACCGTTCTTCATCTTCTCGAATTCAACCAGCGACTCTTCGATTGGGCGATTTCGGTGAATGCATGGCCTCGGTTGACCTCTTTTCTCTCCGCGGTCAACTTTGATGTCCTCCTCTAAGAACAGTATCAACGGTAAACAATTTGTGAGAGAGGTAGGACATACGACTGCAATGACAGACATAAGCCTTGTCCCGCTTGATCAATTCGACCGCTAGTTCATACAGCTCCGTGAAGTAGTCGCTCGAATATGTAATTTTCCATGGCTCGAAGCCAAGCCAACGAACCATCTCCAGGATGCTTTCGAAATATCTTGCTTCTTCCTTTTCCGGATTGGTGTCATCGTATCTCAGGTAACACTTTCCCCCGTGGTGGGCAGCGTAACCAAAGTTGACGAAAATCGCTTTCGAATGGCCGATGTGAAGATAGCCATTTGGTTCAGGTGGGAATCGTGTCCAAACCTGCCCTCCTGTGGCAGCCAGGTGAGCTTCCCTGAGGTGAGGATGAATTTGAGAGTTTCCTCCAGGTTTGTGTAGTTGGCCCAGAAACCCTTCCTCGAAGACAGACTTTCTTTGACCAGCCGGAGGCGCTTCCTCTTGTTTGTCCTTTGACAGTGCAGGTGCCTTCGCTGGCTAATGGGAAAGACAGTAAAGAACACTGTCGATTCTGTGGCCCGATTGTACTGACCTTTCCTTTGGGTTTCGCAGCTTCTTTGGGACCGAATTTTGCGAGAAAGACCTTATCGGTAGCAGTTTTCACTTCTAAAGGACTCGCCCAACGTAGCTCCACCGTGCCTTTCAGAGCACTAATCGTAGGTCCGAGGGTAGTCCATCCTGTGATGTTGTTAGACATGACATAGGATTCGACAAGCGCGATAATTTCTTCAGGTGTTATCTTGAAACCTATTTCAATTAATTGGTGGTCGACAGTTATCTCAAGACCTGCTCACCAACGCCGCATTCCTTATTGAAATCCTCTTCATCGATTGGTGATCTGTGCGACTCGAGATATTTGACGGCAGCTACATCGGAGTCGTTCTTAGTTCAGTGTGTAGTAAAGTGCTGGCTATTCGTACCCGAGAGCTGGTCGACAGAAGCCAACCTCGAGTCGAGGATGGCCGCGATTAGGTGGTTCTGGTCGACCGATTCACTCGTCTTGGATAAAGCAATCGATAACGCTGACATCAGAGTCGCCTTCTTCTCGTCAAGACCCGAGGCAACTTCATCGTTGTTCTCGATAATGGCCGCCAAAATGTTGGCACTTTTTGGCGCCTTGACAGCCTCTTCTGCCTTGGCTTTTGGAAGACCCATTGCCTGGAAAAGGGCAACTAGATCGGAGGGAGGAACCGCATGTTCCGCCTTCGACATTGAATAAAGATGTTATAGGAGTTTCTTGAGGTAGATCGGCGCAGATTCTTTGCGAGATGTGCTGTAGATGAAGGTGACAGTTAACGAACAACTGATCCAAAAGTAGACTGTCTCATCTCTTGACTGACAGACCAAAAAGCAGCCGTAGATAAGATAAGATCGTAATGAGGAAAGCTTTTATCATAATGTGTTAAAAATCGAGATATAGAGAAACATGGTCGACAGCAAAGAGAAAAAAATCAGTCAATACAACAATACATATGGTTCTCAGAACCATCATCGTCCAACCTCCAATATCCGCCTTCCCAAGGCCTTCCGTAGAGAATATTCAATAGCATAGTTGCAAAATCCTTACGCGGGGTTGGGGCCGACGTGATGGGTACCGTGGAAGGGAGAAACATCGGTGGTGGGAGGCCCATTGAGCTGCGTCGAAGGCATGAGGTTGCCGGGGGCAGGGACCGCGGCGTAGTTGCGTTGGGTTTCGACTGCAGAGGTTGAATGCTGGTGGTGGTAGCGCCTCTCGATTTGTGTATTGATGCGCTGGGTAATGGCTCGGATGTCCCTTTCTGCATCGTGAGCAGCCTGGCTGAGGCGACTGGGTGCGCTGTGAGGAGTGGAGTCATAGAGTCGGACGGCAGGGATATCCAACGAGGCAAGGGAGTCCGACAGAGCGTCGAGGAGGGCTCTAATATCCTTGTGCTGGACTTGAGGAACGGCGCAGGGGCTGGGAGTCTGGTAGATCCTGGCGCGGGGATCAACCGGTGGGGCGGCGTCTGAGAGCGCATCTAAAAGAGTGCGAATATCGCGGCGATTGCCTTGGGTGGATTGAGGAGGATGTTGGGTCTGATCCACGAAATTAGAAGGCTGGAATTGAGGTTTATGGGGAGGGAAGATGACGTATGGAGAGAAGGATTTCTCAAGGCCTTTCCGGAGAGACTCGATTTGACCTTTCAAAACGCCTGCAAACGGAGGTTTGTCGCCCTCAAGGCCGGCGTAAGTGACCAACGAAGATACGCTAAGAAGGGAAGGATGAGCCATTGAGTTTTCCAGAGCAAAACGCGACATACAAGGCCTCTTTGAGATATGCGAAGCTGAACCCCTCTGTCATTTTGGCGACTTCGTCAACCAGGGCATCAGATAGGTCTATTTCCTTGTTAGACGCCAACTTCTTCTGCCAGTATTGGGCGTAGAGCTTGCGTTCGAACACGTCTGGATCATCGAATTTGCTGTATGACTTCAGTTACAGAAGAAGATCAAAAAGGTCCAATCTTACTATTTCCTGTCGAATCTGCTTGGGCGGGCGCTGAGGCCAGGATCCAGTCGGTCGAAGTGATTTGTAGTTCCGATGATGAGCAGGCCATCGTTTCCGTCCAGTCCGTCTAACTGGTTGAGGAAGAAAGACCGGTTTTGGTCATTAATCAGGCTGTCCAGATCTTCCAAGATAATGACACAGGGAGCAAGTTGTCGTGCTTTATTGAAGACAGCCGCCATTGACATTTCTTCTCCACCCCAACCTAATTTAATCAACGACAACTGTGAGCGTGTTCTCGGGAGATAGGTGATCTTACTGACTCTGGAATGATTTTACATACAACGGCGCAAATCCTTTCTCGCCGCAAGTTTTCATGATGGTTTTCAAGCTGATGGTCTTGCCGTTGCCTATGGAAATGATATCAACATTCTGGGCTAGAAGTGAGGGGAGCTTCTGTACCTGGGGGCCCGTACATCAGCAACCCGCGCTAGAGAAAGCCTATTAGGGTGTTTGAGACGGCAGGCTTTCAATTCTGCGTACCTTCCAAGGGATAGCTAATTCCTTGTAGATTGATTCAGAAGCAAAGAACCCGTACACGTCTTTCTGGAGAGCCTTCTTGAACTCGTCTTTGAGAATAACGTCCTTCCAGTCGGCCTTCTGTACTTCGAGCCACAAACCATGATCTTTCTGCCAAAAGCCCTGGTTGAAAATCCAGATTTCGTCGTGCAATTCGTCTGACCAGGCGCCTGAGGCTGAAAGGAGGAGTCGAGAGACTTCCTGCGGCCCTGTGTAGGGAGAAGGTATGGTAAATACCCATAAATTGCTATTTTATTAGATACTGACCTTCATGGAGGACGAAGTATTGAGTATAAACACCGAACCCTTGCGGATACTGGCACAAATCGAAATTTAGGCAATGTGTGCCGTTTCACAAGAATCATACGTACTTGGACAGTGTAGACGACGTATTCGTATTGCTATATGGAGTTGCATAAGTATGGTAGTGCATCGCCTGCTGGAGTTTCAACTCACTTGCCAAACAAGCTTGAAGGCGCCGAACTCGACATTATCAACGAGGATGCCTGGGATGCCTACACTGCGAGACAGGGGAATGAAGAACAGATTGGTAATCAAAGGTGTCTTCTCCAAAGGCGTAAGCTGAGCTGCAGGGAACCCAAGGAGGTTTATCCCATAATCTTGGGTCATGACCAAAGAATGGTTGGGGTACAAGCGGCTTAAGGCATCGGCACTATACGTCTTGACGGTGAGATCGTTCTAGTGCGGATTGACGCGGCACATACCCAGTGATCGAGGGGATGCTGGTTGGCGCAGACGCTGCAGTTGGCTGGCTCAAAACGCGATAATTGAATGGCAGACACGGTCCGCTACGTACCTCTCTCAATCCATTGTTTGTAGAAGTCCTTGTCGCCTTGATGTTCTCCAGGAGAGCAGGGCAGATCTCGTCCTGGAATCCAGATGTTCACAAACTCTTCTGCATCGTTGATGTGGGGTGGCGCCATTGTGGATCAGGGGAGAACGTGCTCGGCTCAAGGGTATGGGACGAGCGCTTCAGCGAGGGTGTTATATGTAAGTCAGGCGTGGATCAAACCGCAGTCTGTCGAACAGATGACCACAGTCGAGGCACGATCTGGGGTAATACCGGAGGGTGGCAAGCTGCGCCTTCCCAGGTCGGCCTGCCCCGACTTCGGGCCGGTCCTCTATGAGTATGCATCATACACGTGACCAACTTCTCTTGCTCTTCGCGCTCATCATGAACGTCTCTGCAGCAGACATCCGAAGTGTCTTCAATGTCCCCGACGCAGCAGTCGCAGGCCCATCACAAATTAAAAAGCCTGTCACAAATGCACGAAAACCCGAGGGCATGCCGCGTGAATTGTACGCGCTCATTGGGCCTAGTACACCAGCTTTGTCTGCGCAACTCGCGAAACCGCGCCTGAAGCAGAAACCAAATTTTGGCGGTACCGCTCCGAGGACAAAGTGGCACGTTTCTACTTTACCATCGCGCCATTTTGGAATCTCAGATTTCTCTGATAGGGAGCTGCGGACATTTAAGAACCCCGCTCGAAAAGATGGTCTCGAACTTCGCCATTGGGAAAAGGTCGGCGCTGATTCCGCAGCTGGTTCGTTATGCTTTCACCCAATCAAAGCGTTAAACCCATTCAACCTCATAGATTACCCGTTCGCAAAGTACGACATCCAACCAAACTCATACCAATATTCCCCGGAGGAATACACCCGCCTCCTTGAAGGTACTTGTTTTCAGGGTGGGATACTCAATGAACCATCTTACATGTTATATAGACAAGGACTGGACAAAGGAGGAAACGGATTACCTGCTCAGTGTCGTGAAAGAGTATGACTCTCGATGGTACATTGTGCATGACCGCTACAACTTTCCGGGAGGCCATGAACGGACATTGGAGGCGAGCTGCGATCGTCTGTATGATTGAATTGACCTCACTCTAGGTACACAGGACCTCAAAGACCGCTATTGCAGCGTGTGCCGCAAGCTGATACGAAACCGGCCATGGGCAGGTGATGATGCGGGCAAGACCCTCCTCATATCAAGCTACCAGTTTGACAAAGGTAGATTTATAGTTCTCCTCGAGGAAACCTAAGACCTACTTAATCACTCTCTAGAACGTGAGGTGACAAGGAAGAAGTACCTCAAAAGCCTCGAGGATCGAACGCCCGACCAGATGGCAGAAGAAGAAGCCTTATACATCGAAGTGAAGAGGTTGGAACAGAGCGAAAGGAGGTTCAAGAGAGACCGAGAGAATTTGCTGAGAACGCTGGCTGGGATCGACTCTGGACTGCCCGATATTGTGGAAGATGACCCCTTGCCATTGGCAATCTTAGAAGGAAGCAAGACGAAGACGAAGAAAACTAAAGGTGTTGCAGAAGCTGAGAGTCCAGCGACCCCTGCAGCGGCCCCTGCTCCTACCGTCAAGAAGCCGATAAAGAGTGCGGCATACGGTAACTTTATTTCCTGCTCTTCGGAGAATTGGTTGGCTCATCCCTTACTCGAGATGCTCAGCACTGTATCATTCGGACGGAAACACTATCAGCAGCGATTGCGACCAAGGCTGCCCATCAACCTGCTTATCTTCGTTCCTTCAAACTCCCTGCACCCAAGGCCGCCATCGCACCCAAGGTCACGCAAGCTCTCGCTGAACTCGGTATTTCGCACACTCGGCTGGTGATGCCTACACGAGAGAACGCATTACTGCTCGACAGCCTGATAGAAGCAACGACGACCCTCGTGGAAACAAAACGCGCGTACGACAAGGCTGAATACGAGATACAGGTACTCGAGAACCGTCTGGGACTACGAGAGAAGAGCCAACCGGCTGAAGGAGCCGAAGGGAAGATTGAAGGCGGTGCCGGGATGGATGTTAATGATGCTCAAGTAGGAAAAGAAGTAGAGGAGACAGATGGAGAAGATGGAAGGGCCCAGAGTATTCTCAGTGCGAGGAGTGGTGGGAGGAGTAGGAAGCATGTGAGTGATAGGTTTATGCTGACGTTGTTTCGATGTCGCTGACCTACATCTTGTCTCCCAGGCTCGACGCTCCATGTCTATTTCGTCGGTGGATACTGTGTCCACGAGAGCCAACAACAAACGGCAGAAGCGTAATTGAGGTCCTTGCCTTTTGTTCAAGAGCAATGGAATGTCTTCTGTAGAAGTAGATACATGATCTTATCTCATACATCATGCTATAGTCCGTGCCGAAAGACATGTTGAGGGAATAAATAAGCCGGCAGAAGAGGTTTCCTGACGGAAGTCGTGAGTAGGTTGCTGATGTCGCGAGGCGGGCGTGTCTTGGCATCGTTCCATAGGACGTACAGAGGGTTACATCATGGTTCTGAGAAGCGCAGGATGAAGTTGACGACGACGGCAGCTAGAAGAGCCGGTGAAATGGAGCTAAAGAAGTAGAAATGTAGAACGTACCGAAGAGAGCGATACACAGAATGGTCTGATTGGCCCGGGGGGTTGAGAAAAGGAGTTTACCAAACGACAAGCGCAGCTACTCACCGGCCCAACCCTATCATCATATGGTCCTCTCCCACCGCGGCGTATGGACGCTGCTCTCCAGTGATACGTGTACAGGGCGTAAAGCATGATGGCCATGGCTGGTAAAAGAGAAAATTTGCTCGTTCAAAGGAGGATCTTGGAGAGGATTGCGAGACAGACCAACGAAGGAGAACATGGCGGCACTAATCTTGCCAACCTGCGTCAAAGACGATTAGCACGATGTGTGGGGGATAGGCGGGGGATAGGCGCACCTTATCGCCAAAATTCAGCAAGCCGACTGCGAGGCCCCCTAGAACGACGGTAAAGTGGAGCCATGACAGGAAAGTTCGCTCGTTCGCAAACGAGACTTTGGGCTCGACGCGGACGGGAAGGGCGATGCGCTTAGTCGCTGTTCGCTGGAGGAGCGGCTGGGTTGACATGAGGTGCGATGGGGGGAAAAGGAGAGTTCACGTCCTATATATAGAGTCAACACAACTCCATATAAGGCAGCCAAGCAGCCAACCGAAGAACGCACGTTCGTCTTCTGGGCTATTTACGGAGTTCACTTCTCTCCGATGTTCCGAAGTATTTATGCATAAAAATCATATCATTATCGTACATACAACAAGCATAACCACCTCCTCATCGTCCAATATTCATCATGCGCAACCTATCGGGATGGATGCCGCCAGGAGTGGGATTTGGTCCCGGAGCATTGCTCGGAGGAGAATTTTGGCCAGTCGGCGGTCCGTTGAAGTTAGGCGGAGGCATGCCGTTCGGTGGAAAGGGAGGAGCACCAGCGCCTGGGGGTCCTCCACCAGGAGGGAAAGGTGGTACACCTATGGAATGTCTCGTCGGCGGTCTAGGCTGCTGCGCAGAAGAAACGGACGTACCTCCAAAACCTCCAGGAGGACCGTTCAAACCTGGAGGAGGCATGCTATTGGGTGGGAATGGTGGGCCACCAGGAGGCATCATGGGAGGCATCCCGGGTCCAGGAGGGAAGGGAGGTCTGGCTGTGAGAGGAATGTTCGGTTGGTAGCTGGACAGATTGGTGGGAGCAAGGGACTTACGTCCGCCGAAGCCAGGTGGAGGCATAGGTTGTCCATATCCCATCGGAGGCCCACCATAGCCAGGAGGAGGGCCTCCAAGGTGTTGAGGGCCAAAACCGAAGCCTCCTGGAGGCGGTCCTCCCCCACTTTCATAGGCCGAAGTGATTTGATCGATAATGTTCTGCGCCTTGTCGTGTCCCAGCGCTGTGAAAAAGTTAGTCAACTGCACAAGAGGTTTACAGTTAGCAGACTCACATGCATAATAGTCTCTGACGTTTGCGAGATGATTCCTGCCGCTGTTATGAGCCTTTCGCACTAAGAGCAGCAAAGTTAGTAGAAGTTCACAATCATAGAAAGGGTTGATTTACCTGACGTTGAGTCGTGGGTTAGGAAGACATCACAGTAATCGCAATAGTGTTTCTAAATAGGACTAGTTAGCGCCTGTCAGAGGTGTGAGGCAGAGTTCTTACCGGCATGGTGGTAGCTGCAAGAGTTATAGTGGTACAGTCCAGAGCGAACTGACGCCAGCGGGGTTTGAATAAAATGTCACGTGACATCTCTATCTGCGCGCTCACGCCAAATTCAGAACTCATCGTTACTTCTTCATCTCTCCTCCTCTACAGTATGGAATCAAACGGGATTCAAGAACCATTCGACCTAATAAGACTATCATTGAGCGAGCGCGTTTTTGTGAAACTGCGAGGAGATCGGGAGTTGACTGGCATTCTCCATGTATGGATCATTCCTCGGCAACATGCAGACGCGTTAACATTTCTTTTCCTTAGGCGTACGACGGCCACATGAATCTAATTATGAGCGACGTTGAAGAAACTATCATGATAGTGGATCCTGAAAGCGCTGCTAACGGACAAGGGGTTGTCAATGTCAGTGAATATTCGAAGGAGATAGTCTAGCATCAATTTATGCCTCGACATCATAGGTCGCCAAACGGAAGATGGAAATGCTCTTCGTGAGAGGTGATGGGGTTATCCTGGTGCGTTGGGTATTTTCAGCGGCAATTGTTCTAATTCTAATGACGACGTCCGGATAGGTATCACCCCCAGCGAGGACATGAAACTCGCCGCTTTCCCAAAATCTATCATTACTCTAGGTCATGCGTGCGCCACACTCGATTAAGTTGGGGATCTTGGTCGATAGGCAGTGTGCCTATATTGTTTCCGCAGTCTGCGTAGAGTACGGTGTTTATCCGCAGTCTTGACTTCCAGTCGATAAACTTACCATCCCTTGTATTCCACTTGCTGTCCACACCTTCTCGATCTTGTCATCTCCATGGAATCAAGAAGACCTTGACCTCGCTTCAAACCACTCAACGCAGACTAGCACTCGACAATGGATGGAGTTGGATGACAAAGGGGATACGTTATTGCATTACTGAAAGTTCATCGAATGGGATTCATTCGCGTCCACGGCATTGTTGTTTCCATCACCTCCGACGAGGAGATATTGGGTATACGTTGGGGTTGGACGGAAGTCGAAGCATCGGCGGCTGATGCAAATGGCTAGGGTTGTTCTTGCCCTTGCTGTTGTTCTTGATCAGAATCTGGAGCTTCCATCCCAACAGGCCAAGTTTTGTCACGCAACCAAGCTGCATATATGATCTTGATCTTGGAGAAGATGAATAAGATTGGATGGCAAGAACGAGGTGGGACGCACGATGAGGCTCATTGGCAGGCGGTTTTTAAGCCTTCCGCCGGATGCTAGGCCTCTCCACACCTTCTCAAGCCCGTTGTTCCAGACGGCATCGCTATGGACTGCGTGTGGGTGGCTGAGGGTCTCCTGGAGCTTGTCCCTGGCGGATGACGGGGGTCGTTGTGCGAGCGGGACGCGGGGGGTGAGCCAAAGGGCCCGCCTTGCGTGAAAGAAGTCGGGGCCTGGCGGGGGGAGGTCTGCTGCAGCGAGGATGTCGTCGAAGGACTGGCGGGGCTGGGAGGGTTGTAATGAGGTCAAGACGTTTCTTGGGAATGAAAGCATAGTGGGGTCCGTCAAAGGGTCCGGACCGGCGGGAGTGGAATGTGCTGCAGGGACCACGTGCCCACCAACCATCGGCTCGCTGACACAAGGCTCTGAAGCCGCTCTCCAGTTACCACCATGGTCTCCCTCTACAAGCATCACGCCCCCTCAACAACTTCCCTCTCCGACGACGGCGACGACGGCGACGAGGAGGCCCCCCAGTTCGCCTTCTATCCCGACCACCATCTCCTCGTCCCCGCCCAATGGACTGCATTCAAACGGGACCATCCATACCGCACCCACCTTTCGCCCGTGCACTCCCCCATCGCTGCCATCCCCCCCGAGATTCTCATCCAGATCCTCAGACACCTCCACCCGCCCAGGGATGTCTTCAGCGCCATGCGCGTCTCCCGCACCTGGTGCGAGTGCGCCGTGGAACTCCTGTGGCACCGTCCATCGTTTTCCAAGTACGACACCATCCACAAGATGGCAAATCTCCTCCGCAGAGACGGCCAGACCTTCACATACTCCCGCTTCATCCGCCGCCTCAATTTCCTCAACCACGGCGCAGATCTCACCGATGAACTCTTCCGTGTTTTCTCCCGCTGCGATCGCCTAGAACGCCTTACCCTGATAGGTTGCAAGCACCTCACAGGTGAAGCACTTGCCCAGATCCTTCCGTCGTTCGCCAATCTCGTCGCTATCGATCTCACTGGCGTTGTTGACACAACAAGTGAAGCTATAATCGGACTCGCGGCAGTCTCAACAAGACTTCAGGGGATCAACCTATCCAGTTGCAGCAAGGTTACCGATTCCGGAATCATCGCCCTCGCCGCCTCTTGTCCCCTCCTCCGGCGCGTCAAGTTGAGCGGCCTCTCTCTCCTAACCGATGATTCCGTTTCTGCCCTTGCTCAGGGGTGTCCGATGCTTTTGGAAATCGATCTCAACCATTGCGAACTCGTCACAGACATTTCAGTCCGTTTTATTTGGACTCACCTCACCCACATGCGAGAAATGCGCCTATCGCACTGTGGTCTTCTTTCAGATGCCGCTTTCCCGGCTCCGTTTAGGCCCGACTGCCAGACAGATCAGGTGAATCCATTCTCGCATTCCAACATCCTCAAGGTATCCGATGAGCTGCCCCCGCTTGTCATTAATCGAACTTTTGAGAACCTGCGCATGCTGGATCTCACCGCCTGTCCCTTGATTACTGACAACGCCGTGGAAGGTATCATCTCTCACGCGCCGAAGATTCGCAATCTTGTCCTGTCCAAGTGCGTCCTTCTGACCGACAAGGCGGTGGAGACCATCTGTAGACTAGGCAGACATCTGCATTATCTCCACCTTGGGCATGCAAGCAAGATCACCGACCGGTCCGTTCGCCTTCTTGCACGGTCCTGCACCCGCATAAGATATATCGACTTCGCGAGTAAGGGCCTTCCACCTCTAAAGCAATGAAAGGCTGATTGTTCTCTAGATTGCGTCCTCCTGACGGACATGTCCGTATTTGAGTTGTCAGCGCTCCCCAAACTCCGCCGGGTTGGCCTCGTTAGGGTCAACCAGCTCACAGATGAAGCTATCTACGCCCTCGCCGAGCGCCATGCCACCCTTGAGCGTATCCATCTCTCATATTGCGATCAAATCTCTGTCATGGCCATACATTTCCTCCTTCTCAAGCTTCATAAGCTTACACACCTCAGTCTGACTGGTGTACCTGCTTTCCGCCAGCCAGAGTTGCAGCGATTCTGTCGTGATGCTCCAAAGGTTCGTGGTTTTGCCCTCTGAAGGTGTAAGATGCTGAAAAATCTTTTTCCAGGATTTCAACTCGACACAGCGGCAGGCGTTCTGTGTATTCTCTGGCAAAGGAGTTTCCCAACTTCGAGCCTACCTTACCGAACTCTTCGACCGTATCACAGAGATGAACAATACCGACGACACTGAGTATGAAGAGGACGACTTTGATGGTGAAGGTTATCAAGAGGATGATACCCCAGAACCAGAAAGCTTCGCCGAAGCCCGAGAAATGGAGGGGTATCCCAGGCAGCATATCCTGTACAACCCAAATGTGACGACGCCTCGTGGTCCCCACCAAGGTCATCCCCACCAGGCCGGTCAGACTCATCCAGCACCGCAAGCTCATCATCGCCCTCAATCGCACGAATTCAGTTTTCACCGTGATCGCCCTATGCGCGCTGCGACTGTGCCCATACACAACAACCATGATGGATACCATGTGGCTGGGGTATCTCCTAGAGCTAATCTCCAAGGCGCCACCTCGATTCTAAATGCTCAAATTCAAGCATCGACGCCTACGGCAACCCCTTCTCGGCTCCCTCGTGTCCATATTCGACACGGTCGTTCAGTGGCAGATGTGCTACCTGTTGTGGAGTCGTCAGCATCACCTTCACCCATTGATACCCCAAACCAGGTTGGAGGGACGAGTGATAATGGTTCTGGCTTTTCCCGTGTGTATGACAGGTCAGCCCCTGCGATATCACCTCCTGGAAATGGAGCATTAACTCCTGACCTCAACTATGCTGAAATCGGGCATGGTAGAGGTGGCCTGAATGCAGTAGCCTCGACTATCCGTGGGCACCCTATGACCCGCGATCGCACCCCTCGACAACCTCCCGCCTCCCGCGTTTCACCCGTGGTAGAGCCTCCTCATTCCGCCAGCTCTCGTGGCAATTCCGACAGTGAAGACGAGATGCTAACCGAAGGTGTACCTGGCGACCAACTCCCAGCAGCCGCGAGCGACAACACTTGGACCTATCGCGAATCAGATTTAGCACAACCGGCCAACCGCGAACTGCACGACTCGGTTCAGTCAGCGTTTAGTGGCGATGTCAGAGGCCGGCAGGAGGAGGAGGATACCTTGCAAGATGCGCAGACACCCACTGCTGGACCGAGATCAAGGAGTGTGAAGAGGAGCATTCGGAACACCTTCCATGCAGCTGAACACTACGCGAGCTCACTTCTGTTTGGTCGCTCTGCTGGTGACGTGCGCCACGATCACCCAGGAGAACCTGGCCCAAGTTCTGCTGGACGCAGTCACGCCTCTCGTTCTTCTCGCTAGTTCACTTCTGCAGCACGTCCCTTGCATCGCCAAACCCTCCAGCCTCTCCACCGATTCTCGTATTGTGTATCATCAGACCCATTCAATTCATTTTTTTGTTTTGTTTTCCTTTTTCTTCCATTACCATCCCCGATACGTGTTACCAGATTGTACACCTGCTCTTTCCTCCTTTTTTTCCGCTATGCAGTTTTCTCGGATTTAGATTTCTCAGATTCTACTTTTCTTCTATTATCCCCTTCAACCCTCTGTATCAGACCATCCCGTAGTCGTAGTTGGATCACGTGTGTATAATTCCTCAAGTCGGACACCCGAATTGCATCTCGGGTGTCGTACATCTTACATCGCGTGAGCCAAGGGCAAATTGCCCCATGTTGCAAGCATGTTCGAATCTTATGAATAAGCATTGTCCTGGGCAAACTCAAGCAGGGCTATAGAGCCTGGACATGGTGAGAAAAATAATATCCAGAGGCACCCTTCCTATTTCTTCCCAGCTTTCTTCTCCTTTCGTTTGCGGCCGATGATAGAACCTAGTGGGTTGAAAGGCTTCTCCTCTGCCTTTGGCTTCGCCTCAGTATCGGCAGAGAGACGAGGCCTCTTGGTTGGACGTCCATCAGAGCCCTTTTTTGAGTCGTCCCCGTCTGAGCTTTTCCTGGTCCTTTTGTTAGGAGAACCGGTGGGTGCGGAAGACTGTGGGCAAGTTAATCGACGGTCAGAGGGCGAGGAGGACATGGAGAATAGCAAAGCTACTTACAATTGTTTTGCTTTTTTCTTGCAATGCATTCCGCCTCTGGACAACTTGGATGTTTTCGATGGAGAACTCGACGATCAAAGTGCCCTTGACTTTCTTGCCCCTTGACTCCCCGTTGCCTGCGCGCTCGATCTCCTCCTTCAGCTTCTTGATCCTCGCGTCGTCACGGTCCTTCTCCTTCGCACGTTCCGCCTTCAAGATACTCTCCAGCTCATCTTTCCACCACGAGCCGAACAGCTCTCCAACTTGAGGGTTGTTGTTTGCCCACCGCAAGACCCGCAGTGCGTCTGAGTGCCTGTGCATCTCCATGAACCCGTAACCCTTGCTCTTTCCTTTACCCGTGATTGGATCCACGCGCTCGGCTTGTCGGACGATCTTGGTCTGCTTAACGCCTGTATCGCGCCCGGTGAACTTTTTCTTGGTCTTTTTCTCCGTTTCCTCATGGACATCTTCCTGTTTGACATTGGACATGAGGACGTCCTCTCCAGGAAGTGCTGTGGGCTGGTCGGCTAGCTCATCAGCAGTCAAAGGCTCGCGTGTGCCTTCCTTCACTTCGGCGTTGAAAGCCTTCATCGCATGCCCAGTCAGGCGCTTCAACATGCGCTCTGTGACAAATGTCGGTATCTGTCGCACACTAAGACGCGTCCTCGAGATAAAGAGAGATGGATTGGATTTGAGGAGGGCGCGGCGGGCGTTGAATGAACTTGTCCGCTTTTCGACCTCGGCTGGTGTGAGGTTCTCAGCTGCTGTTGTATTTGGCATGATCACTATTCAAGGTGAAAGAAAAATTAACGCCTGAATATGTGTATAAAGCAGAGCAAAATACGCACCTCCTTCACGCAACAGATACATGTTCCGTTTGTCTGCCTTTTCTCGCAGTTTTTCATTGGCATCTTTGAGTTTGCTGGCAGTGTCCCTGGTGACCGCTCGAACAACATCAAGTGTGCGCCCATGTAATACCAAGCTTTGCGCCAGACTCGAGGAAGGATCTGGGGTAAGAATCGAAGGCAAAGAGAAGGGATTTTTCTTGGGCTAGGAAGCAGACGACGTCAACGAACATGACGGCAGGTATACATAAATCCTTACTGCAGTCGCTTGGCCGGTCGTTTCAGCGCGGAGCAACTCGCTCTGTTCGACGGCACGATCTGCGTCTACGAGATTCCAGAAACATGCAAACCCGGTGCCTCTTGAGCGGCCAGTAGCTAGATCCACGGTTATACGCGCGTATCGTAGTGGGCCGAAGGCACGGAAACTGCATACGGAATATATTAGAGTCCAGGATAGCAGAATAACGAACACATACAGTGTTCTCAGCTCTTCCTCCGTGGCATTGAAAGGGACATTTCGAACAAAGAGTGTCGTGCCTGTCTCTGGTGGCGGCAGCTCAGGCTTTACCTTCTCATCTTCAGAATCGCTTCCATCCTCACTCCCACTGTGGAACCCGAGACCCCCGTCTTCGCTGTCTTCGCTGTCGTTATCCGACCCAGACGGGCTCCCCATCTTCTCATCGTCGTCCAGCTTCTTCTTTTCCTCCTTCCATTTATCCTTGCTCAGCGCCCAATCTACAGCTATGACGCGCTCTGTCGCTTTCTTTTCATTGTCTTCGTCCTCCTCTACGTCCTGCTCTTCCTCATCCTTGCCTTCTTCCACTTTTATCCCAGCAGCGATTTTTGCCTGCTTCTGCTCCAAGCGCTTCAGTTTCTTCTTCTTCTGTTTGTCCGATGCGAATGCCTCTGCCACGCCCGCACGTATGATCGTCCCATTGCACCCTTGCAGTGCCCTCTCTGCGTCCTTCTTACTCAGCATCCATACGAATGCAAATCCTTTTGTCCTCGGTTTCTTTGCGGCGGCGTACGCAGCTGCCGTGCTGCTTTCCACATGATTTGAAATCGTGTCTTCGCCTTCTTCTTTAGGATCTGCCGGTTTGTCGTCTGTTGGTATGTGGATGGAGTGAATTGGCCCATATGGCAGGAAAACAGCACGTAGGTCTTGTTCGGTAGCACTGAAGGGGATGTTGCGTACAATCAAACGACTGGCATAGCTCGGTGCTGGTGCCTTTTTTGCCTTTGCACTAGGTTTCGCTAGGGTGTCCAGCCGCTTTTTCAGTGTCACGGAAAGGAGAGACCCTTTGTAGACGTGCGCGTGGAGTTTGCTGACGGCGTCGGACGCTTGCCCAGCAGTTGAGAACAGAACATTTGCTAGGCAGGAGTTAAGTGATAAGTGAGATATAGGCATTCCTAACAAACCTGTACTTGAATCTTCATCCCCACTTTCGTTCTTTATGGGCCATTCTACCTTTTCTGCCCCTTCGTATTTCCGAATCTTCTTCCATAATACCTTTGAATCGATTCCTGATGGGATACCCGAGACGACTATCGTGCGTATTGCAAGAGGATCGTGAGGAAGGCGAGGTATGGGTTTGGGTTTGGGTTTGGGTTTCGATTCTGTCTTCACGGCGTCCTTCCCCTCTTTTCGTTTAGGCTTTCGTCGAGGAACCATAAAAATAAAGCCATTCAGGAACAGACATAAGAAATACCTTGCTTTCCGCCCACTGCACACCCAACTGCCGTCCCACCAGACTAATTCCCTCCTTCGAGATAGTTTGGAAAGCGGTCTCTGCGTCTTCTTTGATCGCGAAAGAGACATATCCGACACCTTTCGAAATTCCTGTTCCATGTTCTGTGACAACAAACGCACTCTTCACAGGTGCGATATCAGAGAACAATGTCTGCAAATCGACGGAGGTCGCAGAGTATGGAAGATTCGATACGAAAAGTGTTGATCTGAAGTCCTTTTTCAGCTAGTAAAAGCGCAATGGTTTGCCCTACATACCCATGATGTGTTCCCGCCGGGACATCCTCCCCTCTTTCTTTTCGCTTTCCAAGTTTCGAGGACATAAACAAATTGATGTTTAAAAGTTGCAGACAGAGAAAGTTTCGCAAACAGCCTGCGGGCCGTACTCTTTCCGTCGCGCTCCTGTGACCGGCGCGTTGTCACATTTGTCCGCGACTCTCACTTCGTTCAGCTTCGTTCTCACTGGGCCCCTCCGACTCCCGGCAAGCTGACTGTTGAACGTTGAACTGTGATTTGCAGCCGTAGGCGAACCATGGCGTATCCAAGACAGATCGCAAACATCACCTCACACGTCTACGGTCCTTATCCGGAAGACATAATCTTGAAGGATAACTACCCGCGTGCAGGTGTCACGTTGGCTATCAGGGAGCTGCAAATGTATCGCGACAATAGGCCTGTAGGGTGCGCTACCCATGAATCCGCTGCGAGGTCTTCCTTTGCACTCATATCTCCACAAGATTCGATGACACAGAATTAATCGGAAATCCTCCCGCTGGCTCCGTTGTCTTCTTTGGTGTCTTCGAAATCTCTTCGCTGGATTGTCTCTCAGAGCTCGGCTTGAAGTTCCTGCAAGAAGACCTCCGGAAATATGATGAGAAGATTCATTTGGCCCACGCAGTGAGTGGGCTAACACTGGGGGCGTTGTATGGACACAGGAAGGGCGAAGGTTCGCGTATAAAGGTTAGGATCCAATGCCGAAAGGTATTGCTGGCCAATTTCTTGACAAGTGAGTGCATCCTAATCATACTAAACGACTGTAGTAACTGAAGCATTTAAAAAAGCGAACACTGATCCTGAGAAACTTATCATCTACTCTGAATTCGCGGATCGGTATAAACCAGTAACCTTTTGTCGATTGATCAATCTAGGACTAATACCTATCTTCAGCAGTAGACGGCGCTTTTGGGTCCAATCTCTCCATGTCTCAACATATCGTTCAAGTCGCAATTTTTTCGACCGATATCGCCTTCGAGCATTGATAGAGGACCTTATACGGACAGACCGCCAAAAAACACCATTAGAAGGGCGAAATATTGACTGGCTTGTCCGTCAATATCTCGAAACAATACACCCCCGAGACAAAGACAATCGGATAATATACGATCCTCCCCCAGACATTGACGCATCTAGCGAACCTCGCCATCTGCGGCACCTTCCACATGCTGCAGTGCGGGGCTATTTTGCCTCACACGCGGAATGGCTCCTCGCGCATCAGATAGCTTCTGCTAGCAAAAGTGTCAAGCTCCTCGATATTCCGCAATGGATTCATTTCTGTCGAGAGGTTCGGCAGGACGCTCTTGAGGCCAAGAAGAATGGGGTACGATGGGGTCTACCACACGGCGAAGAATCCGAACTTACAGGACCCCATAACCTTGCCCGCAGCCTTGCACGGTTCGGTTTCGATGCAAAATACTGGGCGAAACGACTGAAGATTGCTCATAAAAATCAAGAAAACTCAAAGAAGGTACCTTTCAGATTTTCATGTGTCCTGTTTACTTAGCTCATCTTTTTTCAGGCTGGAAAGGCTAGACCTTCTCCTGAGATCGACCAACGCGAAGATATAGCTGCCACAGGCTCAGGGTGGAACATGCAGTATGATTCAGACTTCAGCGAAGCATCTACACCAGAAGCGACGGACTCAGAAGGAGACGTACCCACCTTTCCCACCTCCAGAATACCTGCATTCTGCTTTCAACAGCCTCAACTTCCAAGCGGGCGCTTCACTTGGCACTGTCCAGGATGTCACTACAGTATCAATTTGTTGGACCTGTCCCCTTCAGACCTCGACGTGGTGCCTATGGAACTCAAGAGGGGACTGCTAACTCAGAATTGGACTATGAATGAGAGTAACGTTCGAGAGGCCCTCAACTTAATGGTTTCGTACCATTATGAAAAAAACCATCTGGCTGCCAGCGGGGTTACATTTGAGCCTTCACACAATGGCAAGTGGCGAGCTGTGGACACAAGATTACCGAATACATCACTCACACTAAAGACGGTCAAAGTCGAGCATTCCGATAGCAATCTATCTGTTCTGCGTCGGAGTAGTCGCAAGCCTCGACCACGCAGACTTGGTGATTAGCCTCTAGTTCCTGGGGTTTTGTGTAGATTTATGTATGGACTTATGAGCACCAGCATTGTAAAATAATGGCATGTCCATTAGTCAGGCTTCGAAGTGCACTATAAATTCATAATTTAGAAATTTGGCAAGTAAAGACAGGTTGTTACCAGGAAACCCAGGCCATCATCACCGTCGAAAGCAGAACAACTGTGGTGAAAAGGGCCATGGGCTCATTTCGGAAACCGTTGCCAGTCTTCGTCGCTGCGCCGTTCGTACTGCTGCTGCCACCTTGATTTGCTGGAGCACCACCAGCAAATACCACAGCCATCCCAGGAGCAGGAACGTCAATGGAACACCCATTGGTGCAATCCAACTGCTTGTTGGAAGGTGCCCATGTTGCATTCGCTGCCACCAATTGTCCATCACCAACCCCTGAGTAGGTTTCTCCGCCCCATGCAATGTTCTTGCTCTCGCCCATGTTATCACCTGTCAAGTATTTAACGACGACAGCATTCCTGTTGCTGGACTGGAAGACGCTCGCAGGGACATTGAAAGTAGCGATTGAGCCTGCAGAGGATGAGACGTTGGCATAATTGAAGAAGACAAGCTGCTGGACGGTCTTGTCCGTTGCATCGTAGACGGCGTACCCACTGACAGTCGAGTTCTTGTCGGTCTTGGAGCCACTCACATCCAGGTCGGTGACGATGGTGCCATTGCCACTCTTCGAATGTAAAGCCTCGGCAGTGACGAGCAGGCCATAGAAGGGTGGGTTTGTGGTCCAAGATCCAGGAATACCATTGGGACCCTCAGGCGGCGTGAAAAGATTATACGAGATGCCTCGTTCCCGTGTGTGCAGATAAGCCGCACCGTATCCCACCGAGGCTAATTGCAGAGCATAGTCCACAGTCCACAGGGACCCAACCGCGAAGGTGTCGGAGATGGTGGGTATACCTCCGCATGATGCAGAGTTAAATTCGGACATGATGACTTCTTGACCGTCAGACAAAGCCTTGTTGATTCCGGATTGCTGCCATGCGGCGAGGGCCACAACTGTTTGAAATATTTTTAGAACAAACATACAGTAGAAAGGATGATTATCACCATTTGCGTGCTGGACATAGTACGGGATCTCGAAATTATAACGCCCGAAGCAGTTGTTCTGCGGGTAATGCTGCAGGCTGACAGATGGTCGATTTCCATCAGTTTCTCTGCTCAATTTTTTTTGGAGTCCCTGAGATTACTTACGAGACATATTTTAGAACATTGCTAAAGGTCTTAATATAGCCATCATCGATGAGTGCGTCTAGATTCTAAAGACAGATTAAGGCAGTTCTGTGTTGAGACGCATCGTACCACATACCCATGAACAACAGATGGTCGGGCCTCCAATGTTGTGTTTATCCAAAATATTCCCGCCCGAGGTACTCGTCAGATGGTTGAGGACTGCTTGAAATTCCTAATAAGTTCAAGTCAACAGCGAAATCAACAGACCAGGACGAAAATAACCAACATCCATGTAAATTGCGGTGGTGTAGTTCTTGATGTCTGGCCGATTGCCGTGACTCGTGTATAAGTCTGGTTCCTGAATTATCGCATTTGAGGTGACTCCGTTTTGGGCGAGTGGCCATGCATACATTACCGAGAAGGAAACCATCGAGGTTGCCACCCAACTTCTCTGCGGCTTCACCTTCATCAGAGCGTAGTCGATTAGAGGCCGTCGATCAACTAGGATTTCGAGACGAACACACCGGCGAGAACTGGGACGTTGGTATTATTTGGGTCCAGAAGCGACAAACCTTTCCAGAAGAAAAAGGTTAGATGCGGCACCAACGGGTCAGGATAATGTCCCACCGAGCAGATAGGATGCACCGCCGATATCTGACGCGATCTTGTCGAGGACATCCCAAACTACCGGCCCATAGTTTACAGGCTGGTTATTTGCATTGGCCGCATCGCCAACCAATTGAACCATGGGCGACGTTTGCTCGGGGACGTAAATCGAGCTATCCATCGAGTTTCCACCTACCCTCATGCGGAATGGCGTGTTGCCTACCCGCGAGCGCAACGCAGTAAGATAGTTGATGACAGTCGGGGGAATGGTTGAGGTATCATTGCCAACTGAAAGGCACGAAAATCAACATCGCATTCATGAAGCGCTTTTTCTCTTACAGTATTCGTCCATGAAACTCAGCTCCAAACTGATTCCAAGAAAGTTTTGTTGGATGACATGAGAGGACGTTGGAGAGGACGGGACCAAAATCTGGATGGGATCCGCAACAACAGGTGAAGAAATAAATGGTAGAAGGACAAGGACGCTGAAAAGAGCGGCAGGGGCCGGCATTATAATGCAGGCGGAGCGTGAAAAGGAGAGCGTTTTATGGATATGATCAAGAAGAGGCTGGCACTTATAAGTCACGGAGGGGCGGACAATCAAGGGACGCACTGAGCAGCTTGACTACCGCTCGATGGAGCAATTGGTGTACGTCCTGAGCTATTTAAAGCTGGTACAAGCTTCCGGCCATTGAGCGCCATTATGATTGAGAAGAGTAAGGGATGATGGAGCATGCCCGAATCTCCCTGTTTGAAGGATGGCGGGGGGGGTAGGCTGGTTGCCACACACGTACGCTGTACTCTAAGTATCTGCGCCGCATTCAGCTACGCTCCTGGAAGTGTAACAGAACTGGGTGTTCTAGTGCATGGGTGCAGTCTATGAGCGTCGTACATAATACTGCTGAGATTCGCAGTCATGCCTGGGACCCCTTGACAAGGTGGGCCGACGAAGCACATGTCGATCCATCCTTGTGTATTTCTTCTCAGTCGGTCGGCGTGGATTTTGCGGGATTAACGGGGACAGTACTGATAACTGCACGATGCAAGGTCTGTTGGTAAGTCGAGGCTATGGTATGTACTCCTCGGATTAGGCGCCGAACTCGGCTTCACGCGTCACGTGCTATCTAATGGCAGCTCACCGGCCCGACACAGAATGCGACTCTGTCCCAAACGTTGATCTCTCAAACTTGAATGTTCGTGCACGAATCGCGTCCAACTACCTTCCAGCCTATGACTGACGCCGGAGTACACATAGGCTCTTCCTTCCTAGGATTCAAGGTCGTTTCTCAGTCGGTGTAACGACCTTCGTCACTCCTGTTCGACCACCCCAGTCCATAGGAACAGCCAAACTCAAACGCAGTGCAGGAAAGAAGCAGGAACAGCCTAGTCACGCTCTCTTCCTCGAAGAGGTCGCGTTTACCGCATACTACCCAGCGGACGTGTCCGCTGCGTCGAAGAAGGGCGTCCCATGGTTCCTACGGTTCGTTCGCATACACGTTCAGTATCCAGCTGCCTCATGCAAATCGAACGACCAGGCCTATTAGAGAATCTCTGCATGGATTCGCCGCGTTCCTTGGTATGGGGAATCACTTTTCGACCTTGATGCGACTCTAATGGCCGATAGGGTTACCCAGTTGGCTTCTGTGGCCAGTGGTGTACCTTTTTGGAGCCTTTCTCAGGGTGAGCGTGGCTGTCCTGCCGTCTTCTCTAAAGTCTGTCAGCTTATTGACTTCATATGTAGATCCCTGCTTATCCGAACGCACCTCTTCTCAGTCCCTCAAAGGCAGATATTAATGCATCGCAATGGCCGTTGGTCATTTTCTCCCATGGACTTGGAGGAGGTCGAACTGTTTACAGGTTTGCTTCAAGATCACTGTACCATTGTCCAGCATTCTGACAAAGGACAGTCAGTTCTGCAGCCGCTTAGCGGCCTCTGGTAAAATAGTACTCGCCGTCGAGCATCGCGACGGCACAGGCACGGTATGCATGCCCCGATCCTGGAACCAAGGAATGAAGTCCGGACCGCGGCCAATATTCTATCTAAGGGAGACGGATATTCAGTAAGTACCTCCGATCAAGTAATTGCTGGAGACTCTTAACGAGTGCCCTTAGTTGGGACGACAGTGACAAGATTGACACCCATCCCATTCCCTTGCGAGGTCAACAGCTCGTATTCCGACACCATGAAGTGCATATCGCGTACTCAACCTTTTGCCGCTTCCTCCGCAACGATCCAACCCTAGACCTCGAGACCATCGATGGGAGTCCATTCGATAAATCAAGCTGGCTAAGTTCTGATCAATCATCTGATGCTGCGAAAGTACGGTATCAGGACGGCATCGTCTTTACTGGACACTCGTTTGGAGGGTGCACTGTCGTAAGTAGGGCGTTTGCTCAGTTTACTCCAATCCATATTGATTTATCAACTGAAATTCCATTTCATTATTCATTTGCAACACCTCACCCTCCTGTTTCCCTGGATTTTTCATCAGCTTTCGCTACTTTCCACCGAGCCATTGGAAGGGTACGCGGCAATCCCAGTCGAACGGGTGGTGATCCTAGACCCTTGGCTAGAGCCTCTGCCATCCCCTGGTCCCACGCCATTCCCACGAAAGAAGGCTACAGATGAAGCATCAGTAGCTGAAGAGTCTGTTCGATCTTCAGTTGAAGGAGTGTTTGCCACGGAAAATGGCACACCGAACGGGAGATCGCTGCACCCCCGCATGCTCGTCATTAATTCGGAGGCCTTCACTATATGGAAGGATCATTTTGCAAGACTGCAGGAGGTTGTTGCCGGCTGGGAACCTGAAGGCGGAAAAATTCTAACACTAGGTATGACCTTGTTCTTCCTCTCGTTTGGTTGCAATATTCTGAATGTCTGCTCTCTAGTTGGCTCCGCTCATGTATCGTTCTCCGATTTCCCTGTCCTCCCCATCATTCGCAAGAAAACTGCACAACCTATCTTAGATACGATTGCGAAGTTGTCCCTCGCGTTCCTCGAGGATAAATTAGACGAGGCTCTGGAAACCCTCCCGAAGACTAAGATGGAAGTCAAGATTGTAGGGGTCAAGAAGGATGGAAAACCTAAACGAAAGCTAGTAGGTAATGTGGGAGACGTCATTGTACTTTAAGATAATTTGCATCTCTACATAGAGTATAGATAGAGTCTCTTCTGGTCTTAGTAGAATTTATTTTCAGCCCAGAAAGACGGCAGCATCGGCCGCGAGGTGGAACCAAACAATTCAGCACATTTGCCTGCCATCATTTCCCTTCGTACACGTTTCACCAACACCTAAAACTAAGTATAAAATGAATGTGCGGCCTATGAGGGTGAGTAATATGTACCTTATGAATAAATTTACTTCCTAACAGCTCAGCAGGTAGATGACTTAATGGGCATGCAGGCGTGCAACTTGCAGAACTTGCCCGAAAACTACACCATGCGATATTGTCAGTGCTCCATGGCCTACCCTTCCACATTCCCTCAAACGTCGAACTCAGGAGCAAACGTTCAATAGACTTGTATCATGCGATGACATGGCCGTCTCTATCCTACGTCGCTGAGGACTACAAAGGTCGGATCGTCGGGTATATTCTGGCGAAGATGTAAGTGTGCTCGAACTGCAATGGACAACTGCTCCTTAAATTCGGCGCTGTCAGGGAAGAAGATTTGAAAGAGGGAGAAGAGCCCCATGGTCACGTCACCTCTCTATCTGTTCTGCGGTCATATAGACGGCTAGGGCTCGCAAAGAAACTCATGGTGCAATCGCGTATGTCTCCTCTTCTCACGCGTGTCATAGCTGACAGGCCATCCTCTGTAGAGGAAGCCATGAAAAACATGTATAACGCATCTTATATATCCCTGCATGTGCGAAAATCTAATCGAGCTGCCTTGGGTCTGTACAAGGATACCCTTGGCTTCTCAGTGAAGGGTGTTGAGAAGGCGTATTGTGAGTCGCTAGCGCTCTTTGACTGAAAACACACGCTAATGGCGTACCCCAACAATAGACGCGGACGGAGAAGATGCATATGCCATGCATCTTCCTCTCAGAAAGGATTCCTAGTTGTTGTGTGCTCTAAGAACAAGAGATACAGACGCTATAGATCTATTAGATTTTCACTCTCCCCTTTCTCCTCAACTGGCGACCGCGTCCGCCTTCGTGCTTTCTTTATAGGCGAGGAGGGCCTCGGTCCGACGATTCCTCGACTAGTTTGGATCGCATCTCGGATTATTTGCGCACTCGTGAGGCCCAGTTGGTAATAACCATCGTTCGTGGCCGCTGAAAACATGCCAGTATGACCCTCAATTTCATTGGCTGCAATGCCGTTGTTTGCTGGCAGGAAGCTGTCCTTTGCACGGCTGCCGTACTTGGGAAGCACAATGAACGTTCTAGTAGTCAAAAACTCGGGTAATTTGGGCGGCAGACTGGTATATAAACTTTGAGGTTTCGTCAGAAGGGTTCGACGATGGTTGGTACAAGTGCACTCACATTCGGAATACGACGCCGTGTTCTTTCTCAATGTCGACCAATGCTTCGACTCTCTTCTCCAGCTCTGGCTCATCCCACAGATTTCCAACGTACTTCAAATGATCTGTTGCCCAACCTAGCCCTTGTGTGAGCTCATCTTTCTTGTAATACGCGCCACCTGCGGCAGCTCCTGCCAGAAGGGCACCTCCCACTGCATACGCAGCTGGGCCAGCCCACCTACTCCACGGAGACTGATTGGCTGTTGCATTTGGTTGTGGCACAGGTTGGGTAGCCTTTTTCGCGCCAAACGCCGCAAAGGAACCGAGGACTGCAGATCCAATCGTCGTCGCAGCGTTGGCATACTCTGTCACTTTGGTAACACTGTTCTTGACAACAAACGGGTGAAGACCGTAGTACTGGAGTACCATATGAATTAGTGATAATAGTGATAAGAGCGTGTTGAAGGGTTTCCGTATGCAAACTGACTGGAGTATCATACGCAATCAATGCAATTATCTTTGGCCACAGTGGACCCGTTTTATCTGGCCGTGTATGGACGAATTCACGCAGAGAATCTGCTGCAAGAAGGCCGCCCATACTGTAGAGGATCACGATCAACATGAGCACGATCAACAAGCGGATTATCTGCGCACCTGTGTCCGCAAAGCACAATCTTCGTCTTTCCTGCTCCAAGGCCCGACGCAACTTCGCGTTCAACAATCAGTGTCGTCAGCCAGTCAGCAAACCGGACAACTGCTTTGTCCTTGCGCAGATTCAGAAACAGGACTCGAAGGTACACCAGGGTAGACTCACTAGGTCGCCTTTCGTCTGGAGAACTTGTCAATTAGAAGCTCATGATAGATTGCACGTCGCGCACCTCATAAGCTGGAAAGATGAGGCATTCCACGGTAATGTTAGACACCGTCTCGGAAATAATGTGCTCGAGTCTCTTGGGGAACTCTGCGAAGGTTTCGTCCGTTCCTTTGAAGCCATGGATAAAGATGATGAGAAGTAGCTCGGTTTCTGCCTTGATCAAGGCCTTGATGTCTCCAGCATCGCTTGAAGAAGCGAACAACATTGTCTGCTCTGACAATCAATGATTATAGGACTTGCTGAAGTGCAGAGTCATAGCACAGTTGTAAGATGCCCGTCACGGTACTACTTAGTCTGAGCACGAAGTGGAAGTGGCAGTGCAACAGATTTACACGAAGTCTTTTAGACAAAAATAATAGTGCCAAGAAATTGCAGCAAGTATGTACAATGATAAGGGAATAGCGAAGTGAAAACCTGAACACTCATGCTAGAACTGCGACAAAATCTGGCTATGATATGGTGCTTGGGTCTGCAAAGGGGGGTATGACAAGTCCTGGGATTGGCTCGAATCCATGTAGTCCTGGGTCTGGGAATTCGCCCAAGGATCATAGGTGTTATACTGTACGGCCAGTACATCTTGCAGGAGGGCGTCCGAGTGGTCAGCGTGCTGAGTATCCAATTCCTCAGTGATTGGCCTGGGCGCAGGTGTGATTTGTAGAGTCCCTGAACGAAAGACCTTCTTGAATTTTGGGGGGCGGGACGCACGTCGAGACGCCCGAGATGCAGCCAGATCACGTTTGGGAGGAGATGCATTTGGTGGGTCCTCAAATTTTGGTGACTGCCCACTCGATTGGCTGCTATGGCGTCTTCTCGGAGGAGCCTGGTACCAATTCTGCCTTTGCTGGGGTGTACTGATGGCAAACGTGGGTGAAGCAAGCGGAACTGGCTGGCTAAGGGCTAGTGAAGGGCTAGAGGAGGGGGATTCAGGGAAAGCAGAGGCCACTTTTGGCTTTGAGCCGTGGTCGTGAATCGGGAAAGACTCAAACTGCGATGGAGGTTGTGAGAACGATTCGAGGGTAGCCAACATCGGACCTTGTGGTGGACTTTGCGATACTGTATTACTGTCATTCTGAGACACAGAAGAATGCCACTCCAGCTCAGCTGCATACATATCCGGGGCTTGACTCGAACCAGGTTGAGAAATTGGCAAATGGCCAGGTGGGTTGAGGAAATCATCTTCCCCGCTGGCATCTGGGCCGCCGTTCTCTTCGCTGCCAGACACCGGGCTCTGGGTCAATTGCCGTTCAACAGAGAGTTGCGACCCTGTAGAAGAATCTGAAGACGAAGATTGCGAAAGTGGATGGCGTCGACTAGCTGGCTTGACAGGTGACTTGCGCTTGGTTGACCTCGCGACAAGGGAACTAAAGGATGGAGATTTGGGAATATCAAGTAGAGGTGGTGAGCCTGCTGGTGAGCTCAATGAAGCAAAGCTGGGCATTGAGACATCTTGCTGGGGAGAAAACTCCTCGGATAGAGGGCTTTTAGGCTGAGTGTGGTCAAACAGTGATTCATCATGTGAATGGGATCCTGGACTGGAGGCTGGAGGGGAGGGGAGGGAGGATGAAGGGTTGGCCAGAGCCAATGTTGTGGGGTCTAAGCATGCAAGATCAGAATCATCATAGTAAGTGTTTCATCAAGTAAGTACAACAATACCTGTGAATGCAGATTTTTGGGAAGTAGAAGACTGAGTCTGACCAGTCATGAGGTTGGAGATTCCCAGACTGTCTCCCATTCCTTCTTCAGTCCGTTGCAGCATCAGGATATCCCGCCGCCTCACAGGAATCGCACGACGAACATGCTCATGAACGACGTGGTTGTTGAGTTGTACTTCATCATGGAAGGTGGAACGGCACCATGCCCATCGGCATGCATATATTGCAGATGTGGGTCCTAGAGAGGCAGAGCTGGACGAGCCTGGGGAAGATAACGCTGTGTGCATGTCCAACGCACAAATTGAGGATTGTGCACTGGGGAAAGGGCACCTGGCAGTATGAGAGGTCAAACCTGTAGAGGAGAGAGGGTGTTCAACGTCTTGACTCAAGTTGTGGCCCGGGAAGGAGCTCTAACTGGTCACAGTAGCGTGACAGGTCGCGTTTAAGCGTCTCTCGTATCAAGCGCCTTGTTCAGGACAACGCACTGTTACATAAATTCTACATTTCATTACGGTACCTAGATGGTGCGATACTTCAATAGGGCGCAAGCTGACGATCGCCAGCACCACTAGCGTGAAGAAAGTCCTTCGAAGTCCCAAATGGCTGCGCTTGATTCAGCTATCTGAATCCGTGGAATCGTCTTCTTGCAGCTGTCTTTCCACAACGCTCTCCTCGCTTGCCGTACCTGGACCATTGCTTGGACCGGCTTCAGGCGTCGTGGCATGGCTGTCTCGCGAATCAGGCTCGTTCACAGACGGTGCACTTGTCACCTTCCGCTCGCGTTTGCGCGTACTTGGAGGTGGCGGCGGCGGTGGTAGGTGTGCCTTCTTGATGCGAAGGATGTCCATTATTTCTGCAAAATCGAGTTTAGCGCCTCATAAAAGCATCAAGAATGTACAAATCAACCTTGATGCGTCATTTCTTCATAGCCCTTGACACTCTTTTTCAGTGTCAACCAGCGTCGCTGAAGTGTATGCGCACTCCATAAATTCCAATCAGCATCTGAAATGAGCTTCCAATCGATCTCGGTGTCATCTCGAACGTTTAAAGAGTCCACTCTACTCAGTAATCAGGTTCTGGTCCTGAAAATTTGATCAAACGAACTGACTTGTGAACAAGGATGAAGGCGTCTTGTTGGCTCCATCGTGGCTTCTGTCCTTCGTTTTTCATGGTTTTGCTCAGTGCGTCGGTCCTTTGTGAAAATATGAATGATCATGATCTCGAACGAAAAAGAGAGGGAGAAGGAACGCACCATTTAATCCTGCACTGTTGACGTCCACGCCTGCCTCCCATAAGCTCGCTGACTTTGCTCCAAAATACATCGTTATCAACGTCTTTCCCTTGCTTCACAGTCATGTCGGTAACAATTTGAGTAAGCTGATCTTCCTCTTCCTTCGACCATGGGCCTGAGAATAGCAAACGTGTCAACAAGACGCACAATTCCAGACAGTGGACGCTGACCTGTGATTCTGATGTCCCGATTGAGGAGATGGTTGCGGTATCGATCCCGACAATCCGAAGCCATTCTTCCGACGCGAGAGCTAACTTTTTCCCATTGCTGCCCGAGATCAGCTACAGCTCTGATGTGCGGTGAGACCAGATCCTGGAAAGTCGAGTGAGGAACGTACTGCTTTAACAAGTCATCCTCGTCGGGCTTCCACGGCCCTTGCTGCTTCATAGGGTGATATGACCTTCGAACATGATGGTAGACAGCAATGATTGGGCGCAAAGGAACAGCAGCAGCTGACAGAAGTGCAAAATATCAGCCACTAGTCCGCGTGAATCCGAATACTACATACTCAGTTCCGACCAAAACGCGGTATCCCTATTCTTGTCATTCTTGGAGAATATGATTTCAAGTAGTTCTTGATCGCTGAGCTGCCTCACCTGGAAACAATTCCATTTTAGCGAGTGGTGAAACGAAGAAAGAAGGACCAACGTGTTGGATATTCGCGACGGCAGACCTTATTAGATGCTCTTCAATGGCAGAGAATTTACCTTTCTTATAAACAAGACCTGGAGATCGTCAAGATTGGCAATACGAAACCAAGCAAGCAAATGGAATACCTTCTGTCCTGACAAGTTCGGCCAGCTTACTAGCGCCTAGCCATTTATTGGCGAGTAAATGCGCATGGTTGATATTGCCGGGCTGTTCATTGCCGGGCATGGCCATATTGATTAGTCGCTTGTGGCCGGCGTTGCTCTTCGCTGGTACTCCCAAAAGCGCGTTGGAGGATGTCGCTAGCTGCTGCAGATCAGGAGGCGAAAGTTGATCCAGTTGCTGAGGCGTGAAGCTAAGCTGGGGAGCAGTAGGAGCGTCTCCTAGCGTTCTAAGGACATTGGCGATCTTGCTCATATCAAGCTCCTGCAATGCCCGCAACACCTCCTCGTTCGATCCAAAGGATAACTCTGAAAAGGTGTTGCCATGTGGAGGAGGGCCAGGGAATGCGTTAGACGGCTGAGGCGCGCTCGGATCAAAAGTTCCTGGAGGTGCCATTGGAAATCCAAAATGCATTGGAGGAGGATACGGCATGAAGTGAGCACTGGCTGGTATCAGACGTGGGTCATAACCGGGAGGTACAGGCATTTGAGGCGCTTCGGAGTTCGTAACTGAGGCCGCGACAATGGCAGAAAGGAGGGCAGCGGCCGACGCATGAGAGTTGGCCTCTATTTCAGCATCTGTTTGGTCTGCCAATGCCGTTTCTGCGGATTTCGCTTTCGCTTTTCCTTTGTCCTTTTTCTTCTTCTTCTTCTTCTTCGCAGGCGCGTCGCTGTCGACAGCGGCTGCAGAGGATGGCTCCTCTAGTTCCTCTGGATCGGGATTGACGTGCTTGCGTTTCTTTTTACTCTCTTTCCGTTCATGAGGGGAGGCTTGATCATCTTCGCGGGATCGCTTCTTCTTTTTCTTCTTTTCGACGGGAAGGGATATGTGCTCTGGATTGATGTTGACGGGCAAAGGGTCGACAGCCATAGCTGGGGTGGTGATCGATTGCATTAGGGCGGGCTCGAGAGAGTTGGTCGAGAAAGAGTTTCCCTGCGTGACGAGCAAGTCACACGCATTGTCTCTATTCGTGCCTAGATTCTGTAGTAATACATTCGGTACGTAGCTGCTGTGTCTAAGGCTCGTCCTCGTCGTCGAACCACCGCTCTTCCGCTTCTCTTTCATTGTCTCCATTCAGTGTCTCGTCCCAGTCGATTTTGCCGTAGTCAACATTCTGTTTTCCGTCAGCCAAAGTCATTTCAACTTACACTGTCTGTGCACTTACATCAAGAAGCCCATAGATAAACCGTTCGCGAATACGTCTTTCAAACCATGTTCTCGCTTCATCTTCTGTCTCTTGTTCTGGCATACTCGGCCCTTCGTCGTCGCTGTCAGTGTCTTCTTCAGGAACCAAATCATCCTCAGCGGGTGCCCTCCATAGGTCACGCGTGCGTTGAGCCTCCCGCTCTTCCTCGTATTCCCCCAAAAGACTCCCCAACTTCCCTACGTGCTGCTTTCTCCCTTGGAGGAACTCGTTCTGTCCCCAAGCCTTTTCTTCTTGCCCGTCTCCTCGTTCGCGCTTTCCCCAAAGATTCGGCCATGTCTTCATCGCTGACTCGAACCGAAGCTCAGAAGGATTTTTACGTGTGTATTGGAGACGTCTGTTTCGAATGGAAGGTATGTTAGTTCTCTGCTTTGGTGTAGTTATCTGGGAGTAATGGTGTAGAATGTTGGGCGGTAAATGGGAGAGATGCCGGATAAGAAATGCAACGGGATCAGTTTCAGGAGAGGGAGAGTAATCGTGTGGTAATCCCAGGTACTTCAATGATAGGGTTTTGTCGAATGTCGATATAGGTGCCGAGGACATGGTGTTGGCTGAAGCTGAATGAAGGGAGAGAGTAGTGTGACGGTGGGTAATTCAACTTGTACTACATAAGTCAGCTCCACGCGTGCATGCACGAGCACGAGCACGAGCGTGGCGAGATTCGCCCTGCGTTTCCTTGTGCCTCCGCAACTGTCCGTGATGATGTCCCCAGCAGCCGCCTGTTTTTCATTTGTAGATGCAACGCAGTTTGCGCACCATCCTCTGGCTGCCTTACATAAAGACACCCTGCTTGTCGCTAGTGCCCTACTGAGCTTGCACCATGTCAAGCAAAGATACCTTTACCACTGGCGTCGGGCCTACCCGCTCACGCTCGGCCGAGCTGACATCCAGCATCGGAATCGGCTTTCGCCAACTCTCAAGCCCATCGACGCTGGTTATTTCTCTCTCTGTCGCTATTGTCACCTCTTTGGCAATTATTTCGACTTGGATTCCTGCCTACACAGACCTCTTCGTTTCGGTTCGGTCTTTCTCTGGTGCTAGTTCTGGACGAGGACCATCGGCAGAACTGAAGGCGTCGATTCTTTCCCGTTGCGCTGCTCTCAAAGCTGTTCCAGGACCACCGTCTTCGTTTTCTGCTCGCGACGAATCCGACAGGTTCGAAACAGGGACGAACGCAACTCTCATTCGCAATGCCAAAATATTCACGGGAAGGGAAAACGGAACAGAAATCATTCACGGGGACATTTTGCTCGACAAGGGTATTGTTAAGGGTCTGGGGAAAGTATCTGGACGCGTCATCGACAACACACCCAACCTCACTATTGTCAACGCGAATGGCGCGTGGCTCACACCAGGACTTGGTACGATCCCTGGTCTGTACTCCCTTGCTTTTCAAGCTGAGATTCGGCTGGAATAGTGGACCTACATACTCATCTAGGAGTTCTCAGCGCACCCATCCTTGCAGGTACGAGGCCTGACTTTTTCACATCTCGCCTCTGGGGCTTCATTTCCATCATCACACCAGGCGCGTATGATCTGAGCTCCAACCGGGGTCCTATTCTCCCATATCTCAGAAGTCTGGATGGACTCAACACGCACGATGAAAGTTATGAGCTGGCCATGGCAGGAGGAGTAACTTCAGCACAAGTTCTTCCAGGAAGCAGTAATGCAGTTGGTTGGTGCACACAAACACCCGGACTTTATTTCATTGCTAATGCGTCCCCGATCCCAGGTGGACAAGCTTTCATCGTAAAACTTCGCAAACCAAAGGACCGCTCTGCGTCGTCCATGATCCTAGAACCTCCTTATAACCTGAAACTTTCGGTAAATGAACCGTCACCTGAACATGCCCCATTCCGCTGGCGGCACATGAAGTGAGCGTAGTCGCGAAACCCATTGACTGCCCTCGTTGACTCTCATTCAGACAAGCATGTGGAGAGAATCTTCGTATTTATGGGAACAGAATGGATACAATCTGGTCATTCCGATCCGCCTACAATGAGGCCACGAAAATCAAAATATCTCAGGACGGGTTCTGTGCCAAAGCAGAAAGCGGGCTCTGGGAATCGTTGGATACGCCCTTCCCAGAAGATCTTAGATGGGAAATGCTCGTCGACGTCCTCCGTGGCAAAGTCAAGGTAGTCTTGGCCATTGTGTCACTGATTTGTCTAATAAGCGCCCGACTATTTTTAGATCTCGACCCACTGCTACGAAGCTGTTGACATTGACGCCATGGTTCGAGTAGGTGGCTGGCACACTAGGACGTTGGCAACACTGCAGCTAACATCCACCAGCTCAGTAATGAGTTCCAGTTCCCCATTGCGTCGTTCCACCATGCTGCTGAGGCATGGCTGGTACCAGACGTTCTGAAGCGGATGTGAGGGTGACGGTCGACTTAATTTCCGAGCCCAAACTAATACACAGTCTAGGTGGGGCGGAGCCCCTTCGATTGCTTTGTTCGCCACCAACCACAGGTAGAGTCTTCGTAACATCGAGCCAACCAGGATCCCACGACTGTTGCCTTTCTGATTAGATACAAACGGGAGTCATATCGCGGCTCAGAGTTTGCTCCGCGTGTGCTCGCAGACGAAGGCATCCCGGTCATTATGAAGGTGCGTCAAGAAAACCATTTTTCTCGTAAGATAAGATGGATTCTGACTGTAAATGAAGTCCGATCACCCCGTCATCAACTCACGCTACCTGATCTACGAGGCCCAACAAGCGCATTACTTTGGCCTCCCAGCATCTCTCGCACTTGCTTCAGTGACGTCCACACCGGCTGCAGCGGCAGGTGTCTCCCATCGCATCGGGGTTCTGGCGGAGGGAACCGACGCCGATGTCGTGCTCTGGGATTCGCATCCTTTACAAATTGGTGCAACACCAGTCAAAGTATGGATTGATGGCATTCTGCAGATTCCTGTCCCCTCCAAGTCGGGCGGAGAGACCATTGTAGAGATCGGAAAGGGTAAGGACGGAGACCGGTGGCGCCAGATTCCCGAAACGCCGAACTGGGACAAGGAGAAAAATGAATCTCTCCGCTGGGATGGCCTTCCTCCGCTAGAGGGGAGGAAAGTGCAAGGAAAAGTTTCTTTCATCAACGTGAAGGAGGTCTGGAGGAGAACTTGGAACGGCGACATCGAACGGGCATTCCTCGCTGAACCGTCGAATGGCCGTCGGCAGAGGCTAGGTGCAGTGGTCGTCGAAGATGGAAAGATGACTTGTGTTGGCATGCACTGCGACGACCTGAAGGCAGATTCCAAAACTATCGACCTGCGCGGGGGATCTATTTCTCCTGGCCTCATGACGTATGGCTCGCCTCTGGGACTCGAAGAAATCGCAGACGAATCTTCCACTGGAGATGGACAGGCGTATGATGCTTTCCGACACAATGTCCCAAAGATTCTTAACGATGTAGGAGGTGTCGTCCGTGCTATGGATGGATTGATGTTCGGTACTCGAAACGCTCTGTACGTTCGCCATTTTCCTTCCTATTTTCCTGTATACTCATCCGTAATGCAGGCTTGCCTATCGTTCGGGTGTGACTCTGGCAACTTCCTCCCTTGAAAAGCCCATTTATATCGGTGGACCAGACGCACATATCATCTCCGGACTTTCCGTTTCGTTCCGCACTGGCTCAGCGCATGCCATGCAACGAGGAGCCATCGTACAGGACGTGACGGCCTTGCACGTTGTTCTGGGCAAGTCGTACCTACTTCTACGGGGCATCAGTGTTAGCACTCAGATAGCTGCACTACGGCGCCTTTTGTATGGGTGGGAGAGCCAAGACAAAGAAACCGGATATTGGTTTAGAAAGGCTGCAGAGGTGTGCGCCCTCTTACTCGTCCGAGCTCGCGCCAACTTACAGAGCTTTTGAAGGGTATTGTCCCTCTCGTGATAGAGGTTGACAGTGCAGACATCATGGCCAACCTTCTCATTTTGAAGGCCGACGTCGAAGACAAGATAGGCTCCATGATGAGGATGGTTTTCAGTGGTGCTACGGAAGCACACTTGTTGGCTGAAGAAATCGGCAAGTCGAGACTGAAGACTCCTTAGCCCAAATAATTGACATTTACGCAGGGAACGCGAATGTTGGTGTTATACTAAGTCCCGCAAGACCATTCCCAATGGTTTGGGACCAGCGCCGAATGTGGGTCCTTCTGGAATTGAAGAAAATTCATCCAACTAAAACTCGATTTAAAGCCTCCCTGGGCCTCCTCTCACAAATAACACAGCATTGGTAACTTTGATGGAAAAGGGCGTCGTTGTTGGACTGGGGATTCGGAGTGCATGGGAAGCGAGGAACACACGCTTTGATGTCCAATGGGTAAAGCAGTCTGTTTAACTTCACTGACACGCTGATGACGACGTCCACAGGCGGCTCTTGAGTCGAATGAACGTGTCTCCCAGCAGCAAGCGTACGCCCTCGTCACCCGTGATCTTGAGAAGCTTTTAGGCGTGCGTGGGGTTGACGAGGAGTCCGGAGATTTGGTTGCATATGAGGGTGGAAGCATGTTTGATCTTTCGAGTAAAGCCGTTGGAGTAATCTCTCCAGCTCGGGGACTTGTCGATGAATTCTGATAGGATGTTTAGTAGTGTCGGTGTTCGTGCGTCTAACTTGATTTATTCTCCCAACTTTATGCTACGCCCAAGAGTGCAGCACTACTCCGGAGACCGCGGTTTCGGGCAGCGGCAAAGCTGATACCGATGCAGCTGATAAGAAATCCTGCGAATCTAACGGAGCGAGCGGTGAGAAGCAAGGTAAGCGGGGAGCAGGGAATGTTTTGGAGATATCGTCCATACCGAAAGAAGGCGACTCGTGAGATAGAGCGCTCCTCATGTGGAGAACGCGACGAAGCAAATATCGAGCGCAAAACAGCCGGTGTGACGGGTATTCTCCGATTGGTGTCTGGTGGGTCGACCGGCGGAGGAGGCTGGAACTCCTTGTACAGAGGTCTCGCGGTCATGGAGGAAGTGGAGGTGGAGGAAGACATTGGGAATGGTTACGTAATGACAGGTGTGCCTGCTATAGGACTGGCTGAAATTCCAGGGAGCCAATGGGAGACATTTGTTATTTTTAACCTCATGGCGCTAGTCTAGACCTAGACTGACCTAGACACCCACATTTCCGTAACTGCTGACATTCCACCAGGCGTCTCTTATTTACTCTGTCGCAATGCTGCTGGACGGTGACTCTGAGTCTACAAACTCCTTCCATGAAGACATGATCAAGATTATCGACCGTCTCCCGACAGAGGAAGAATATCGTCGCGTCCGCCACCTCGTTCTGCAGCAAGTTTCCGAAACCGTGTCGGACGAGCGCCTCGCACAGATAATTGCGGCGTGCCCACATCTTGAGACTGTCGTGCTCACTGGCGTGCCGGACACGACGGACAGAACCGTCGTCGTGCTCACTGAGACTGCGCTCAACCTGGTGGGGCTCAACTTGTCTGGCTGCACGCAAGTCACGGACGTCGGCGTCCTCGAGATTACGAATAAATCTCCGCCCTTGCAATGGGTCCAGCTAAGTGGAGTGGTGGGGCTCACGGATCCCTCGATATCTGCTATTGCCAAAACTTGCTCACGTCTCGTAGAACTCGAGGTTTGCGATCTGCCGTTGCTGACCCCGGTCGCGGTCAGAGACGTCTGGTCCTTTTCGAGGTTAGTACTTGCTGAGACGCACGTTATTACTCTTTTGCTGTGCCGATGACTCACGAGGACGCGTCATTTGACCCGCAGAAAACTGCGGACGTTACGGCTGGCCAATAATCCACTTCTTTCTGATAAAGCCTTTCCCGCCCCTCACTCTTTGGACGCGACTTCGGACCCGAACGAATCAGGCGAAAAGCCCCTCCCCCATAGGCCGACGACGTGGCTGGAGAAATTGCCGCCTTTGATCCTACGGCATTCTGCAGAGAACTTGCGCGTCTTGGACGTTTCCTCGTGTAAAATAACTGACGATGCTGTGGAAGGCATCGTAACACACGCTCCAAGGATACAAAGCTTCAACCTTTCACGATGCTCGTTGCTCACTGATAAGGCGCTGGAAAGCATCTCCAAACTCAACGATCACCTCGACGTTCTGATGCTCGCCCACGTCGCTAACATCACCGATCGCGGCTTAGTGCACCTCGCACGTTCTTGTACTAATCTCAGGTGTATTGATGTAGCGTGTAAGTCTCTCTACTTTAGCTATGCATGTGCTGTTTGCCTTTTTGCTGATTATCTTTTGCCTTCAAGTTTGCCGTCATTTAACGGACATGTCTGTATTCGAGCTCGCCGGCCTACCAAGCCTCCGGCGCCTCAGTCTTGTACGGGTCCACAAACTCACGGACATTGCTATCTTCTCTCTCGCCGAGCATGCAACTGGATTAGAAAGACTTTACCTGTCATATTGTGATCACCTATCATTGGACGCGGTACACCTATTGCTCCGGAAGCTTGATCGTCTGCAGCATCTTACCGCCACAGGTATACCATCTTTGCGGCGGAAAGGAGTGAATCGATTCTCAGAGCCTACGCCTCCTGTAAGTTATCATGCTTAGCCTATGGCGCAAATGGTTGGCAGACTTCTGAGCGATTCAAACCTAGAACTGCGATCCGGATCAGCAGGCAGCGTTTTGCGTGTTCAATGGGGAGAATGTTGACCGTTTACGACGATTTTTGGACAAGGAAGATAAGCGACGGCGGGAAGCCGAAGCAAAGAACGTTCCTTTCATACCGCGCTCGGACGATAAGCTCGACCTCTACTAACTGACGACTATCTGTACTACCTGTTTCGCTTTTTTGGGCTTCTTGGACTAATGGTGAGTGCGACTATCGCGGTCGCCGCCATATTGCTGACCGGGTTTTGTACAGTATACCATAATATTGCATTCTGTACATATCTGGGATGGACATGGGGATATCTAGTCTCACATACACGACTAATACGACATTCTAGAAAGACGGGGAGGATAGCAACGACGGCGGAAAGGGACTTGTCTCGGAGTAGGTAGGGCTGGACTCCCTTGGATCGTGTTCGGGGACGTAAATTGGAACGGAGGTGCAGCTGCGCCAGGTGCCAACTTCTTATCCTCCGTGCGCCACTTGTAGGCAGAATTGAATTGATGGCGCTCGTGAAAACCGGTGACCGCAGACGGGGTGTCGGTGTAGAAGAAACACATGTACGGGGTGTGTCGAATTTGTCGCAGTCGACAATGAGAGGTGGCGCACCCGTGAGGGGCTGAGACCCCCAGCAGCAAATACCCGCGATGAGTGATTTTCAGGAGATGAGGACAAATAAGCGCTATCGGGAGAAAGAGGGAAATTATCTCCGCTCGGGCTCGATCTCGGAGAGGAGCGAGAAGGCGCGGGCTCTCTTGCTTATGACCAGCTGGCCTTTGGCCTCACTCCGTGCCAAGCCCGTCGTCCTCTGCGGGCTCGACGCCAGCGCGGTCTGTCCCGCCCACCAATCCTTCTGGCCGTCTCCTCCCTCTTAGTTCGGCCTGCCAGGCGCACTCCCTTCCGCCAGTGTCTGAGCCCCCTCCTATTCCACCTTTAAGGTCGACCTCCGCGTCCTTTTTTCCGCGTTTCTCGCGATGCAACTCTTGTCGGCCGTGCCCCCCAACATTCCGACCTCATCGCCAGTCCGCGCGACGCCGTCATGCCGAAGGTCGACTTCTCCGCTTTTCCTGCGACGACGACGACGAGCCAGCTCCGTGGATCCTGAAGCTCTTCAAGTCACTCGGTGCGGTTCCGCCGGACTAAATACATCTCTCGCAGCTGCTACAAATGAACGCTCTCCGAAAAGACTCACTATATGCGGCTTTTTACCCCTCCCATCCATTACCGCATCCCCCATCTGCACCCCGACCCCAAGTGTATCTTCCCAGGGCCAGAGCGAGCCTGCTCTCGTACATCCTCCACCCGAGACACCGAAAGGTTCCCAACTCGTTACAAATACCGTGTCTTCACGCGTTTTAGTACCATCTTCGACGCCCACCTGGATCGCTACTCCTCCCACACCCCCTCCCAAGCCTCTCCGGCGTTCCAATACCGCGGCCGCACGACGCTCGCCTTTTCCACCACCCTCTTCATCTGCCTCATTCCCTGCCTCAATGCATCCGCATGCAACTACAACCAGGTCCAAGACTGTCAAGCGCTCTGCCTCGGTTCCGACACTATCACCCTCCTTTTCAGCCTCTGCCGACACTTTTCTCACTTTCATGGACGCCCAGCTCGTCCAGAGCCCGACCACTATCTTTGATTCTTCCGTCATCATCGAGAACACCTTTGACGCCACATTTTCTGTCATTCACGGGGATCACGGCCCGGACGACAACCGCGCGCAGAAAGAGCACGCGTCGGTTCCTATTTTCCGTCTCACCAACAAAGGACGCGAGTCTGAAGATGGCGAAGACGGCGATACACTGCGTAGCCTCCGTGAGACGTCTACACCGATGGAAGAAGCCAGTCCGACAGGAAGTTGGAGCGATCACAGCGTAGAAGACATCTGGGAAGCAGAGAAGAACAAGGACGCTGTCCGTAAATTCCACGCCCTCAAAGAGCTTCTCGCCACGGAGGTCGGCTATCTTATGGATTTGAAGGCTTTGGTCACGGTCAGTGCTTTGCCCCAATCAGTCCTCGTCTCGATCATCTAAACGATGCCAATCAAGGTTTACCTTCGCAATCTCCCAACTTTGGTCGCTCGACCCGTGGCGACAAGTTCTACATTTGGTCGTGCTTCTGCGTCCTTCACCACAGGCCCGTGGATGCACTCGTATTCTCAACTTCAGGCGGCTGCAGCGTCTTCGTCTACCCTACCTGAAACGCACGACCTTGCTCAATCTTCGTCCTCCACCAAGGAGCCATCAAAAGCCAACTCGCGCTATATCTTTAGCGACAACGAGCTTGATTTATTGACCCGCAATGCGGAAGAGATATTGCAGCTCCACGAGCATTTCGTCAGGGAGCTTCGCAGCATCCTCGAGCCTCTCGGCCACGCCATGGAGCAAGAAGAGGATGACAAGAAGCCTCTTGATTTATCGAAGGTCGACCCAGCTATACGTGCCGTTTCGACGAAATTCGCCACTGAGGTTAGTCTTTCTCTTACCATTGCACCCCATCTGCTTTATCTGATGTCATGCCTCCTGTAGGCTTCCCGTTTTAACGCATATCAGTCGTTCTGTGCAGGGCATCCGGAAGCCATGGACGCGCTCAGAAGAGCCTTTCAACAATACCCCTTAGAAATGGCCGACTTCGAGCAACGCTGTGGAGTGCTTGTATCCGATATGCTGGATCCTGGTCTGAAGCCGGCCTTGTCTGAACCCCGTCCACAGTCTACTCGGAGCTCGACCGACTCTCCTCCACCAAGTCAAAAGTTAACAGTCGAAGATCGCAAACGAGCAATGTCCTTGACGTCGCTCGACGGCGCAGTCCGTTCTTTACGGCCTCGTGCCAGTGTGGTCCTGGCGAAGGACTCGGTTACTTTTCCAACAGAGCCACCACCACCATCATCGAAGCGCGATAGCAAACCCTCTCGGCGGATTGCATTTGCAGACTACATGATCAAGCCCATTCAGCGAATCTGCAAGTACCCCCTGCTGCTCGACCAGCTCCTGCCTTCGAAGGCCCTGCGGACGTTGTCGCAGAACGCGCCGGAACTCCGGTTCGATGTCGACGTTGTGGTGGAGAGCGCCGCGCAGGTGATGAGGCATGTCGCGACAGACGTAGACGAGGCGCGACGCCAACAGGACATCGCGATCCAGTCGTCGCTCATCTTCTCGCGCATGTCCCTCGGATCTCCAGCTACTTCCTCTGGTGGCGGCTCTCCATCAGCACAGTTGCTCACACCCGAGTTTCTTTCCTCCTTGGGGAACTGTGTCCTTTCTGGGTCGCTCGACGTCATGCATTATCATCCCAACCAGCCCCTCGCTCAGACTACGAGCATCAAGGCGAAGTATCTTGGTGCTTTCCTGTATTCGGGCGGATACTTGATCTTGGTCAAGGTATCGAAGGGGAAGAAGTACGAACCGAGGCACTGGTTCTCGCTCGCTGACTTTGAGGTCTCTGACGTCGAGGGTGATAGTGGTAAGTCGCCATTCCAGCCCTCATTATCTCATTATAGAACGCCGGTGTTCATCCCTCCTTTCATATAGCAATGCTTCCATGCTCATTCAGGCTCTCGTCTGGCGAACAGCACTTTGAGCTTGCAGCCGCGTGTCAGCGGGAGAAAGACGCCTGGCTGAGCTCCATGCACGAATCGTTGACCCACCTTCCCTCATGGACCAATGAGCCTACACCGAGCTTCAAGGTTGACGGCAAGGGGGAACTTCTTCCTCCAGCAGCTGATGATACCCTCTTCTCCTCTGACCCCCCTGCTACTGGATTGGGGACGATTCGCTCCATCCCCGAGTTCGGAAACGCCTCCGACACCGAATACTCGGAGCCATTCTTTGCTTCCCTTCGCAGCCATGGGAAGTCGAGAAAGAAGAGGCGTGCATACGAGACACCCCTTCATTTCAGACAAGACCTGCCTCCTCCCCCAGCTAGTCGACGTTCGTCATCTACCTCGGTCAAGGCAATATTCGCCCCTATGTCCTCCGACGCAGAAACTCTCGTTATTAGGCGGTCTTCACCAATAGCGCGTAACCAAGTCGATCAAGAGCTCCAGGATGTCATCTCGCAGACTTGCTTGACTGCTCGCTCGCACGCGTTCAGTCGCGAGCTAGAGCTCTTCCAGGTGCCGAAGACGACCAGGTCAGCTTTTAGCCGGTCAAATTCAAGCATTGGCATGGCACGTTTGTCCAAGCACGAGAGCGTTCGCGTTCCTCGGCGTAGGACGACGGAGAGCTTCGAGAGCCTGGGATCGAAGGGGCATCCTCCCCTAAGCCATGCCAGGGTGGCCAGCCGCAAGAATGTCAAGAAGCTTAGTCTTACCTCGATCTCGTTGAAGGACTTCGACGGTTCTGCGCTATCGTCAGCACAAGAAGTCGTATCGTCGCCGAATCCTTCTCCACCCTCTTCAAAGTCTTCATCTCGCGTTCCAACCATTCTTTTCGCTGAACCCAACACTCCCCCGGTATCGACCACTCCACCCCCACCGCCTTCGGCGACTTCCGAAACCACGCCGCAGAAATCGCGTTCATTTGTCCGCAACGTCAAAGGCTTGTTCCACTTTCGGCCTGGCTCTCCAGTCTCTCCGGTGTCTGTCATCATCAGTCAGCCCAGCCAACAGTTCATTCCCATTCAATCGTCTGCAGCACCTCCTGCGTCGTCGGAGCAGCAACCACCTTCGCAGAGCGTGTTGTCTCGATGGGCGAATCATTCTCTAAGGCGACGCACTCGGAGCGTACCTGACGAACCCGATAATAATTTGCTCTTCGATGGACTGGAGAAGGTATCTTCTATTTACCCGTCGAGACCGGGATGTGACCTGTCAGTCTAGACAGATCTCGGAGACAAAAGTAGCGCATATACCTCCCTATCATGCAACCACGAATTTCGACATACTTTACGGAATCGGCTTTGCAGTAATATGTACAGCAGAGTAGCTCACTTTCTTTTTCAACAGCATTCGTATGTACGATATAATTATACCCACTCTCACTTCTTGTCGTTCTCATGATCATTTGTAAAATACGCTTCCCCTTCACGACCCATTCTTTTTTTCATCATGAAGACCAAACCCTTTGGAACCAGAATGCAATTGACATGCGAGTCAATAGTAGTAGTACATGTCAACGAGAAAGCTAATGCAATGCAAAAATTGAAAGATCGTGTTAAATAAAAGGAGTGTTCGTTCGCACAAGTCGACATCCAAAATCGCCAAGATCAGAGTACACTGTATGGTCATGATGCATGTAACATATTGGAGAGAGATTGTTTAAGATATAAGTCCGTGCGCCCGCAGAAGATCGCCCCACCTAAATCAACTTTAGTTAGCATAGATATCTTCAACTGAATGGGGAAATAGCATACTCTTCTTTCTCAAGTTCCTCTTCCGCCAACTTGCGTTTTAGTTGCCTGCAGAGATCTCAAGGAAATAAAACTTCAGATAAAACCATCGAAACTCACGAGTTCTCGCGAGACAGCTTATTCCTTGCCTCCTTCGTTTGACGAAGATCCCTCGACATTGCTTGCCATGCTTCATCATCAGGCAAGTTGGCGTCGTTGTACATGCCATCTAGCTCTTCGTTGAATGCCTAGCAAGGGTGTTAACATCAAACACATCGGCATTTGCATTGATCCTACTCACCTCGTACATGATCTCCTTCTCCGCAGTAGCATCGGCTAATAAACTTTTCACCAACTCACACTGCCGTCTCGAGTTTTGCAGGTCGAGCCTTGTTCTCTCCAGCTCAGTCGCACGCTAGTCGAATTGTTACTGGATGCAACAGTTGCAAATATCTGAACCTTACCTCTTTGAACTCAGCCGCCAAACGCGCTAGATCTTTTTGAAGTGCGTCTTGGCTAGCTTGAGCTTTGACGAGGTCTTTGTCCGCTTCGGTAACCAAAATACCAATAGAACGGGTGAAGCTTGCGACATCTGTTCCTGGCGGTGTCCGAGTGGGAGTGTCAAAAAGACTGCCTGCTCGTGGTCTATTCCGAGGCGTGCCATCACCGGCCTGTCTGTGTTTGAGGAGGTTCCTCATTTCCTCCATTCGCTCTTGGGCGGCTTTGGTCTAGGTATCATAGAGTCAGCTACATGACCGTCGAGCGAAGGAGATAACATCACCATAGCAACACTTGCTTGGGGTGGGGGAATGCGAGAGATTTTCTCCGGCGATGAGGGTCTTGCGTAGAGCTCTTCGATGGAACCTATTGAGCCCTGGGTGGGTGGCTTGAAGGCGTCGGTTTCAATCTTAATTCGCTTGACCGAACGCCGGGAGGATTCGATCTACAAGTAGTTCAGCATAAAGAAGAAACGAGAAACTTTTTTTTTTTCAAGTGCTTACATCTTCTTTCGTAGAGACACATAGGTGCTGCACCTCTTCGAAGATCTCGGCGCCAAAGGCACCGGAGCTTGATGTTGCTTTGTGTTTCCTTATCTGTGGTGACACTTTACGTGGTGACACAACTCGATTTAGAGACCGACTGAGGGGAGAGTTCTTCATGTGACTCCTCCTTGCAGGTGTTGGGGAACCTGGAGGGAGACCTGACGTCCGGACCGATGTCTTTTTCTTGATTGACAAAGGCTCAACTGGTGTCGCTGATGAAACAGAGCTATTCATCGTACTGGGCTTCGGTGTCGAATCCAAGTTTCCAGTGGGGTAAAATGGCTGTCTCATGCTTCGAGGAATGGCGGAGGCGGGATTGATGTGACTAGTGGGAGGGAGAGAGGAGGACAGTGGTTGACTAGTTCTTGACTCCATCGCGAGCTCATCATCCATAGAGGGAAGGTCGACATCTGGACGACGGGATCGAGGGCTCTTTAGTGGTAAAGGAGACGGACTGCGAGGTCCTGTGGGCCGGCGGTCCCAAGAGGGTTGCTCCAAGGACCTCGACGCTCTTGGTGGAGAATCCGTTGGTTTGCTGGAGTCCTCCTGTCCGGGAGTCAGAGAACGCTGCATACTTATATCCTTAGACATCCTTGACGATGGCCGTACGGGGTCAGGTGGTTCTTCTGTCACTAACTATGAGCACAGGCCCTTCATCTTAGTGATTTAAGCGAACATACCTTCATAGATGGTCGCCTCAACAGGTGCATCGATTTGCATTGGAGCCAGTCGTTTTCCATGTTGATTCAGGCTATTTTGACGCGCGAGCTCCAACTGCATGGCCAGCTGATAGTCCGATGACCCGATATCTTTTGACCTAGCGAGGATAGTGTTGTCATCATCGTCGACGTCGCTGTACTCCGAGTCAGGGCCTCTTGACGAAGCTCTTGACTGAGGACGAGAACCATTCCGACCAGGCGAGCCGCGATCAGAGTCTGAAGGAGAGCCAGTGCGCGACTTTGTCCGCCTTGATACTGTCTTCCCTTTGGAAGAACGAGATGCAAAGAAAGATGCATCGTCGTCCATGGAGGAAATAGTCGTCGCCGCTGTCGTGCTAGAGCGATGGGAAGACTTCATGCTATCGACGGTTGTCGTTGTCTGCGTGTACATAGACGACCGACTAGTGGTTGATCTTGACCTGTGTCGTCTATGGCCATTGATGGAACCTGCGAAGAAGTCACCCACGGATCCTGGTCGGCCGTTGAACAAATTGCGAGAAATTGCGTCCAGGCCAAAGATAGCGACCTTTGATTTGGCGGTTGGTGTTGAAGGAATGGAATTTCTGCCTGTCTTGAACTCAAACAAACCGAACTGATGGACTAGAGAAACCCATCAGACAGGAGTCTTGCAGGAGCGGCCGACATGAAACTACGCACTCGTCTGAACAACTCGAGAAGGCACCCGCATGGTTTGCACGACATCTTCTTCACCTTCATCGTTAGGATCGCTCGATGTAACCGAATACCGGCAAAGTCCTCCGTCCATAAGCTGCACCCGAATGACGACAAATGGTGGCCCCCCCGCTCCAAAAGGTATTGGATCAGCGGATGCATAGCGGTCTCGGTCGATATGTACCACCACCTTGGTCTACAATGATTGTAAGAGGCGACTGTCAGCATAACAAGGAGGGAAATATACCTTCTTTGGTTCCTGGAGGAAGGCTGTTCGTTGGTACACATTATAATATGTTCGAGCGAGAATTAGTCTGCCGGACCGTGATTCGACTTCCTGCTCATCAGCGCAGAGAACAACGGATTGACCAGCCCTGGCACGATAGTTCGCCTGAACCTTCCACAGGTTTTCCAGAAACCGCTGCTTCTCGATCTGTGTTTGAGATGGATCGAAGTTGATGGGCATCGGTGGATTCACCACGGACAATGAGCGGAAAGGACGTCCCGACCACCGTTCACTCTGGTCTTGAGGGGGATTCTCCAGGAAAAGATTGATGTCTGACGAAGATTAAACGCTAAACAGAAAGGAGACAGAAAAAACATACCAGCACCTCCAATGTCCGTTACAACCACATCCAGAATGTCGACGACGCCCTTGCAGGTCATTCCACTCTTCTTCTTTCCTGTCGGAATGCCGCCAGCCTTCGTAACCTTGTCGACACCATCCAATCCTGACAGCATTCTCCCACCCTTTTCACCATTTCCTGGACGTTTCACAATGACGAGTTTGTCGTCGAAGAGAAATAGCGTGCAATGCAATGAGGTCGCAGACACGCTCGTAGACGACGCATTCGAAGATACCGGGGAATCGGTCATGATATCTTCGACGTCAATGCAGTCAATAAATTTGCGAGAGTTGGAGAAAAGCTCCGGCGGAAATCCATCAATGGTCGCGATCAGGCAATAGAATATTGCAGCACGTTTAGTTTGTTCGTCGGTCTCCGCTTGCGCAATCTTGCTGGCAATTTCATCTGCTTCGATAATTTTTGCGCGTTGCGGGTCGTCTGGAGACATGTGTTTGAGCATGGTGCGAAAGAGGAGCGTATAACGGGGTATTCGTTGAACAGGCTCCATAAGTAGCTCGCGGAGTCCTACGCGGTTTCTTGCATCAGTAGATTGATATTTGATGTGCTAAAACGATGAAGGTCAAGATAACTTCATATTTGAAGAAATGATGCCTCACGTCAATAAATGAAGCAAACCTTGACGACCTCTTGGAAACCTCCTTCTCAAAAATGGCCTGCGCATCTTCTCGTTTGACATAGTATTGCTTGTATTGTTCAAACCCTCTTAGTTCCTTGAAATGTCGCAGTGCTACGTCCCCGACGCCTCCAACCGACTTAAGACCATTGGGTGCGATCATCTTCTCCAAATCCGTTAAGAAGGCTTCGTTAACGGGAAGCAGGTTGTCTATATTCCCAAAAAGCGTCTTCGCCTCGTATGCAGGGATAATAGCCGTATCCTTGCTGCGAGCGAAGTTTCGAAGAGGATCTGCGTAGTCGTTTTTGAGGATTTGCAGTCGCTTGACGTATGATCTCTCGCTGGTAACAAGTTCGTTGACGACAGAGGCTAGTGCTGCGGGATCGAGGAGCGCCCGTTTGCGTTGAGCGGCCTTATCCTGTTACAGGATAAGTCAACACTTGTTGGTGAATCTTGAACATGATCTATTCCGGACGCCAACAGAAAGAAAGAAACATACTATTTCATTCATAGTGGACTCAGACGGCCCAGAGAGCAAGTCTCCTGACGAATCTGAAGGTAGCGGATTTCCGAGAGATAGAACGAGGTCCTGAATTTCTGCACGCGAGTAAGGAGGTTAGCACATATATGTAATGAGTGGCACCTACCATCCGGCAGCCTCCTCCCGTTCTCTGAGCCTTCAACCACTACTCCACAGTAAAATACACGTTTGGTGACATTTGCGGTTGTAGACGAAGTTCGGGACCTTGGTTCGTCCCCACTTGCCAGGGGTACGACATGCTTTCGTGGAGATGGGTTTAGTGCCATCTCTGTCTTGAAGAGGTATCCGTCAGGATGAGAAACAACAAGAGAAACTGCTGCTGAGGAACGGAGGGACACGAGGATGCGACGGGGGAAAGTGGAAGGGAGGGACAAAGAGAGGATAAGGTGAGGTACTGACTCTATTTCCAAAACCCTTCAACTAAGAATCGCGGTCACGTGATCATACGCGACCTTCCTTTAGCTGAGCTCCTTCTATTTATAATTCTTCCCCGGAGCTGCAAGTAATTTGCAAATCTAAATGAAACGTTTGGCCCTGGAGGCCAGAGTCCAGTTCTTTTCCCTCAGTCTTTGTCGTACCTCCAGCTTGTAATTTCCAGCATTGAAGGGTTCAGAGAGCGACCGCATTTTGCAATCCATCATGATATTAACACAAATACAGCAATGGGCGCACATAGCGGCCGAGATAACATTTGATACAACAGGAATAACTTGGTACACTTCCTCAAGCGAGGTTGCGCGTTTACTTCTGTCTCTTGCGAGTCCGCCGATCCACTAGGCCTTCCAATATCTTCCTTTTCTCTTTTCGAGGTGATGCCGAAAACGATCTGTGTGGAGTTGTCGCTGGGCCAGAAGAATCGTTATTGTTTGCAGTTTCCGGTCCACCGTCAGGCGCAGCATCCTCGGCGTGATTCGTGGAATGTCCCGCTTCAGAGGAGCACTCAGAGCTAAACATCCAGCATGACTTTCTCACCCTAAAGCAGTGGAGAGAAAGACATACGTTCCATCCCCATCTGTGATAAACTCCTCCTCGGCTTCTTCCTTACTCGTCTCCAACTCGCCTCGATTGTCAAATGCGGTCCAATCTTGCGCGATTTCAAGGAGAGCGTCCCATCTGTTCTCCTCGGTCATGTGAATAAGTTCCAGAGCGTCTCTTTGGGAGGGTTCGCGACATTGAGGGCATTTTACGGTCTCGTCTGCACCTTTCGAAATTTGCGGCAAGCATTCATGGCAGATTATGTGCGAGCATTCCAGCCTATGGATTCAATTTAGAGTCAAGTCCGGTCAAGCAAAATAATAAAGCTGTTGGTCTCACGCAGAGCATTTCTTCAATTGAAATACTTCGAAGCAGATTGGGCATTCTTCACTCTAGTCACCAGGTATAGTTATAACCAACATCAAATCCGAGAACTTGCGAAGCAGCTGAAAATGGTCACTGAGGTAGTACCAGTGGAATAGAAGCCCAAGGATACTGACTTTTCGCATTCGAAAGCCAGGATCAGTTGTTTGTCCGTCCTCATCGTTCCCATTGGCCTTGCGGCTGGATTTGAGATCTCTTAATTCATCATTAAGTTGTTCTGACTTCATCTGTACGGAAACCCGCGTTGAGCGACAGGTGTAGAGGAGATGAGAGTCACAGACACCTTCTCTATTCGTCTCTCGTAAGCCTGATTTTCCTGAAGGAAGAAAATAGAATACACGACACTCTAAGTGACAATAAAGAGTTCTACTTACTGTCCTTCACAGTCTCTTCGAGCCCCTTTATTCGGATACTCGTCAGGTCAATATCATCGTCCGAATCAGAATTGCGTCGTGATCGATATCGTCGAGAGGTCATCTCTGACTTCCTGGCATCCGCGAGTTCAGTTTTAAGGACTTCATTCCTCTTGCGAAGTGCTTTCAGTTGGCGTCGCATTCGCAGGAGCCCTGATTGAATGTGAATGATATGTTCCTGTGGGTACATTGGTAGGTTGGGACTCAGTCATGACCTGAGGCCTAGAGACTGATCTGCCCGGTCCTCGGAGATAATTAAGCTGTAAGGCTCACCTCGGTCGAATCGTCGTCAGAGGCATCATGGGTGCCTTTTTTTTGCCTTCGTCACGGTATCCGATTCAGAATCCGAGAGTTGAACGATTGAGCGCATTGTACGAGCCTGGCTTCGTGTCTGCGGCATTATTGCAATCGGTAAAGTCGCTTCCCACTGGCTCAGACCCAGGACAACAGGAAAGTGAGGAGATGGTGGTCGAGGCAGCAGCGGAAGAGAGTGGAAGTTTGTTTTTAGCACGTGCTTTCGTGGGCGGCCGCGGGCCGGGATCCCCAAAGGCGAGCTGTACTTAATGATGAATGGTACAAGGACAGCTTCCTTTAAGTCTACTGTGACTCGTGAGTTCGATGTGAGATACTCCGAAGAAAGACACGCTTCAAGGTTATCGCCAGCCCCTGTCAGAGGTGCCTTCCTGATTCGGCAGAGGGACCAAGATGGTTGGTGTGTCCAATCGCGATCATCCATTACATCATTGCAGGTTCCCGAGGCCTGGACATTCAAAACTCCAACTTGAGCGCCTTGCTCCTGTTCACCACCATCTCCCCTCCGAATCATGCCTACAAAGGCTCTCGAGCCCCAGACCATTATCGATATCGATGGTTACCTTAGGCCCAATGTTGCTGCCATAATCCAGAGGCACAACTCCTTCAGGCGTTGGAAGGATACCATTGAGAAACACGAAGGAGGGTACGAAGACTTTACGAAGGGGTACCTTCGATTCGGCCTCGTACTTGGTCCCAACAATGAGGTCACATATCGAGAATGGGCCCCGAATGCCAGAGAAGCATATCTTATTGGTGACTTCAGTGCGTCGCTTAACTACAACGTGCTTAAAAATAGCGCTGATGTGCCTTGAAGATGAGTGGAACAGGACAGCGCATCCGATGGCGAAGAACGATTTTGGCGTCTGGGAGATCACAGTCCCTCCTCTTCCCTCAGGCAAATGTGCCATTCCTCATGATACCAAAGTCAAGGTGTGTTTTACCCTGCCGTGTCACGAAGCGAAATTTAGCGACTTGAAGATATCGATGATTTTGCCTGGAGGCACGCGGATTGAACGCCTTCCTGCTTGGATCAGACGCGTCACTCAAGATTTATCCGTGTCTCCCGTTTATGATGCACGTTTTTGGAATCCCCCTGCCTCCGAGAAATATGTCCCCAAGCACCCTCGACCCCCGAAAGCGAACAACGTGAGGATCTACGAAGCGCATGTCGGAATATCGACTGCGGATCCCAGAGTCGGCACATACAAGGAATTCACAAAAAATGTTCTCCCAAGAATCAGAGATCTTGGCTACAACGTTATTCAATTGATGGCGGTTATGGAACATGCGTATTATGCCTGTACGTGGATATTCGTGCTCATGTATGCGCACAAATTTGACGACTGCCGTAGCATTTGGCTACCAGATTACGAGTTTCTTCGCCGCAAGTTCTCGATACGGGACTCCAGAAGATCTCAAAGAACTCGTCGATACTGCTCATGGAATGGGACTCACCGTCCTTCTCGACATTGTGCATTCCCATGCCTGCAAGAACGTCTTGGACGGCATCAATGAGTTCGACGGCACCGACCATTTGTACTTCCACGAAGGTGGCAAAGGTCGACATGATCTATGGGACAGCCGTCTGTTCAATTACGGTCATCATGAGGTACTTCGATTCCTCCTCAGCAACTTGCGTTTCTGGGTCGACGAGTACGGCTTCGACGGCTTCAGGTTCGACGGTGTGACGAGTATGATGTACAAACACCATGGTATGGGTACTGGATTCTCTGGCGGGTACCATGAATACTTCGGAGACTCTGCCGACGAAGAAGGCATTGTTTATCTCATGCTCGTTAGTGCCCATGCTTGCTTCAGCCAGTGTCTTTTCTGATTTTCTTCCTTGATCAGGCTAACGATGCTATACATTCTCTGTACCCCAACACAATCACGATTGCGGAAGACGTCTCCGGTATGCCGCTTCTCTGCAAACCAGTAGAAGTGGGAGGTGTTGGATTCGACTACCGTCTCTCAATGGCTGTCCCCGACATGTGGATCAAACTTCTGAAACACAAGCAAGACGATGAATGGGATATGGCCAATATCGTTCATACATTGATCAACAGGCGCCACGGAGAGAAGAGCATTGCGTACTGTGAAAGTCATGACCAGGCACTTGTGGGTGACAAAACCATCGCCTTTTGGCTTATGGACAAGGAGATGTGTAAGACGTTTTTCTATCTCCTTTCTTGTTGGGAAGCTGATATAGGAAAATAGACACACATATGTCTGATCTCACCCCCATGACACCTATCATCGCTCGAGGAATCGCTCTCCATAAGATGATTCGGTGTGTTCCATGTTCGAGGTTGTTCAACAGTAAAAGTGACTAAGTCCTATCAAGCCTTGTTACGCATTCGCTAGGTGGGGAGGGCTACCTGAACTTTGAAGGAAACGAGTTTGGACATCCTGAAGTATGCAATCCATCCTCTCATTCCAAACCCTCCGAGTAATCTTTTCACCTTCAAGTGGCTCGACTTCCCGCGAGAAGGGAACGGAAACTCTTTCCAGTACGCACGTCGGCAATGGAACGTCGTTGATGATGCCCTCTTGCGTTACAAATACCTCAACAACTTCGACATCGCTATGAACCATCTCGCAGCCAAGTATGGGTGGCTGGATGCACCTCAAGTGAGTCAACACCTATCAGCCAACAACCAAATTTATTCATGCAAACCACCTATCCAGGCCTACGTTTCACTGAAACACGAAGGGGACAAAGTCCTCGTTTACGAACGCGCTGGCCTACTATTTGTCTTCAATTTCCATCCGACCAACAGCTTCACAGACTATCGCGTCGGAATTGAAGAACCAGGAGAATATAAGATCGTACTGAGCAGCGACGAGAAACGCTTTGGGGGATTTGACAACATCAAGTTAGACAGTTCTTTCTTTACTACGCCCATGGGGTGGAACGGAAGAAAAAACTTCCTGCAGGTGAGCTTTTACGACCTCCTAGTCCTTCTGACATTTTGACACGTCTTGTCAGGTGTACATTCCAACTAGGACCTGCATTGTTCTTGCCAAATAATCGCTGCAAGTGCCGAAATAAATCCTTCTAAAATCCCGGTTTGCTGTTGCTGCCCTAGAGAAGTATGGACTTCATCAGTCTTCCGCTCAAATTATAGAGTTCTTCCCGTGTACTCCTTTGTGATGTTTTCATTGATATGCAACAATCGTTCCTTCATGAAAGCCAATAGGAAGACAATCTACATTGCACATCTAAAAAACGTATCTATCGTCATGATCGTTTTACATGTGGTTCGTCATTGTCTAATCTTCGTCGGTTTTGGGATAAAGGTGGAGCAGATGATTCCGATAATATTCATCCCAATCAAGACATAGAATACCATGTTTCCACCCGCGAGGTGCTTTTCCAGGCTGAGTGAATATAGGGATGAAGCAAACGTAGGGGCAATGCCTCTCGTTCCAGAGCCGACCATCTGACCGACACCATTGACTGTGCCAAGATAGCGATCTGGAACATCTTGTATCAGAAGAATCTGCATCGAACCTGAAAGAGTCTTGAAATAAGTCCAGTGTATTGAGACCAGCAACAACATACCATATCCTATGAGGATTGTAGTTTGAAATGCTAGTTGCAAGCTGATACAAGCGACCACATAACGGTCTACACCCCCTGCACGACGAGCAAGGAATTTTAAGACCGGGAAGAGCACAAAGCTGCCCAGGATAGCGGCGAAAGATATGATGTACATCTTCCTTGCCCCGTATCTCCTGATTAGAGGGCCAAGGGCGAAAGCCTGCACAACCGAATTGATCACGCCAAACGCGGCCAAAACCATTCCAATCCGGTACGGCTCTAAGCCGAGACCGCCCAGTGGAACGGACGTAGAGTACATCAAAGGAAGAAGGACGAAGTTGCCCATGTCGAGGAAGGCGAGGAAGGCATAGTTTAGCAGGGTCAAGAGAAGGTGACGTGAAAATAATACGCGATTGAAGTCGTTGCGGTCGTCGTTCGTAGTCGGGAGATCAGATTTGCATTGATTCGGGGAATCGTTCCTTGAGGAAGAGTGGCATGAAGAGCCGTCATAGTGGACGCCGTTTTGTGTGAGCAAACGTGTTTCTTCGCTTGGAGGGCCGTTTTCGATGCTCTTCTCTTCCTGAGGTGCCAGAGACGCCAATGTCTGGGCGATGATGCATTGATGAGAGGATAGACAAGATAGACAAGAGAAAATGTAATACCTCTTTTAGACCAGTAAAGGTCGCTAGGAAGACAATGAAGGCAATGAAGGATGCTGCAGCACAAGGAAGAAAATAAGGATGCGTGCGGAAATATTCAAAGCGGCCAAAGGTATCTGGCCATCGTACTGCTGGGTCAGTGAGTAAACCCCCGATGATAGGCCTGTAGAGAGCTTTATCAATATTTCGGTCAAAGCAGCTCGAAAATATCCACGAACCCTACTGTAATGCCAATGCTCCATGTGAAGGGTATCACCGCAAAAGCATCTCCTATGTTGGTTGGGTCAGACAGCTACCAAAGAGGTTAGCTTCAACAAAATGGTGAGGCGTGGACTGTGGGTACCTCCGCAATAACGGTCTTGCTGACACCTGTCGAAGATATCCCATGAGTACGAATAGAGCGACCTCGCATAAAAGAGCCCACCGATGTTACCGTTGAAAATGCCCTGCAGGCAGCGGAAGAAGACGAGAGGCCAGAAAGTTGTCTGCAGGCCGAAGAAGAACACAGCAAGTGCTGCACCGAATGTGCCAAGTACCAGAATCGGCCTACGACCATAACGATCTGACAAATATCCCCACTGGACGACAGTCAAGCTCTCAGAGAGGAAAAACACAGATTCCTGGCAGAAAACCATTAGCAGGAAGATCCGATGCAGGAAAAAAGTCATAATACAATGATACCAGCATAATAGCCTGTCCGCCGCTCGTCCCCATTGATAATTCCTGTTTCGCGCACGAATTTGTTGATGAACGGATAGATGACCGTCCCAGTAACAGGCTCCGCCAAGTTGATGAGCATTACAATGGCCAATTGCACCTTGGGCAAGGGAGTTCGCTGCTGGACGAGGACAGGTTCCTCTCCTGGGGCAGGCGGAGGAACGCCATGGATTTGGTGCACCTCTTCGTGAGAAATTGACATTGGCCGCGAAGAAAAAAAGGGAGAGGGTAGAGAAATTGCACCATTGTCGGTGATCTTATATTGTGCATGGACCGAAATGCCGATGTTGCGGAGACGAAATGCAGGTTCCGAATGACTCATGCCTACATACCTTCCTCCCCTTCTTGCACAGTCGTTCCTTCTAGCGATGATATGAATCTGTCGAATCCACCACTAGGCACTAGGCCTGCTGATAGTGCTTGACGTCGACAAGGCCCAAATGAAATCACAACGGGTAGTGAGATTATTCAATCTTCATGATAGTCTCTGGCGTTTTCTGCGCTTGGTTCAATTTCTACCCAACATTTGGTCAATCTGCAAATAGTTTGAATTGAGGACTGTCAAGCTGGAAGCGTACTTCCGAGTCATAAGGAAGGGTTAATACGTAAAGGAGTGAGATTCACATTCTCGATTTCATGTAGTTCAGCTGTTCATGGCGTCCACGCCATGGATCTGGCATTAGGCGCGCGATGGATGGTGAGGACAGGACATGAGTTTCAAGTTGTGGCGGTGATTGGCGGAAATGAATGCCACCTTCAGGAGGCGGGCCGGTTATGCCCCTATTTCTGGGTGTGAAATCGACATGGGTGTTGCTGAGCAACGTTATTGTATCCAATTCCCTCTACAATAGATCTTTACACGGACGAGTGCAGTACCTCCACAATCTTGTCTCCGATCCCTTTTGTTTTCACTTTGCCACCCAAATCCGCTGTCCGCAGTCCATACCCTCCAGCCTCTGGGTTATCAAGAACTCTTTGCACAGCGAGCTCGATGGCCCGCGCGGGTTCCTCCAGTCCCAGTGAGTACCGAAGCAGCATCGCAGCACTGAGAATTGTACCAATCGGGTTGGCGATCCCTTGTCCTGCAATATCAGGAGCAGAACCATGAATCGGTTCGTAGAGACCGGATGTTGGCTTGAAATTAGGTGAAGGCACAGATGGCGCTCCTGCGAGCGACGCTGAAGGGAGAAGGCCGAGTGAGCCAGGAATTACGCTGGATTGGTCCGACAGGCTACGAAGCACGCGATGAGAAGTGATAGGATGAGAAAGGGCGCTACATACATGTCACCGAACAAGTTCTCTGTCAGAATCACACCGTTGAGCTTTCTGGGGTTCGAGACAATGACCATAGCAGCAGAGTCGACAAGGTGGTGATCAAACTTAAGTTGAGGATATTCCTTTGTCAAAGTCTCCGTTACGACCTTCCTCCACAGCCTTGAGCTTGCCAAAACGTTGGCCTTGTCGATTGAGTGGATTACCAGAGGAGGATTGGCTGCCAAGGCAATCTGCGCAGCGACCCGTGTAATTCTCTGTACTTCTTCGACACTGTATATCATAGTGTCCCAAGCAACATTGACATCCGGTTCGACATTCTGCTCTTTTCGTGCGCCGAAGTAGACACCTCCGATAAGCTCGCGGACGACGATCATGTCGACGCCAAGCGCAATTTCCGGACGGAGAGGAGAGTAGTCCAACAGAGACTCCGAGGCGAGACTTGCAGGGCGGATATTCGCGTAAAGACCGAGAGTCTTTCGCAGGGCAAGAAGTCCTTGTTCAGGCCGAACTTTGGCGTTGACACCCCATTTGGGACCACCAATTGAGCCTGCATGCAAGCTGTTATAAAATGTCAACACGTATGCATATACGCGGACACTAACCCATGAGGATAGCGTCCGCTTCCTGGCAAGCCTTCAAGGTAGAAGCCGGAAGGGGTTCACCACTAGCATCAATCGCAGATCCTCCGAAGAGATGAGATTCAAGACTGAGCTTGAAGTTTGACGACTTCTCAGAAACGACCTCCAGAACCCTGACGGCTTCAGCGACGACTTCCGGACCTGTCTCGTCGACGTAAACGGCGATTGCTTGTAAGATCTCGGGATGTAATCATACCAATTCCGTCTCCTGGAAGAACGACGACTCGGAAACTGCAAGTAGGTTCAATAACGGGCAAGCGGAAGAGTCAAAGGAACATACGATTTTGGCGACATTTTCGCAGATGGTGGGGTGGGGGTGGATACGGACGGGAGAGTTTTATATGAGCCCCGGGCCAGACTGGCACACCTTCGGTTATCACTGCTGGCAGGGCCAAAATGTCGGAAATTTCCGAAATGCCTTACAAGGCATTATTAGCGACGGCAGACATTTGCCTTACAACGCATTACAAGAGTTAGTTAGGCCAATAAAAAATTCGTCCTGCTGCTCTGAAAGCGGTATAAACAGGTGAGGTACATCTGACATATACCTCTGGTACTGTTTTTTCTCTAATATTCCTCACAGTCGCCGAAAAATAAAGGATTTTGTTGAACACCCCTATCTTGAACCGCCTTGTAAGGTGCCGAAACGGCTTTTCGGCTTCTTGTGATGCCTTGGTAAGGCGTCTTCCTTGTAAGGCAATTTGGAAATTTCCGACAAATGTTATTGTCTCCAAAATGCAATCTTCTGATTTTAAATATTAAGCCCTCGAAAATGTATTTCCTTTTGGAGCACCGCCGGTACTCCATTTAGATTTTTGATACTCCATATAGTAATGCATTTCGAAGCTCTAAAATTTAAAATCAGAAGATTGTACAGTCTATAAACGGTCAATTGTACATGATCGGTCGTTTGGACACTTTTAGCATCCAGATATCTCCACCTCCCTTTCGCTTTTCATCACCTAAACAATATTCTCATAAACCGGTGCTTATGAACTCAAGATTAATGCAAAATTTAGATAGACATAGAGGTGCTTTGACCCCGCAATTGAGGACATGAAAATGGGTGATTTCGAGCGGAGTCCGAATTTCCTTTGATCGGTGGTTTGTACACCTGTAATTTGCCAGCGGACGCTTCATATGTCGTTAGATAAACTTAATAACTTACACAGGCACTGAAAGGTGTAGTGAAAGTGTGTATGCCAAGTTTCAAATCGAGACATTGCGCCCTTCATAAGATATTCAAAATTCATCTTTTCGGCGTCCAAATGACCGTTTATAGACTGTATTTTCCCGACAATAACATCTGGCCCTGCCAGCAGTGTGTTCCAGCGACTCGGCCGAAATCTAATCTAATCTTACTGAAGCTCACTGGTCCCGCGCAGGATTTTTTTTGACCTTTGACCAACCTTCGACTCTTACAGATTGGTCAGAGATACCCTTCTTGCTACACCTCTGTATACAATGGCGTCCACACAGGATCAATCGCGGTGCAAAAGGCTTGTTCTCGACGCCGGTCCACTGCTTTTCCTATCTCCTCTGCGCGGATTGGCCGATATGTACCTTACGGTTCCTCAAGTTCTTGCCGAATTAAGAGATAGTCGCGCGCGAGAGCATTTCGAGCGTCTAGGGTTGATATCTGGGGTCAAGGTTGAAGTTCGATCACCGGATGCAGCAAGTGTGGCTCACGGTGCGTTGTGTGCAATCAGTTGGTTATGGCTCAAAAAGTATCCTCTAGTGATTCAATGGGCAAAGAAAACAGGCGATTATACCGTCCTTTCACATCCCGACATATGTATTCTTGCCCTCACCCACGCATTGAGTCAAGAGGACAAGAAGGCGAACGAGGAGGCGAACGAGAAAGAGACACAGACTGAAACGGCAAGTAACCCGCGATTCTCTACGTCGTTCAACGGTCTCATCTTTTTGGTAGTAGATAAGTCAAAGCACCCACGATTTACCGGCAGAAGACACCGCGAGTGTGACCGTCGAATATTTGGTGGAAGGACTGGAACACACATCCCTGGAAGCCAATGGCCCACAGCAAGACACCAAAATTACTCCTCAAGATATACCTGAAGATCAAACTACACATTCCATCGAACGAGAACCTCTGGAGCCATTAAACGTTGAACTCACGCCTGTAAAAAACGAAGGGCCTTCGAGAGGGCCTACCTCTGCCCGGCGACCATCACCCACCCCAATCTACAACGATCCCTCCGACGAGGACGACGGAGAAGGCGAATGGATAACGCCTTCCAATGTCGGAATTCACAAGTCTCGTGCTCTCGATTTGCTTCCTGAAGATGGCTCAGGACGCAGGGGCAAAAAGAAGGCGCAGCCTGTCGATTCGGGTTGCATGACGGCCGACTTTGCGATGCAGAACGTTCTTCTCCAGATGGGACTCAATCTCGTTGGTCTTGAAGGAAAGAGAATCGAGAAGATTAAAAGTTGGGTTCTACGTTGCCATGCCTGCTTCAAGTAAGTTCGCCATGACCTTTCGTTGTGGATTGCCTCCCAATTTCTTCATCAGGATCTGCAAAGACAATTCAAAGAAGTTCTGCCCATCCTGTGGTAATGCGACTTTGTTGAGAGCATCGGTAACAGTTGCAGCTCCAAACGCGGACCCAAATGCCCCTGCGATGCAAGTCCATCTAAAACCCAATTTCCAATACAAAATCCGTGGCACGAAGTACTCAATTCCAGCACCAAAACCAGGATCTGCGAAAACGGGGCCTGGGACAGGTCTCGTATTGCGTGAAGACCAAATTGAATACATACGGGCGAAGAAGCGGGCAGATGGAAAGCGCGAACGGGAAGAGGAGAGGCTTTCCAAAGGAATCCTAAACATAGGTCTAGATAGCAGAGGCGAAACCGCAGGCGTCAGCAGTTGGATGGATCCTGACTGGATACCTGAAATAATCAGCGTGGGATCAGGTGGCAAAGGGAGAACGATGCGCGATTCAAGGATGGACGGCGATATGCCTCAAATTGGATACGGAAGAAAAAATCCGAATGAAAAAAGGAGGAAGAAATAGAGGAAACCATGATCACTGCTCTTGGGGTTCCAGTATAATATATACACTTGCTTGAATGATCTACAGTCGTGCAACTGATTATGTGCCAAGGCTACGATTCATGAAACGCCTCTTCTGGAACGACATCCACCATTTACTAGGCTTGCCAGTTCCATCGGCATATAGCCTTTCCACTAGTCTTGCAGCCAATTCTTGACGTACTTGTATCAGATATTGTCGAAGGTAATCTGGCAACAAATCTGTCAGGAAGGACGATCTGGCGTTAGCGGAAGAACGGACCAGCATCCGCTCGACTCGAAGGCGCAGCATAATGCGCATTTAAGGGAAAACTCGCGTCGCCTGGGATGGGAAATGTGTCAACCGAGAGTGTGTTCAACAGTTTCGAAGCCTCGATCTGCGTTGCAACTGTGCGTGCACTTCCGAGCTTGGCTAGACAATCAGAGATGAAGAGGATCAGGACAATTAGTGTGCGGTCGGCGGAGCCCTTGATCTCGAAGTTTCGAAAGAGGGAGTTGGCACGGAAGAGATCTAGCGTTTCGTCGACGATGTCCGCCTGCTGTGGATCGGCTGTGGGCAATTGCGTTAACGCGACGTGACGAGGGAACGAGCTGTAAGATGGTCACCAAGGGGTGCTGGGCCGCGAATCCTCGTCCTGATTGGCAAAATAGCCATGTTTCCGACCTGACGGACATCTGGCTCCTCATTGAAAGACGAATGGTACGCCTGCTGGTCGTTAGTTATGCACAGCGGTACCGATAAGCTGAGGCGTACGGGCATGGTTCTGCGCAGGAGGCGTTGTTTGCGCGTAATTGGCAGGGCCATTTGATTAGACAGATGCAATGACGTCAGTCACCTGACAAGGCAGGGGCAACTCGAACATCAGCGACATAAGTACCTTCTGACTTCAAGTTGCTCCTCCCCATCATGTCCAGCTTCATACGTCCTGATGCAGAGGACAACACCTCACTCATATCTATTCAGTCGCATAATCCAGGCCCAGATACATTGACGAGTGGGTCTTGCTGCATACAACTCTTTGGATTATGTACTGAGCCAATTGATTCTCTTGTAGAACTCGTCAAACGACTTCGTGGATTGACTCTGGTTCTTCTCCCTGTTGAAGTCGATCCTTCCAGCATCAATGATCCAACGAGCAGAGTTATCACTCCCCAGGTTATATCTGCCTACAGAGCGGCTGCAGGCGATTTCACGGAGGCCGTAAGATCCATCCGCTCCCTCTCGAGATAGAGGGCTGACGCTACCTGTTTTGCGCATAGCTTCCGTATTGTCTGTTACGTGCAAGAGCAGAGTTCATGTGGGACGCGAATCACAATCCAGCTGATTATGGTGAAAATCTCGGAAGAGGTTAGAGAACGTTCAATATCCTTGGCATTCTGCCAGGCTAAATGCCCACCGCATAGCCGTTGCTTGCGAAGTGCTTGCGCGTAGGATCGTGCATTTAACCGAACCTGGCAAGATAAAGGACATTATGGCGAAGAGGTTTCAGCATCGTCAAGTCGACGGCGACGAGAGTGAGATGTCTAGCGCGCTCGAAATGGCCATTGACCAGCACTGGTCAGGACGAAATTTTTATTGGCGGATTCTCTAACCTCATGGCTCCGCAGTACAATATTTTTATCGTCAAGTGAAGCTCAGGAAGGTACGGAAGGGATAACATCACCGTCTCATACACGACTAACATCATTAAGTCGTCAATGCCCTTTGGACTGGCGACCTTATCCAGATAAATAACAAGCACCATGACATCGACTGTAAGTGACAACACTTTCTCAGGGGCCTTGCTATTGATAGAAGGTATTTGAAGACGTACCTTATTCCGATACACGGGAACATACTTTCTCGGGCCATTTTGACCCATCGCGTCTATCTGTGCCTAGGTTGGTGGGCGAAAAACTCACGTAGTCGTCACTTACTAACCTGCTCGCCAGGTATCAAAACATCTTCCGCATTTCAGTTTGGCTTTTTTTCCTCTTCGTCTATTCTCAAGCCGGTTGGTTGCTCGACTATCGATGAACTATGCGAACTTACACACAACCCGACAGTCCGTGAACCCCTCGAACGCCTTGACGAAGCTCATGAGAATAATCTAGACGAATGGGAGATTGTTCTTTACGTCTTGTCCCTGTCGTTCATTGTGGAGGGTTCGTGTTTCTCGGACTCCTTTATCCGACCACTTACAGGTTGCTCTAGATCTTCACAAGGTAGAAGTACTGTACGACCTCGGAAAGTGGACGCTTACTATTTAGTTTTTCAGTTTTTTACTCTGCTCCGTTTCGTAACTTACCGAGCTTTCACTTTCTGGAGTGCAATAGCATTTATCACAGATTCTCTCTTGTTGACCGCATTTACTGTGCGCATTGTGGGGCTTCACGCAACAGGCGAGCGTAGTTCGACAATGCATCTTCGAAGTTTCCAAGTCCTTAGTTGCGTCGCGCCCTTTATCTGGTATGATACCTAGTACTGTCTCTTTCGCTTCCGCTTCCGTTGACCAGCTTCGCACAGGATGAGTAAGTCTAGGTTTCCGACTGGATAGTCACTTTTGCTGAAATACATCTAGAACTTGTCACCGTGTTCGACGGGTACAAGTAAGCCAACTTCATCCAAATTGTCGCGGTTTTTTCTGATACGTTTGCCTCTTTGCCAGGTACATTGGCACAATGCAAATCTGCGTAGCCCGCATGCTGAAGGAATCCGGGATATTCTTTGCTGTAAGAGAGGCCTGAAGCTTTTGTCCTATTCGCCTTCTGAAATCCTGTCGTAGCTTCTCTCGGTTTTGGCCATTGGATTTGCTCAAGGTCTTTACGCTTTGGATGCCGCTGATGGAAATGCTGAGGCGCCGTCGTCGGTGAAAAGAAGTTATCGGCTGAAATACATTTGGAGCTGAACTGATGCAATTTTCAGGTTCTTAATGTTCTTGTGCAGGCTCTGTTACAGTGCGACCCACCTCCGCTTGTTGCCCGATATTTCTGAGACATTTTTTAGATCTCCCGATTATGAAAAATTCAGCTCCAGCCCTACTGGACTGATCCTATACTACTTGTAGGCTTGACGGGCTTCTCCAATGCAAAGCTCGCTCTGACAACCCTTGTGCACGGAAAGATGGAACGCAGTCACTGCCATTGTTCTCCTCAACGTCTTGATATCTCTTTTCTCCTCTGCATATTCTGATGTCAGTATATCACAAAGTGAACAGTTCCACGACTGTTAACATTGCGCTTGTAGGTTGTCGACGACGCAGAAGCCCAATACCTCGCTTTTTTCGCAAGCAAGACCGTGGGCATGATCAGAGCCCCTGATTCTTATGTTTACCCTGCTCCTTTCAACTTGATCGAAGCCGTATTCGTTGCCCCGTTCGAGTGAGTGGTTCTTTCTGAGTGTTTTCGACCGTCTAACGGCCCATTTACACTGTAAGATTTCTGCCGTTTTTAAGGCTCGGCGAAAAACGCTATGCAAAGGCCGGTGTCTTTACTCCCCCGTAGCCAACGTCATTGACCAACGAAAGGCATGGTCTCCAGCTCAATCGCTATGTTATGGACACCATCTTCTTTATTCCCTTGGTGTTCATTGCCTTCTTTGAATCAACGTTTGACAGGCGAAAGCACACTTGGATGAACAACTGGTTCCGAGGAAACGATGAAGGCGACGAGGATTCTCCAGCCAACCGGAATCCGATAGTCGATGATCCCAATTGCCAAGGGTTGGAGATTACCAAGGTCTCTTTCGAAGAATTGATCAAAGTATTCCCCAACACTTCGCAGGTATGTTGTAAGACACATTTTGTTAAAATATACTTACGACCGGCGATTTCAGTCTACTGAGGCGACTATCATAAAAGAAATCGATGGTGTCAGGAAGCAATTAGGCCAATTAATGGAAAAACTCGACAAGTTGCAGACCTGAATACGCCAATCCCTGTTAATTGTTTTCACCTTCTCGGAACCATGACTAGTAGCACACGATGGATATTGTCACCGACTTCAATTCAATATTCGCGAACGAAATCCAGGGTGGCTTCGCTAATGTATCTCATGTATTTTGGTGAATTACAACTGCCGTTCAACAAGTCAAGGCAGCTCGGGGCCAAGATTGCGTACTAGCTGAGTCAAGATGCTCATGGACTGAACGAAATATGGTCGAATTTCGTTGATTTCCATGGAGCATAGATTTGGCAACTGTGGAAGCCCATAAGCATACATCTTGGCAGGGAAGCTAGAGATGACTTGCACTCAGTTCACTATGATCAAGGGTCTTCAGACCGTCTCGACTTTTTGCTTGACGGACTTCACGTAGGTCTTTCAATAGTGATCTTAACTTATCCGGATTCTCCAAATCGTCTGAGGCACTGTATAGAGATGGTCAGAAACGAGGTGCAGTAGGCAAAAAATTCCACGCACACATCCAGAATCACTTTGGCAATCTCGGCGAAGCGGAACGGGAGGCTACTGAATGCAGGCTGGGAAGTTTCCTGAATGAGGCGCTCCTGCAGAAACTCTATGACCGTCACTCAATGGGCAAGCCTTCCACAACCTCCCCCACACACCCGTGTTAAGCCAATCTGGAGCAATGATATGGCACTTCTTCTTCATTTTAAGATTTACCGCCATCCAGAGAGGAATCTTTGATTTATTTGGTGGACGAAGCGGCCCGTACGCGCCCTGCGGAACATGATCAACCGCTGATTCTGCGCCGGACAGGACGGTGTACCGAAATGAAGGCAGTTTTCTCCATTGATATTAGAGGAACGATCTCCACGAGTTGCTCAGACGCAATTAGTTCTAGCTCTGGGGGAATGACTGATATGCGTAGCGATTGGGGCAGAGCCATGAGTGTTTGGTTCAAGAATCAAGATTGCGGGACGCGACATCTGCGTCGTCAGCAGCGCCATCTGCGTCGTCAGCAGCGACGTCACGTGATCACGCGCGTCGTCCAACACGGGTCCCGATTTGGAAACTCAGCCTGTTGAACACGCACCGCGACGGCCTCCTCAAGGCACAAGACCTCCCACTCGAACATTATTACAACTTGCGAAATTGCCTTTAGTCCAGCAGCAGCACTCCTTGCGGCCGCTGCTCTCCTCATCTTATTATGTTGGGCACACGTACGAAGCAGATCAACGCCTATGGAAAGCGGAGCCGGAGGATTATAGATGTCACCTCTGACAGTACTCGGACTGCATCAAGCACAGAGATCATCAGCATCTTTGATGACATGCCTCCTGCTCCGACCTGGTCCTCTGTCGCGTCCAAGATGAAGAAGCGAGAGAACACCGTACCTGCCAAAACCAAGGCCACATCTCCCAAGGTCGTCGGACTCCAGAAGAAAAAGCGTCTCTCACCTGTCCTGTCGCCCATGAAGAAGAAGCAAGCGGCGCGACTGACTCAAGTGAAAACAGCAGATAATCCAACCGAAGACTCACCGGCTGCGCTCTTAAAGGCGAAGGCGAAACCATTACCAGGATCAAGAAATCCGAGCGACCCCATCGTGGTCTCCGCATCTCCTTCCCGGGCCCCTCTATCTGCTGTACCCCTCAACATCCCTGGTTCACCTGCTCTTGCCCACAAGCCGGGTCTCGCACCAAGCAAAACACCTCTAAAGTTGAAGAAGCCATTCTCTCCGTTTGTGGATGTGGACATCATCGTATTGGATGACAATGGCCACACACTACACAAAGAAAGAAGAGTCTCGAAGACAAGCCTGGATCAGACCAATGCTGACCGAAGCAGCAAAGGCAATAGCAAAGCAGAACCTGTTCCTCCAGCAGATTCTGGCAACGAAGCTGAATCTGCTCCTCAGCCCAGGAGGCCGAAGCGGCAAGGAACTCGCAAGATTATCATTATGTCCGATGATTCAGATTCGGATATCGACTTTGCACCGCTGTCACCACAACCCGTCAAGGCGTCTCATCCGAAGAACCCTCCGTCTCAGTCATCCAGGACAAAATATAGGGTCGAGGTCGTTATTCCTCCTGCTCCGTACAAACTACCGCATGTAACACCTCAGGAGCCTTCAGATACCCCCGGCGACCTTCTTGAAGTGCATACATCCACTTCAAATCGTCCACAATACCAGGGACAAACGTTGCACCACATTATGCCGTCACCCCCTTTGAAACCCCGTCAACTCACCCCCATTAAAGGAGGACGCAAACGCCTTTTCGAACCACCGTCTCCTCCGTCTCCGACGACCCCAACAGACTTTGACCTTTCCATTGATTTCTCGGAACTCAGTCTTGGGTTCAACTCACAGATCCCAGATTTTGAGGTTCCAGACTATCTTCGACCTTTGTTGGAAGAATGCCACCAGGATATCTGCGGACCTCACAATTTCTCGACATTCATCGAGTCTTTCCCTTGCGACCCTATCTTGCAAGATGCTCGCGAAAAGGGGATAGTGAACATGAATTTCAGGAAGATAGGCGAAGCCAGCTACTCGGAAGTATTTGGAATTGGTGATGTCGTGCTGAAGGTCATACCCCTCAGAGATCAATCTCGGATAAGTGCAGAGCAAGATGGCCCTGCCCCATCGGATGCCAAAGATGTGCGGAAAGAGATCATCGTCACACGAGCCATGGGAGAGGTTTACGGAGGCTTCGTCAAGCTGCTGAAGGCTTATGTTGTCCGAGGTAGGTACCCTGAAGTTTTGCTTCAGCTCTGGGATGAATACAATGAGCGAAAGGGATCCGAAAGTGTGCGCCCAGGTAAGCGGATAGGGTCCCTTTGCGAATACATGCTGATCAACCCTCGCATAGATACGTTCAAGTTGTCGCAAGTGTATGCAATCATCGTCCTTCCTAATGGAGGCCCTGATCTGGAAGCATACACTTTTCACAATGCAAGTCGCTCTGGGTGGAGGCAAGCCTGCAGCCTGTTCTGGCAGGTCGCGAAAGCCCTTGCCCATGCCGAACACCTCGTCTCCTTCGAGGTATTCTTCTTGGTTTATCCTAGACCCTTCATCTCAGATTAACATTTGCTGGATAGCATCGCGATCTCCATTGGGGCCAGATTCTCGTGAAAACCGTTGCAACCCAAGGAAGCGCTTTGAAGTCTCTGAACACGAACCAGAAGCTCAAGTCAAAATCCCACCGCGTGTTCATGGATGACTTATCGCATGGTGTTCAAACTACTATCATCGATCTTGGACTCTCTAGGATGGACGCTGGTGACGGCAGCGATGGAGCACGAGTTCATTGGACCCCATTTGATGAAGAGGTATTTATGGGTGAAGGTAACGTATTTCTCTTCGTTCCGCAGTACATTCCTGCTATTTACACTCCAATGTAGGTGATTATCAGTTCGACGTGTATCGGATGATGAGGGGTCTGACCGGCGGGGATTGGGAATCCTTCCATCCTGTCACGAACGTTCTTGTGAGTAAACCATAACTATAAATTTACTCGATGACTCGTTGGTGATGTGTGCTGTTCGTTTCTCTAGTGGCTGCACTATCTCCTCCAGAAGCTGCTCTATTCGAAGGGCCTGAAACCTCCTACAGCACCACGGAAAACGAAAGCGACCCTGGAAGCTGCGGCAATACCCGCAGTTGAAGTGGCTTTCAGCGAAAAGGACTGTTACGTTTGTCTGGTCGACGTCGAGAAATGGCTGAGTAAAAGTATCTCGGAGGTAGTCCCAGGAGTTGCGAAACCTAAAGGCAGAGGTAGACCGAAGATGCAAGCACCTGTCAAGCCTGTGGCATCTTCCGGCGCTGCTCGAGCAGGAGAGATTGTGGCTTATGGCGTGAAGAAGGGCTGGATCCAGACGATGCCTTTGTTTTAGTCTTCTCTACTGAGCATCCAGTCGTTCGACTAGTTGGGAGTATAAGCATATGGTTCACCTTCGTGTCATGGTTGCCCAAACCAAAGGGTATTTGTTCGAATAGTAAATTACTTGTACCTCATCTAACTGTTCGTGTGGACAAAGCAAGTCTACAGATACATAAGTTAAGTGAGTGGCACGCGTGGTATGTTCTGAAGTAAGTGGGATGAATAGTCCATCAGATTGACTAGCTGCGAAGCAGGGAATAATTCAAGATCAAAAATTTCTAGCACGATTCCAGCAACTTATTTTTTGGGAATGGTTTTCCGTAGTCGCCCCTCCATGTCGTTAAATTTGAGTTTGTGTACGCCTCAAGATATCTGCCATGAATATTGATGAAGTGAGACTTGGTAAACAGGGCAAATTCGAAAGTGGACGAACTGGTTGATGTATTGCTCTGTCGGGAAGTTAGGAGGGTCACAACCGACGTTGACGTGGTACATGTCTTGGTAGACTCGGATGTAGTCCACTTTCATATGGACTGGGAAGGTGAGATGCTCAAAGTCGATGGTGCCAAAGTTCTCTGACATGCCGAGATTGATGATGATGTACTAGGACGGGATGAATAAGAAGACTTCGGCGGGTTATGGTACTCCATACCATTGGTTCTTGTGGCACAGGTCGTGCTGAAATTTCCACGCTTGGGTCTGGGCCAAGACCAGCAGCGTTCAGAGTCCAAGATACTTTATTGTCCGACACCCAGGTTATATACTACATTTCGTCAGCATTGCCAGTCCTACAAAGGGGTCAAAAACTCACAGAATCGTCGTATCCTAGAAGGCAGAAGAGGCGTTAATCAGATTTAAAGGTCGTGCTTATGTTGCATACCTGGCTTGTACTGAAAACAACATGGAATTAGCTTCGAAATGTAGCCGATGTATTTAAACTCATCTACCTCAAATCCGTAAACCGAATAACAGTCCTCTACCAGTTCGTAGCAACGTTGGTTCGTTTTTGTTACAACGGACGTAGCTTGCTGGCTCGCGCTACCTATGAATCCATTTTGGCGGGATATGGTGGGATCCGCAAAAATTTCGTTGTCAGACGTGTTAAACCAGAAGTAGTGCCGATTAAAAGGCTTTCAAAATTTCAGCATCTATACACGTAAGCACGATAGAAAGGAAAACCCACCGCCCACTGCGCGGATTGAGAGACCTCTCCACTGAGGGGATGCCCACCCATTTGCGCCTCCAGAACATCAATCTCTGGAGAAGAACGCCCTACGTACGTCCTATCGTCGTGCTTTGGGCCAGGATGACTCTCACCGTCGCAGGTGCAACGCGAGAGCTTCTGGCCTGGTAAGTACGACAGCGCGCCTCCGTAGGCGTGATCGCCATCGACTACTGCAGTATGGGGCAGGCCGTTGATCGTCTGATTGGGGGCTGTTCCTACATCGCAGCTGTCGTATGTATACGGCCACTTAACAGTATCCATCGTGAATGAACCGAAATAGCCAAGCAAAAGATGAGACGTACCATCCCTTCCAAGGTGGCGCCATATCCTGCTCTGCCAAGATTGCCCATCGTCCATATAGCGGGCCACATTCCTATTACGTTGTTTGTCCCCGGCAGCTGAACGGACGTTTCGATATAGCCCCCTGTGAAGCAAAACTTGTTCCTATACTAAATGGTCAATGAGAAGGTCGGAAAAGAGCCACTGGACGCACCATGATGATATCAGTCCTGCAAAGAACAGTCAGATTTGATAAAAGCACGCAAGTTGTTGGAATATTTGCACACCTCCTTGGTAGTTGAGTTCGTGGTTCAAATTTTCCGAAAACGTGATGACCAAAGATCCTCCAGACGTCGTCACTGCCTCCGGGTCGTACCACTCTAAATTGTTTGTAGCCTTTTGTGCCTCGATATCAGATCAACGCTAGGATAGACCATAAATGATAATTGCGCACCCAATAATGCAGGTCCTCTGCCTCCCAATATGGGTCATCGCCGGGGTAGAATGTGCGTCCGTCGATATTGAACTCGTCAGAGAATACCAACAACATTTCAGACCCATCCCTTAGCGAATATTTCGTATATGCCTCCTTCGGTGTATCGAGATCAATAAGGCCAAAGTTGCCTGGAATGGATGGGACCTACGTGCATCAACATATTAGAGCGAGGGTTGGGCACTCATCATGACAGCGCGCCTACCTGCCCAGTGGAGTTGATGCCACCTGCATTGTATCCCGACACCAACCACGAGCCACTTCTGTATGTAAAAACGGGGTATCCGATACTAGATAATCCGGAGTGTCAGGCTGGTGTTCGAGAAGTTAACTGAGGGCTCACAATAATATAATTAGCGTCGCACAAACGACAACGATACAGCCCACGTTTATCAACCCCCTTCTCGTGAACAAAACCCTTTTCCTGTCCTGGGGCCTATCCAACTCTTTACCGGGATTGTGAAGATCATCATCGGGTTCGACAAGATCTGGCGACAAGTCCGATCCCCAGAGACGCGGATCTGGAGAAAGAGAAAACTAACGCGAGGATCAACATAGTCCCTCGCTCAAGCAAATGAGTTACCTTGTCTGAGAGAGTACTCAAGCGAGACTCAGCACCGAAGGAATAAGGTGATTCGGAGAGTGTTTGCTAGAGGTGGAATAAGTTCTCCTGCTTCTCCAGTGATTTTTCAGCGCTTACCCAACTGTCTCGACGCAGAACACCAAAGCTAGGGCTCTTCGGCAGGATAAGTGACGAATCTGCGGAGGCGTATCCGGGATTGGGGGAGCTGGGATACGACATTGGCAACTGGGATGCGGGAGGAGGAGGGCGTAAGAGGGTTAGCAGCGTATGTAAGGTGGCACGGGAAGGTCAAGGTTGAAAACTGTTGTAGACGTCACTTCTTCATGAGCAAGCGCGCATAGCGGAAAAAAAGAACTCGTCGCAGCAGCCTTGATGGAACGGCCCAGAAGGCATACAGGACAGGAAATGAAAGCAACGGCGCATTCAGTCCGAAAAAAGCCAATAGTTGCCACAATTGAGCTATATACAAGGAGCATTGAGCTTCTCATCGAGACCCAGAGGCCGAAAGTGTATATCTCCCTCCTTCGTTTGAGAGAAGGCAATCAAAAGGTAAAGAAATGCATGCCTTCTATCGCATTGAGCTTCATAAGTTCGATGATCACCACCATCAGTCCACGGATGGAGTCAAACGGAGTCCGAGGACATAAATCCTGCACGCATTGTCAGAGACTCTCTGGCAGTTCGTCAAAGCGTATGTTTTTCGTTGCAGGAATGTCATTCTCGTGCGCAAGGTGAAGTCAAGGCAGCAGGGGACTTGAGAGAGGCACGCAGCAGACGCAGTGCACTCGCAGAGGTCGGTGCAAAGGACAGTGCTCTATTCGTGGCGTCGAACATTCCTCGGCAGAATCGCACAGCGGGATGATATTTCCAACGTCTATATCGCACCGAGATTCTCAGCGGGTACACAGACAGTCCGCCAGAAACGAAGTCGGCACAGGTGAGACCTCAAGAAAATTTCTCGAAAAGAAAAAGCGATTATGAACTGAAAAGCACTGGTCAGCAATTTCTCGACGCCTGTTATTCATATATTTGTTAGTTTGTGGGAGGTGAGGCACACACCGGCGAAACCAAGTCAACAACTGCAGCTCACCGTTGCTTTACTGTTACCCTTCCTTTGCGGTTAAAATGGTGCCCCCAGAAACTTTGCATAGCAAGAAGAATGCAACCTTAGACGTCTTCCAGTTGTATGAGACCTTGCACGGCAGCCTTGCATCCGGTTGAATCGCAGAAACATCGGCCCCGCTACAAGCGCACATCGCAGAGCCACATGGCTGCACGAGTTTCTCGTCAACGTTATGGAGGAGCACGGAGAATGGGCAACGTTATGGACACCTCGAGCGCGTTGTGCGGCACCGCGTTGTGTCGCGCGTTGTGGGAGATCAGCATGAGTGACAAGTCTCACTCAGTGACACCGACGGCTCCGTGCTCCTTGTCTTTCACTCTGGCAACGGCGGCCCCGGTCTCCTCTTGTTTCACTACGGCCCCGACACACGTCTGTCTCCATCTCACCGGCACCGGATCTACGACATGCTCTTTGAAAGCCTCCCTGTCGATCTTATCGCCGAAATACTCGGTGAACTCGACTTGGAATCGTTGATCAAGATGTCCAACCTCTCGAAGCGTTTCCAATTGGTAGCTTCAGACGCCTCTCTGAATCCATGGAGAAGACCAATAATACGTAACCTGCGAACACACGCATACGAGAAAGCTCTCAAACACCTAAGTGTTCGGACATCCGTCCCGCGACAGAATTGGGTTGAAATAATCTCATTGGCTCGCCCTTCCTTCATCCTTTTCGAGGCAACTCTACCTAATTTGAAGGAATCTGACTGGGAAGAGTGTTTCAGGCGACGCTTCCTACCAGGATGGAGGAAATGGCGGAAGGATAGTCGGTGGAAGGAAGCCTTCCTGAAGTGAGTCTATTCAAGCTGTGGTTCAACATAACGATTCCCGAAGGCCAATGACTCAAAAATCGAAGAATGTTGCACAGAGTCTGGCACCGAAGTGTAACGATGTGCACCGCTGACGAAGCTTGGACTAAGTCAGCTTCTACCTGCTCCATGCCGTGCTTCATCTGATTTCTCAGGTATATTGTACTCAATCGAAATGGGTCGGCCAACGAACTCGAGGTGTCTTCGCGCAATTATAATCCATTTAATGCTTTCAACGAAATGAAGTACACATAACCTGTATCGGCATGAGTTTCGTTTCCTCAATCTTCTCGCAGGTTACAAAATGACCTCTCCAACCTTGAGACACGGATCAGGGTGTGTGTCGTTGCCCAATCGCTGCCCAGAGGTCTCATGGCAAACCCCTCAGGTGGTGGTGGAATTAGCTGACGTTCGTATTTTGGCATTCGGGACTCTCGCCAAGCCCCGCAGTCATTTCCTTGTGAACCCGAACGCGCATATATTTCTCAACCCTCCCGGAGTCTCTGACAAAGGGCATGTTAATTTCTTCTCAAAAATGGCAGCCAAGCAGAAGGGATTTAGTCTCATTGACGATCATGGCGTCTATCCCATGTCGAATGCAGCGATTCCGGCTTACTGTGAGACCGTTTTAAATGACATTCTGGCCCGCTCCATGACGCTAACATATTCGACAGTGTTCCGAGAATACAGTAGCCCCACGACATCGTACACGCGAATGACGTACCCACAGCCGGCGCCTACGCACGCCAACTATCCATTTTTCACCCCTGGCGGAGGAGATGCAAGATGGATCGAACAAGATGAGATTGAACAAGAGGGCCTACACTGGGTGGGTGCTATGATGTGGGTTGTCTGTAGCACCACGCCGGAAATGCTGTGATGACCATTTTCATTAGGATTGTTGCACAACTCATCTGTCCTGCAGAAGAAGATGGAAACGGTGTAGGTCGGCACTTTGCATCCTTCACCTGGAGTGATTTGTGGGTTGTTTCGCCGTGGATCGAAGAAAAAATTACCAAGAAAATCACTGGCGCTGGCTTGGGTAATTGAGTATACTCTCTGACAATTGGATTTGTTGAACTCGCAGCGATTCGGGAGCGTCGCGTGCGCATCCGGACCCCGATGCTTAAGACCTTTCACGTTGATGCACACGAACAATTGTCCTCTCGCTTTCCATATCTTTTCTGATCATTGCCCAAAAGAAGCAACCCCGACACGTGCGACAAACAAGATCGACAAAGGCGCGCCGATGAGCTTGCCCTTAATGGTTATACGAAGGTGAGACGAATCTGGATTCTCTCTTGTTCCTGATATCTTATCATCTTTGTCAGCATCCAATTTGGGCCTGAATAATATCTTTGTCGGTCGTTGCAAATTCGCCTTTGCGTTCTAGGAAAAATTCCTTTGCAAAGTTGTGCATACTCGTGATGTCCGATCTTGAAGACAATAGCTCGATCAGCAAAAGAAGCTTTGTGTGGTAGGCGTCTTTGTCGGTGCCGGAAGGAGCAGCACGAAATACGCAGGTATTAAAGTCCCCATGAATTATCTGCGCCTTTCATCCTGCGTCCCGTCCGCCAAACCTCCCCCTTTTCGTATTTTATTCCGCAGCGTTGCTGGGCAGCGTCTACTTCTATTTAACTTAAACACTGTCCTATCCAAGATGCTCAAGGTCGAACTTCCTGTCAGCGTGATCGGTATGGGAACTCTGTCTCGAGGTGTTGTCGTCCAAAGCCTTGCGGAAGGCGACGACAAGAAGAAGCAAGTGCGCATTCTTTTTTCCTATGTCTTCCTATCAACTATGATCTAATTGCGTTCCCGCAGTTTCAATGCTCGGTTTGCGGAAAGAACTTCCATCGCAAGGGTGACATGACTCGCCACAAGGCTCTCCACTCTGGAGTCAAGTAAGTCAACGCACCTTTTTTCAGGTCCTATGCTAACATCCACGTGCCAGGCCGTTCAAGTGCACCGTGTGCCCAAAGAGCTTCAGCCAATTCTCGGGACTAAAGACGCACGAAAACACACAGTAGGTCCTTCACGTTTCGCAACCCTCACCTTTGCTAACGTCCTTGCACACTCTAGCTCTGGTGACAAGCCTTACATCTGCAGAATCGACTCCTGTACAGCCGCCTTCGGTGACCCTTCCTCTTGTGCTCGGCACCGCAAGGAGACCCATCGCTGCAGTGGCGCGTATCGTTGCCCATATCCCCGCTGCAACTCTCGGTATGTCTTTGGTCCTCTCTTGTGTCTCGACTACCTGCCAATCATGACTTTAGGATCAAGCGTCGTTCCGCTTTCGCCGCTCATCTCAAGAAGCACGGGATCGACGTTTCTGGTCTCGATATTGACCAATATGCCCCTCCGCTTCGCCCGCAAACCGTTTCTAAGTCGGGAAGACGCAGCTCGGTGAGAATCATCACGCTTGACGCCCTTCCCAAGCGCGCAGCACCAGAGTCTTTTACCCCGCAGTCATGCAGTACACTGAGTGGTACGCGTCGCATAATTTCTATTCACTGCCTTGTCTTATATTTCTACCACTCTTAGACTTGCCATCGACGGGCTCGAGTCCTGACCCTTACCCTCATAACCAACTCGACTACACCCAGTGGCCCTACGAATTTCTGCAAAAATCCCACCCCTCAGATTTCTCTAGCCTTCCTTTCCCTCAACCTTCTCCCGAATCTTATGCGGACTTCGGTGGAGAGCGTCTTTTGGCTATGGATGCTTCTCATCCTTCGTCTCCGATGTTGGGTTTCAACAATTCGTCGTCAACGGAGGCGTCACTAGGACAGCCTTTGATTCTCAGAGCCGACGGGTCTTATCACGACATCATGTATGAATCCATATACCTCGCCGAAGGTCTACACTCGCAGCTTCGCCACTCCCACCTCACGACTCCAGACGACTCGAATGGCTGCCCCCCTAATGCGCCCTATCCGTTCTTCGATTCTTTGTCTTCTGTTGCACTGCCGCCTTATTCATAGGCCGCTTGTTCTTCCTCGTTTTTGCCTTCGATTCAGCTCACTGCAACTTAGTCTTGCTTTCATCACTCGTAATCATTGTATACCTTCCTCTCCCTTGTATCGTTAGTAATCTCGCCCACTCCTTGAACGGTATCTCTCCAATATACCTTACGAATTTGTATAATAGTGGATTCAATACTTAATGCATTGTATGCTCATTGCTAACATCAAGCACCTTGGGCTTGGGTAGTTTAGTTGTTTAGCGCAGACAAACAAAAGTTGTTGATTGATCAAAAAATGTGATGCAGGCTTCGTCCCGCGCTGCCGTGCAACTCAAGCGCTAAGACTTACCCCATCTTCATTCCCCTACCTCTCCTCCAATCCACCATTCTATTTCCCCGTCCTCTTCTCCCCATTGTCGCTCGGAAATCGCGTCTGGTCTTCAACCTCTTCTCTCCCGAGCACCGTGCCACTCCAGGAATGATGCTCGCTTCGCCATTCCTGCCGCCAACCATGTTCTCCACTCAGCCTAGCTCGGACGATCCGCTGCACTACAGGCCCGCAAAAGACTTGGAGACATTCAATAGCCTCCTTCCACCTCCAATCGAGTTCGTCGAGGGGTCGTCGTCAGGAACACTGGCTGTTGCGGAGGGGAAATACGAGGCGATAAATGCGAGTCCCAAAGTTCCTAAGGCCGAGGTCCGTCGATATGATCGCTTTTCAAACTCTGTTCATTGAGATACGCGTTTATAGCTCCCAGATAACAACAACCCTGCTCCTTCCACTCCGACGAAACTCGCTTCAACACCCTCTCGTGCGACAAGCACCAAGTCACTGCACCCCGATCCTATTGAATTGGCTTGGCCACAAACGTGCACCCGAGCTTCGGGACTGTACAACAACGGAAACACCTGTTTTATTAACAGCGCTCTTCAATGTCTCCTCCATACCCCTCCGCTCCTTAGAAAGGTGCTGGCCCACAAGGAGGACTGTACGTGGTGTGGCTGTGTTACCCTCTTCTCTGCTAAATGAATCTCGTATTCCAGGTCGCGTTAATTCGGGGTTCTGTATGAGTTGTGCACTTCGTAGTGTAGCAGTGAAGGCTTACACCAGCAAGTCCCCGTTCCCTCCTTCCCAAATTACCAGCAATTTGCTAGGTTTGTTCACTAGTTGGCATCCTTGGTCAACGGTTCTCATACGGCAGCACAGTCATCGCAAAGCACATGCGTAAAGGCAGACAGGAGGACACCCACGAATTTATAAGATATGCGATTGATGCCCTCCAGAAGTCTTGCCTCGCGGGACATTCACCGTAAGTTGCCCAGTATTGCTGTTCGGTTTACGCTCAAGTGACTGTCATCAGTAAAATAGATTCCAAGCTTGCTGAGACCACCTGGGTCCATAAAATTTTTGGTGGACAATTGCGTTCGCGAGTAACGTGTCGAGATTGCGGGCATAATAGCGACACTTTCGATCGCATATTGGATCTCAGCCTGGATATTTTCAAGTGCCATTCCTTAAAGGAGGCCTTGCGCAAATTTATCGAAATTGACTATTTGAAAGGTGCTGATAAGTATAAGTGTGAAAAGTGCGCACATCCTGTCTTTTCCCCTAGACCCAGAGCTCATTGTTTATGCCGCTAGGTGCAAGAAAGCCGTCAATGCCGAGAAACGCTTTACAATTCACGAAGCTCCTTTGGTCCTTACCGTGCACCTCAAGCGATTTTCCCCAGTGGGCAAGAAGCTCACCAACGTCCTCCAGTACGACAGCGAATTGAACTTAAAATCCTACATGAGTGAAGATTCGTTCGGCCCTATATATTCTCTCTACGGCGTCATCTGCCATGCTGGAGGTGGCCCACATTCAGGCCATTACTATGCATACGTCAAGAACCAAGTGGGCCGATGGCAGGAAATGAACGATGAGTCGGTCTCATCAACCACTGTACCGACGAGCCAGAAGGAGGCATACATGCTCTTTTATATCCGGAATAAAGGCCAAGGGCTGGAGGCGGCGGTAAAAGCATCGTTGAACGGCGTTACGGCACCTGCGAAGGCTGGTCTTGTAGCAGGGATGAAGAAGAAGATCCAGCCCAAACCCAAAGTGTCAGAAGACGAAGACAAGGGCGTCAAGGTCGAGCCACGGTTTATTGGTCCTTTGCTCCCGTCAGTAGAGATTACGACATCCACTCCTGCTCAACCACCGTCAAGCCCCGCCGATCCTCAAGCACAGTCCCTCCGGGCAAAGATAGATTCCTTGGCCAAGCAGAATGCACAGAAAGCCCTAGAGCTTCTCGGCAATTACGATTCGGACGACGATTCGGACAAAGATGGGAACCCAACAACACCTACACTTACACGTACCCCCAGCGATGATCATGTCAGATCCATGGACGTGGATCTGAAAGGAAAACGAAAGGATGATGGATTGACACTCCCAGACGAGCCTGAAAAGCCTGCCTCTCCGCCTACACCGCCACCTCCATCATCAGACACCTCTATACCGCCATCTAGTTTCTATGCCAGCAGCAACAACAAAAGTAAGAAGCGGAAATCGCCAGACACAGAGAACCAGAAATCTTCAAGACGACACTCGCAACAATCACGTTCACGTTCACGGCCATCCCTCCTGACGGGCAATATTTTCGATAGACCCCTACCCAAACGCAAGCGCATGGGCCTCTAGGCCTCAAGGACTGTCACTGTTACTTAGACGTTGTAATGTACTAGCCAAGATCAAATTAAATGATTATTGAAGCACTTCAGCAAGGAAAGGCTGTTGCAAGCATCGATATGTAGTTCAAAAATTATATTGACACAATAAAGTGCTCTATGGTTCAGAGTTTAGGTCTGGCCTTTTCGGTGACTATCTGTGCCTCTCGCTCCTTTCCTTCTTCCCAGCACACAACCGTGACGGTAACATCGTCGCGGTATCTCCGAGAATAAGGGGCTGGTATACTTAACAGGCGACGAAGAGCGATCTGGTCACCTCCACCAAACGCGTTTCTAATCAGATGTGCACTGAGGTTATCATCGGCGAATGCCCATGACCCTTCCTTGCTACCGCCACTAGCCTTTTTCTTGCCGTTCACCCCTTGGGCACCGGAGGAGGTCGGAACGAGATCTGGCAGCTCTGACTTTGGTATGGTGCCCTTGAGGCCGGCAAGGTGGCCCCCAACTAGGCCAACCACCTCATCGTTGCTGCGAAGACCCTGAATAAGCACACTCCAGAAGCAAAGAAGCGAAATTTACCTCAACTGATCCCATAGTCCGTCTGTAGCGAGAACCAAAAATCGGTGCCGCCTCTCTGACGGTTCCGAACCGCCAGCGGTCGGGAGAAGCGACATTTTTCGGTGTGTAACAACAGGACGAGCGGTCACATAAGGAGGGGTCTTGAACAGCGAAGGTGGGGGCCGCATTGGGGTTCCATTACCCATCATAAAGGCCTCGTTTAGTCTAAACCCAAAGACGGACGAAACGACGGAACATTAGGCATGCTTTAGGGTGCTTCATCTCTTTGAATGACTGACGTTTCTTGGACTGCACGAGGCCACTTGTAGCGTGCATCGCCGAAAGCACGAGTAGGCTCAAGACCTCCAAGAACGCGTCCTTCGCGAATCACGTAGTCTTCTTCGTCTTTCGGGTGCTCTGATCTTATGCTGTATTTTTAAGCGTAAGTTAGGGAGCTGAGGACAGAAACGAGTAGATGGGCTGCGCACCGGGCCAGTTCAGACGGGTTCCGTCCAGTTTGATCTTCTGTTAAGACCTCTACTCTCCATTGACCTTGGCCGTCCGACGAAGGCTCCCACACACCTGCAATAGCTCTGCTGTCGCCCGTACAGGCTACATACAAATCACGGTGCGACGTGTCAAAAACAGCCAGTAGTGCACAACTACCTAAAATAAATGATAGTTAATTCAACAGTCTTGCTTTGCATGGATAGACAGCCGCATACCAGAGATGGCGGGTAGCATGCTCGTTAGTCCAAGAGGGTGCTGACTCAAATCTGGTATTGATTTGGTCTTCCAGTTCTCTTGACTCATGCTGTTCGCGAGGACACGAAGCGGGGTTGAGAGGAGCTCCGTGTCCAGTTTCGTAAAAGCTTGCTCGATCGCCTGCGACACGCGTGCTGGGTCGGCATCCAAAGGTGCTCGTGGAGAGGTTGGCCATAATAGAGACGTTACTCTGCTGAGCAATCCCGGTTGTGCTGCTGCTTTAGGGTCCTTCACTAAAGCAGAAAGTTCCAGAGCGACTCCTTGAATCAAGATGCGAGAAAGAAGACGTGAAGTCTCGTAGCCACCATGGCCGTCCATAACCGCGAAGAATAAGTAATCTCCCGGATAGGATGGGTCAGAGGCATCACGCTGGACGATTTGAGTTGCGTTGGCATCTTCGATTGGGTCGTTTGAGGCTAGTGACGCTGTCGTATACTTCCAAGTAATACCATCTGGACGTGCTTGAGTTTCAGAGGTTGCATTGCCCCGTATTCGATCTTCAACCTCCTTCCCAGAGAGGAGAGAGAACGTTCGGGATACCATTTCGGATTTTCCTGTTGGACCTTTGACTCTGACAGGAAGGTCGAACGTCGGCGGAGCTGACGCGTAGTATTTGCTGTAGTAAATATAGGCTGGAGTGCCGACAACGACGGTTGCAACGACTGGCTTCCACGCGCGGCGGAGCATGCTCGTGTGCGCTAGATATCTTGCGCCAAGGCACGCTCTGAGGAGTCCCCGAATGAGGTTTGGAGGAGTAGACGCCTAATTGGCAGAGCGCGAACCGCCAGAATCACGTGTGACATTTGATGACGTAACGCGTTTGGGACGTTCTGATTGGTCGTGGCGCCTGTGGCCTTACCATTGTCCGACTAAGAGTGGCAATGCGGCGGTCTCATAACGCGAACCACCACCACCTTCCCTCACATAAGCCCTTTGTGTTGTACTTATACAACCACTATACGGGAGAAGCGACGCGACTGACATTCATAGTGCCGCGTTCAAGTTTTTCAGGGTCCCACTTACCAGAAATGGACCAAGGCGTGGCGATCGAAGACATCCAGAGCAATACGGGATCTAATCTCCTACCACCATCTGTAAGTCGAGATCAAGTGCAGAACGTAGCGCACAACTCTCCTCGTCAAGGCCAATCCCTGATTCCTGTGTGTATGAAGACTGTAGGAGTGCAACAAGACACCGCAGGGCCCTCAAGCCAGCCCGCAAACCAAGAAGTCAAACAGAAACCTGACCGAGAGAAACCGTCAGAGGAACAACTTGCGAAACTCGGTGTCAAAGTCAGGGATTTTGCATATGAAAGCAAGCTCCCTCCTGTCCGAACGATCTATCTCCAGCCCCGTCAAGTTCAACCCAGTGCGCCACAGGGTCTCCAACGCGAAGATACGGAGGAAGATGAATCATTTTCGCAGTCGCAAGGTGTACGCTCACTAGAAAGAACCAACACTGAGCCTACGGTCGCAGCCGCGCCTCCATCACGAACGCGCGGCTTTCTAGACCTCGCCAACTATACCCTGGACAGTAATAGCCTCGACTCTCAGACGCCTATGGCGTATCCTGAATCCCAAGCGAGCGCAGGGCTGCCAGAAATCGTCTTCGAGTCGCAAGACTCTGACATGCCACCAAACGACACGGCAATCGTGACGCCAAACGGGTCGTTTCAGTGGGATGTTGAGGACACAAGCGATACTCCTGCCTCGCAGCTTGACACGGAGTCTCAAGCGCCAGAGCCAGAAATAATTTCATATTCGCAGCTCGGGTTTTCACAACCGTCAGAGCCGTCTTCGCAGCCTGCTCCTTCAGAAGGCGACATATCCTTACTCAATTGCTCGCCACTGACACCGCTTCCATCATCGCCTTCAAATGCTGCTCCCTCCCCTTTGGCCCTGCGAAAATCCACCTCCTCAATTTTGTCGCAAAGCTGCGTATCGTCTAGTAATTCTCCCAAAGCCCGCTCAAACTCCAATACCGGCATTGTTGCTTCGCCTCGGTACAATTTACGGAAGCGGACTATTTCCGCGGTTTCTCGCCACACCCCTCCTAAGGCGCCTAAACGTGCCCGAGTTTCGATGCTTCCAGGTGGATCAGGGGTACCTGCACATCTGAAGACCGTTGGTGTACAACCCATCAAGCCAGGAAAGAAGGCGAAAGGAAAAGAGACAGCCACCAACTCGAGTGGACGACGAAGGAAGGCACGCACCTAAAGAGCCTCTATACACATTGCCCGGATCCCCTCCGCGCGCCTCCTCTCTTACTTTTTTCGTGATGATGGAACGTCTTGTAACGACCTCGATTTCGCTGTGCCTCTTGGTTTATCTCGCATGAATTCCTTGTACACACCTGCTATCTTTGGGTATTTGGTACGCTATCGTCCGTGTATACAAGTGCTTTCCATAGCATAGCTCTTTCGCTGCGTTGTATTTTTTCTGTAATGCTTTCTCTCGCACATACTCATAGTCCTGCTATTCTTGTTGAGAAGTTCCATGGAAATATGAATAAGAACTGGTGTAAACTACGATCGAGGGCAAATTGTACGCACACGATCATAGTGTAGTTTCCAATGGCGCACTTGCTGCTCGCTGCTCTCCACGCCCAAGTCGCATGCTCTAGCCAACCAGTCGGGGTTTCCTAGGAGTCCAGGAGATAGCAGGGCTTAAATCGAAGTAGATGCCGCCAGACGAGAAAGGAGTAAAGAACGCCTCACCTAACGCACCTCTAAAATTATACCGCCGCTCCCTCCGCCACCACATCGATAGGCAAAGTACAGTTCAGAAGAATCCACAAATAAAGAGAACGCGTCCGTCGCGTTATAATTAGCGAGACGCGTGGGATCGGCGAACCTGCCACCGCCAATTCATCCATCACTCACACAGGCTGTCAGACTTCCGATCACACATGAATCCAGTCGAAATCGAGCTTGATGTCAGAGCTAAACCAGGCTCGATGGGCCCCAGGTTGGCAGTCCAAATCTTATCTAGTACACCTCGAAGTACGAGAACGACACCTTCCCAGGCTGCGTCGAAGGCTTGAAGGCGTCGTTTTGGCAATGGAAGGTTCCTTTTGCCAATATCTATGGACTTTGGAGCCCTCGATCTGTGCCTAATGTAAGCTGGCGGCGAATCGTCGGCTTGATTCTCGCCCATCGCTGAGACGCACCGGTTCGCAATGCGCTTCCAGCATGGATTGGGCGGCGGAATGATGGACGAGCTAATCAGAGCTGGCCTCTTGGCTCGGTGTCTTTGCCGACGTCTTCAGGAACCGTATTGGCTAGAGGGCGAACGTGCTAATTACGCCATTGCACAGAACTTGGTTATGGAGACTGCGCGTCGAACGGTGGAGCAGATTAATTGAGAATGCGTGGTTTGTCTTTCCTCAGTTTCACGAATAATGAATTGAGGTATCTATCGGGTTCGCAAAGAAAAGACCAAGCGAAGTCTTTCTGCGCAGCCGAAGTGTCTTCCCGAAAGTCCCATTCCCTTATACTTCCAAGCCTTCAGCTTCAAGCTTCATCCCCTCACGGCACGCCTTGCATAACTTCCGTAATCAATGTCTCTTTCATAACCCACCTCATCTCCCCTGTAGCCCACAACCCCGCCTACCCACGCGAGGCCGCGACGCTACATCCAGCCTCGTCCGGACCACGTTGTTATCAGATTCAAAGTTATTATGAACCACTAATAGAGTGGATCCCCGGAATACAGGGCCGTTGCCGAATAATGTACAACCCCACATTCACGTTGCAACTCCGAGTCCGCACTACTCCAGAGCTTGAGCTTGATCTTTTTGTTAGCGCTCGGGCGTTGTTGGTGTACTAATTTCGCGTCTCGGGACAATGTACTGGAAAGGTGGAATTTGAATCGTCGGGTTTGCGAAAGGCACCTAGTTATATATTAGACACGTAGTTGCCACGAGGCGGCGTCAAGAGAAGTATTAGGCGCCGGATGGTGGCGCACCGAGTGGCGTTCGAGCGTTTATGACCGCAGCGACTTGGCGTTGGCCGTCTCATTCATTAGACCCTACTCGGAGGTCGGATAACGACGCCGTAAAACCCCCCTGCGGTAAAAAGCTGAGGCGCACATTTCCAGAAGAAGCGCAGACCAGGAATGCACCCTCGAGCGCATGGTGGTCCTTACCCGGGGTTCGTGGGACGCCCGATGGTCGACGGGTAATGACAATGGCAAGGAGAATATTCCGTAACCGTTCGCATGCACATACATTATTATTCTGGGCGAGGGTGGTCACTGGTCATGGGTAATATGAAATGATCGCGGAAGTTTCGAGGCGATTTCTCGCCCTCGCTTGCGCTTCTTCTGTGGTGTTTATCAGGCGTCTCCGACGGACAGGAAGATCATGCCGTAGAAGTTTGTGAAGTCTAGACGCGCACTCTTTAAACCGTGAACGGGCGAACTGTTCACAAGAAATAGACCTTTAGACGCGACTCGGAGCTGTCATGCATTCGTCCTTTGCGGTCTAGAGGCTGGGTGTATACGAACTTCCAATACGCCCCACGGTCGATCTGCTCGCTGCCGAGCATGGTGATAATCGGATTCGGAAGCATCGAACGAAGCGACGCGGCCAAGCGCGCTCACGCGCACCAGAAGCGCTGTCTGTCTGCGTACCACGACCTCTCGTAACACATCATCTCGCAAAAGTACTCTTCTTCAGTCCACCTGATACGACACCAGAAAACAGAAAATTCGATGTTGAACGTGCTTGCTCGTTCTTACTTGCTCTTTCTTCACGGGTTCACGTCTCATTTCCGTGGGCAGTGACATGGGACGGTGAGTCCCAAAAATCGAAGGCGATGTCCGAGTCGATGGTATTCAAGCGACAGGCAGCCCACGCATGCTCGTCCGCGGACATGTCGAAATAATAATGTACGGCATGCTGTGAATGCTGTGAATAGAATGCAGAGGTCTCGAGCTGTACGTACACCGCGTACAGTGCGCTGGTTCTTTGGAACCGGCGGAGAGGTTGTGATTTCGAAAGTAGACGTGAATGATTTGGAAGCAGGTTGGTATCATGGAATGCACATGGGAATACTTGTTGTAGGTACCTCGGGTTCAGTAGCGCCTGAGTTGCTGGTTAGGTAGGTGGTGTGAATTCCCTCCTTCAAGGTGAAAAGAATGCTAGTAAACCCTTTGACCAGAACGAGCTCTTTTAAGACGACATCCGAATCTGACAGTTCTTTGTCTGCGGCGGAGAGGACGACGTTGGCGCGGCGTCGGCTATGCCCCTGCCCCGTGTGGATGCGATGTACCACTTCGCCATATTCGTCTTCGTTGGGCCTGCAGAGTTGGAGAGTTGACAGGGAAGAGCCAATTACGTTTAGCCTCTGCGTTTTTGAGATCTCAGCCGCCGCCGTCAGAGAGCTGGGAGTAGGGTTCGGAGCAGGGACATCTCTAGACAAGAATATTCGGCGGCTGAGGCGTCGAGAGCTTCGCAGGGGAAAAGACGAGACTGTTTTGTGAATATTCATGGATGGGCGGATATATCCAGGGATTCATGTGAGTAGAGGCAAATGAGCTGTGGCGGAGTGGACGACTGAGAGCGAGAGCGACGACCTCGGGCCTGGTAACCGCCGTCGGTGTACCTCTTTTTAAGCGTGCGGCTTTTGCTCGAGATGAAAATGGAAAAAGAAAACTCGATAACAGCTGTCAGCGTCTGGCGTTTGTAGGAACAACTTAAGAGCGGGATCAGCTCGCCAAGAAGGGTGATAGGGGCGTGTGCAAAGTGGACGAGCGCTCGATCACTTCGCGGAATGTTGGCCGACGGTGCGTGGCGCGTCCCGTCGACCGAAATGAAATCATGGAAAACAAGGCCGACCGACTGCTCCGAATATGCGAAAGAGGCACGCCAATGCACTCGGCGCGATCGCGTTTTATCGTTGTCGTCCCGATTGAAAGAATGTGAAATTCCGAGGATGGACCAAGCTGGCTCGAGAGGAAGAACTATTGAACATGCGCGCGCTAAAGAGTTCTCGGAGCTTTCTTTTTATCCGTTTTTGTGTGAAGGACGGCGGATGGAACTTGCTGGTACTCGGAAAACAGGTAGGGAAAGTAGTGCTCGAATAGAATTAGATGAGGAAGGCAGACTTAAGGCTAGTAATAGTAGGAGCAGCGAATGCAGTATAGCAGGTGACGTCAAAAGGATCTGCGAACCAGCTTGGAGATAAGACGGAGAGCCGCGGAGTGAACCGAGCCGGATCTGCGGACCGTGGCGCACAGGGGCCCCGAAAGCGGAAGTTTGACTCGGCCAAAGAGTTTTTATTGCGAGGGATGGGTGCACGAGTGCTGCCCCCCAATGCAGGTCACCATCACCGTCCTCCCAGTCTCCCTCTCCCTCGTCCACATCCCCCGCTCCCGCCTCACAAACCTCTCCCACCCCGTCCTCCGCCAGATCCTCCACCCCTCCCCCGCATTCCTCAACATCACCTGCAATGAGATCGAGCTCTCCATCTTCGCAGAGCACCACATGCTCGCAGACTTCGACCCAATAGCACGCAAGGACAGGCAGCGCCAGAGGTCAAGGTCGGGCTCAGCAAACAGCAGGAAGTCCGTCTCTCGCAGCACATCCGACTACGAGCCCGTCGAGATCTCCTACGAGAAATGGAGCGTCTTCCAGATCGACTCGCACAGCGATCAGACAGGTCCGTATATCTGCCATTTCCCCCAAAGTCGACGACCTCACCCGTTGTCCTCAGGGAACTCGGGAACCCGCGTCCATGACCTCTCTGCCCCACTCGCCGCGGCAGGAATCTCTATCCTCTATCAGTCCTCGTATACCAGTGACTTCATTTTCGTCAGTCCTCCATTCTCCCCCCATCCATTCGCACCCTTATCATCTTCGCACTCCATAGGTAAAAGAGTCCCGCCTCCAAGAAGCCATGAATCTTTTTGCCTCCGCTGGTTTCAATCTATATACGTCTGATGCCAACCCCCAAAACTCTCCGTCCCTCTCCCCCGTCAGCGACGACCGAGCATCCCTCGACTTACCCCCATCATCGGGTGCCGTTCTTACCCGCGACCTCAGCGGCCTCAACCTCTCCAAAAAGCTCAGCGACTCCTCCGACCCACCGACCACAGGCCAACAGTCGCCTCGCGTTAAATCACACTCACCAACGTCAGGCGAAGTCCGCGTGCTTAAACCAGATCTAGCCTGCGTTGGCTTGTCAGATGAAATAGGCGTCGACCATTGGGGTCTCAAAATCGTCAAGCTTGTCGCTTTTCCTGACCTGATCCCACCCTCCCCCCGCGTCACATCCGACTCCTCCTACCTTGATCCATCGCCAGTTGTTGACCTCACTGCCTCTTCCCTCTTCCTATCGCACAGAAGCGCAAGCGACGACACGAGCTCATGTTCTTCCTCCAGTGACGATGACGGCTACTTTTCTCACTCTCCCCAAAATGTATCAACAACTTCACTCACCACCAGCACTTCGCGCTCGTATTCTGACCTCCAAAGCCTTGCGTCCAAACCTCCCTTGTACAACCCGCCCTCAAAACACTTTGTCTCAACCATCAGCCCGCTTTCACCTATCACACCGAAGCAAGAAGCACGCATTCCTTCTCCATCTTTCTCTATTCACTCTCACACCCACTCAACGCGTGCCCAATACAATTCGCCCAGATCGGAACATCGGGTCCCTTTCTTCAGTTTCACGAGGACGCCCGAGGGGTCCTCGTTGACTGCTGATGTCCATGTTCTGGCCACTCTTTTCCCTCCCCACGAGCGCCACATGGTCATCTGCGGCGGCGAACTCGACGCGGCTGACTACCGCCTCGAGGAGGGACTGGAATCTTCCGACGAGGAGGACGAAGCCGAGGACGTTAGCCCTCGAGGCAGCTCGCTCAAGTGTTTGCAAATCGACCTTCGGCGCTTCGGACTTGGTACGTGTTCAGAACTGTATTGAGAACCAAGCTTTTCTGACGGCGACTGTCACTTTTTATTTTTATCGTCGGGATTCATTCCGTTTAGATAAACACGGCCTCGTCAACCGCTTTTCGCGGGTCTTGGAGGAGAATGGGATTAATCATATGTATAGCTCGACGTTCAAGACGGCTAACTTATTGGTGCGTCGATTAAGAGCTGGTTATGGTTTTATTTATTCATTTGACTTTCTTTTTTCAGGTTGATAAACGGGATGCGACTCGCGCAAAGAGTTTACTTCGCGCATGCTAAGTCTCACCAGAATCCCTATCGTCATTTCCTAGGTGCGATTGCACCGTATCCACCCCGACCCCTACTCAAAAGAAGATGAACGCTGTCTGTTCTCGCCCTATCTCATTTTTACTCCGCCCACCCTTCTTCGACCCATTTAACTCCACAGGTAGCAACGCGCGATCTACGTGAGGGGCCCAACCTCGTTAAGGCTCGACGGTACTCAGATTCGGGATCTCGCACCAGAAGGCGTTGGGTTCGTGATAACAGTGGATCAGTCATCCTGCCATGCCTTGTCCTCGCCGTCATCTATTTTCTGCCCTGTGATTTCCGGCAGTTGGATACCTCCTTCGACTCTGTCCGTGGTCTGATTGCGATCCCGCTGTTCAGTGCTTTGGAACCCTCGACTCGACTCGAATCGCCGTCGTCGGAAGTTTGGACTTTGGGGTTCCGATTTCATACGCCCTGTCACAGTGGGTTTGTGGTGCTCGTCGTCTCGTCTGCGGTTGCGCGCGGCCTTGTCGGCTTGGGATGGGCGTCTGGGCTCTGATTAAATTAATGCGCCACAAGCCCAACCATCCCCCTGCGCAGCGGTGTCACCTCTCATCGACACTACTATCAGCGTGCTATAGCGTTTACGTGCCTGTGGTACCCCCGCACGGTCCCAGACGCGGAAGACGGCTAAGCGGAGACGTTACCCCAAACCCATTCAATTCCGGTGGCGATGATATTCCTCCATCTCTCATCATTCTTCAAAAACTTTATTATTCCATCCTCCGTTCGTTCGACTTTTTGTTGTACTTTTTGCAACCCGTTCCGCATTTTCCGCATCACCCATTTTCTTTACTTTCACCGCCATCATCATAAGTTATCCCCTTCATCCTTTTCCGCCATGTTCGACTTTTACATCATCGTTCTCTTGGATATGACCCCGCATTTCTTGGATATGTATGTAACACCCTCGACGACATCATTCGCCCATGCACGCCCATCTTCAAGTCCCATATCATCACCTCATCCTCACCCTTCATTTGCTTGCACCGCATTCCCACATTTATTCATTCTTTTCTGTTACTTTACACCCACCCTTGTTACACACCTATCCTAAAATCCATATACAATCGTACGTTCATCCACATACAGCTATCCTAGACTCGTGTGCATCTCGCATGAAAATTTCTATTCACCCACCGTTGACCTCCCTCATGACCCACACACATTGCGGACTTGACCTTCGAATTCTTGTAGACTCCACATGTATGCATCCTTTGAACATTTCTTGGAATGCCTTTTCCTACCATGCTCCTACTATCTCACAGCGTTACATAACGTTTGTTATCGGTCGATGACGCACCAGTCAGATGCACTCTTCATCCCCTTCATTTCCACCAACGTTCACAGCTCTGACAGCCTGACAGCGAAGTCTGACACTTGGACAGCTGAGATACCGTTATTCCTTTCGGCATGGCCTGGAGGCTGGCAGGTCGGAACCGGCGTCCAAATGCATCCTTTACAGGCTTCATTTCATAGTAGCTAGTTGGCGTTAGACTGCAAACGCAAGCTCGTACTGGGCTCCCCGGCCCACAGCCAAGATTTTAAGGTTTGAGTAGCCAATGGGGATGAATCAAGACAGAAAGAATCGCGGTGATATTTTTGGACAATCTTTCCCTTGCAGTTCGAAAAAGATAGAGGGTTGATAGTCATACGGGCGGGCATCGAAAGAGATCGAAGGTAGGCGACGGGATGAGATCATGATATTCAGTCGTTATTGTCAGGAAGATGTATTGCAGGACGTCGAAACCCTCTGGACGACGTATCACGAGTACACTGAAGGGTCCTTTTGGGATGTGTATCTGTCCATCTGGGTTTAGCACAAGACAGTACGAGAAGTGTGCTGGTCTCCTGACCCAAGTGAGGTACGCTGCCGATGGCTATCTCTTCTTTCGACCTCGTATTGATTGCGGGATGCAGTGCCGCGAATGAGCGATTTGACGAGGCATTTGTTGCCGTGTCAGGTGAGATCGACATGGCAGGCACCTGCTGAGCAATACCGAGTACTATGAGCGAACCTATCATTCAGTGTCTTCTCGAGACCTGCTGATCCTCCCTCTGGCCTGGCCTGGTCCTTTATAACAAGAACTGATAAACGAGGAACGTCTAACCGTCTCCGAAATCAAGAAGAAACTGGGTAAGAGTACGTCCGAGGAGTAACGTGAACAATTATATGTCGTGCTGACAAGAAGAGTGCCATGGTACCTCTGCAGAGAATTGAGTCCAGCCAGCCAGCCGCTGCAGCTCGTTCGATGCTGGTTTGTCTTCCACTCTGTGACAGAGCTCTGTCTTTACGAGAGTGAAAGCTCCTCTTGCAGCTTCACTGACACGAGTGGCGAAAGCGACTGACGTTGAAGAGCCTTCCTCCGAGTCGTCGAGACTCGAATCCGATCCCGGTAGCGAACTCTTGGAAAAAGGCGAAAATGTGGTTCTTGTGCCCGGGATTGACCTAGATTGTATCCGGCAGCGATAATCGAGAAACGTTGAGTAGAAAGCCTAGGTTGAAGCAGAACAACCTTGATGGAGCCTCCTAAATCGGTAACTACATAAGATGATATTCCTTGGCGCCGTTTGGTTACTGCAAAACTTGCGCAGAATTGTGCAGGAGCATGACTGTAACCGCATGAAGCCTTCAGAATTGCAAAAAGGCAACTATTACACAAGCGCGTTTCTCTGGGACCAACGTATGTCGCATAACCAGACCGCGACATACAGCTACTACTGACAAGTTTCAGAAGTGTACGCCAGTTGCCCATCCTGGAATGGCCAGCATCGCACAAGCCACTCTTTTTCCTCTGGTTCCGCCTCGTTGATCAACTTCTCCCGTAGCATATCATGAGCCTCCTTCACCTCCTCATACTTCTCTGACAAGACAAATCCATCAGGGTCGAGACCTAGCTGTTCATGAAGAGTTTCACGCAACCTCCATGGTTTGATGAGGCTTTCATATTCAGCCATATGCCGCTCGCGTTCTATGTCGGTATAGTGGATAGGGCAAGGCACTGTGGACGGGTCTTTTGAATGCGACCTCACAATGATATCCCAATAGTCAGACACATCTATAAGGGCATCCCGTATCGCTAGTAAGCCCTCCGATGTCCCGCGGGTGATGGCACGAATGGGCTGAATGGACAGTTCGCGCATTGGTGCTTGATTCACGACATCAGCCATGGCCGGGTTGAATTCGTTCATCTTCAGTTCGTAAGCCCTTGCCCTGAAGGCTGCCTTGTGCGCACGATCCGCTATTCTTCTTTCCTCTGTGTTTAGACCTTCATACCCAGGTGCAAATTTTGGGTTCGTAGAGCTTCCGGGTGTGTAGTCGACGTAAGGGCTCGCGGAGTAATGAAGCAGAGGGGACGGCGTCGCTTGCATGAAGAAAGGTCCGACAAGGGAGGATTGCCAGTCAATGATGCCTGTAATTTCGCATGGGTTGGTTTCCGTGGCAAGGATATTGCCCCTGTGCATGTCTGGATGCCACAGCGTGAATGGCGTGATGGCAGGAATGAGGAAGGGCACGAGCTTGTCATAGTCGTCTAAAAGGGCAAGATGCTTCGGTGACGTCGCCTCGGGCCTTTGCTTCAACCAAGCTCGCTCACAGGCAGAAAGAGCATGTGCAAATGAGTGAATATCAGGCCCTAGAATGAACATTTCACAATCCCGGCACTGCGTGCTGAAATGCATAACTCACAAGGTCCCCTATCAATATCCAGCGCAGCTCGTCCGCCTCTCCAGAACTCTCTATAGAGACTTGGACCAATATGGAAACGCTCGGAGTTTGGAGTAGACGTGACTTTAGGAGAGTAAAGTGTGCGATCTTGCAGGAAGGACGGTAGGTCTTCCTTAAAATAAAGGCTTCCAATCTGCGAAAAACGCTTATCCAACATAACTCGCTCGAAGAAGACAATGGTCGTGATAATATTCATGGCCACTATGCCTTTGACCTCCGGGTCCCACCAACGCGACCAGAGAGGAACCCCTGGTACCTTGTCGTAGACGATAAATTCTGTTCCAACAGCTGTGCTCTCCGCATGAGAGCTCCACGCTCGGACACGAGGGACAGGCAGTTCAAGCTCTGTGCGAATATATTCCATTGTTGCGACTTCGCTGGCTGTCATAAAATGCCTGGGGCCAGCAACAGGAAAGGGAATACGAGCAATGAGCTCCTTGTCATTATCGAACCGAAGGAGGAATGCGCGGTTGAAAAGCCCTGTAGCCTCGAAGTCAAATTCGATGCAAAACGCGCAAAACTTATTCATTGCCTTCATCCAGTTTCTCAAAGGATGTGCAGTAGCGCGCTTCTGCAGCTTTGACACCAATATCCGCTAGAGCGGAAATGTTGAATGGGACATGTCTCGCAGCTAGTTCTGGGGAGAGGTCAGACGGTGCATAGTGTAGAGTTTTAACACGTACGTTTATCGTTGTTATAGAGCCAACGCCCTTTCGTGAATGAGAACAAGTTCTTCGGGTCTAGAAAATGTGAGAATGTCTTTTCAGTTTGATAGCGTTGGACGGTACCCTTTATCTGTGTGGAAATCGAACGGCCACGAGTAGTCCAATTTTTGGAAGGTGCTGTCTTCGCTAAACGCGACCACATATGTGTCAATGCTGCTGGACGTTCGTTGGAAGTCGAAGTTGGGCAAACCACTAGTTGGCGAGCCGATCAATACACCACCCTCCTGACGTCCCTGTGAAGCGTGAGATTAATACAGCGTCAGAGGAGAGCCTGAGGTCATGGCCTTCAGTTAAGTACGAATATTATGGGAGAGTTGAATCATAGGAAATGTCCAGTAGTAGCGAAGGACTTGGAGACCGACTTCAAGTTTATGTAACGTTTATAGGTTGGCACATGAGAGGTTTCCCACGACCTGTCCACCAGAGATTTTCGAATGGCTCAGGCCGCAGCCTCTGGCCCGTGTGCAACGAACCCTTGTCCAGGAAAACCAAGCCAAAAGCATGATCTTCGTCACCGTGATGCCGAATCTTAGGAATACCAACGTAGGTAGAGAGCCCTAAATGCGACAGACTTTACAACTCCAGAGGCGTTCCATGAAAACCCTTCGCTGGATCATTTTCGGCGACGCAGGCAAGTTCAATCTGTCGTAAATATCCACATTCTTGTTAATCCGAAATACTTCAGGGCTTTACAGACTCAACCCAATGCACCACTATGATTTTAGCTACCGTGACGTTATCTGTCCCTGAAATCTTGAAGCCGGTTGCGCCAAATGCTCAACCTTTTCATCTCATTACTCGGAATATCGATCGCCTGTCGGTCGATGCATTACTACAGGAACTTAGACAGCAAAACCTATCTCCCAGCATCTCCAAGAACTCCATTATCGAGATGCATGGAAACTATTCGAGGCCCAATGCACCAATTCTGACTGCGGCCATCGCGCCGAAGATTTGTCTCTTGCTCCTGCTCTCTGTCCAGCTCTTGAACAGGCTGCACTTCCTCGTTGCTCATCTTGCGGATCTCTTGCTCGTCCTGGAGTTGTATGGTTCGGAGAAAAGCCATACCATTCTTGACGAGATCGATAATTTGGTTTTTAAAGCTGATATGTGCCTGGCCATAGGCACCTCAACGGTCGGTCCTCTTGAGATTCACTGCATTTCTACTTCCGCTCATGTTTTACTCCTTTCAGGTCCTGCCAGAAGCGACCTATGCACATCGTGTACGGCGCCACAATGGCAAAGTCGCCGTATACCTGCTGGGAGTGACGCAGAGGCAGACTTTTTGTTCAAAGGAGGACGTGAAACAATTCTAGCTCAAATCTTTCCTGAACTCGTTTGAGTTACATCCTTCTAGGCCTTGAATTCAATCTTTTTGATCCTGTCTTTTCGCCCACCTGGCTGGGTATGCCCTCTGCTCTTTTACTTTTTGATGCCTCCGTTGTGAAAAGGTTTTCCAATCTTCACTCAACAAGGCAACTATACGACTGTGCTGTTATGGAGGCTCATGGAAGCTTTCCCGGAACCCAGGCCCGAGTTATTGCTTCCAGGACTTTGAATCATCGGAGAAAGTTGATCCGGCTATCCAGGAGATAAGGGTCGGACGAGGTCTTCTTGCAACTAAGCGCACCTCTCGGGCTTGCAACATGCTGAGCGAACCAAGATGAACTGCTAACCCATGTGAAAAGGTTGGTTTTTAGGTGCTCCAATTTAGAAATCTTCAAATCAGGAACTCCATTGTGACATCAATAGCTCACTACAGATTTCAACACTAAATTAAACCCAATGCAAATGCAAGTAAAAGTACAGCATTACAAATATAAAGACGAGTACAGAACCGGAAGAGATGCAGATAACCCAAGGCAAGGCTAGTAGTACAGGTCCGTGAATGCAAGAACGCACACAAACTTAGTATGGTGTATGAAGAGAGAAGATAGAAAGCGACCATAGATTACAAGTATCCAGACAGTCCACTTAGGCTGATCACTGGGTACGGTCGATGATGGATGTATACCACTCATCGTCGATAGAAGGAAGTTCGTCGTCGTCTTCCTCGATGTAGAACTTCGACCTCGGTGGCGAGTCAGGTGTGGGTGATCCTGGCCGCTGGAAATCCTCCGACGCGACTAATACGGCGTATTGTGAATAATCGAATTCACTGATATCCCCATTCCCAACAGCCTCATCGAAGTACCCGCTGGTAACGCTTTGCAGCTCTGTCGGCGTTTCAGGACCAGCTGACTCGACGGAGGATGTGCTATAGCTTGAGCGAGAGTCTTCATCCGGTATGCATTGCGCGTCGTTAACGTAGGTCACAATGGTCCGGCGCGAAGAAAGAACAACGAGAGTGTCGCCGCCGTCGTCAACTTGGATAGGCGTGCCGTTCGCGGCGACAATAGATGGGTCGTTCGGCGGGGCTTCATGGATGAGGATGTGGGGAACAGAGAAAGGACTTGGCGACGGGACATAATGGACGCCGGTGGGATAACAAGCCAAAATAACCTATTGCGATTGAAGGTAAGAATATAAATTCGCAAGGATGATGGAGGCGAGAACACACATGTATTGAGTCCACCCATTTGTACGGATGTTCAAAGGTTTCACAGAAACCTGGCATATCATAACGTGCCCGAAGGCCCCGGGCCTTGAGACTGGCAGCTTCAGCCTACGAGAAGAACTGTTAGGTGACTGCTAATGCAAACAGCCATTGACACTCTTACCGTGACTTTAAATAGCCGCCGTTGAGTGGCAAGCACGACGCGGCGCATAAAACAGGAGAGCCGTTCTTGTTCTGTGGATTCAATCTATAATACATTGAGTTAGAAGGACAATTTGACATAGCTTGAAGACAACGGACCCATTTCTGGAAAGCAGCATGTTTGAATACACATTGAGGTAGGGGATTGGCCTCATAATAGGAACATTCTGCTGTAGGATGGAGTTCAGGTTGGGGCTCAGGCTGGGCCTCGGCCGGAGACGGATGGAACAGCGCCATCAACTCGTCGTAAGTGTGCATACGACATGTCGACCCGTAGAAAGGAGGAACAGGGAGGTGAGAATAGAGCTGGAGGGGTGCACGATTGCTTTCGGCGACCTGGGCAGCCTGCAGCCAGTCGCCTGTCGTAGGTGGCGTGATGACGATGTGAGGAGCAACCTCAGGGCAATGGGAGTCAAATACTATGTTATGTGGGGTCCAGCGGTAAGGGTAGAGAATGTCCTGAAAAGTCTATTAGGAACCTTCCAAATACGACAGTTACCTGACCTGCCGCTCACCTGAGGGTTGGGCCCTTCCTGCCGGTTGTCAACAATAACGGGAGAGACAGAGCACAGCTATATGAAAATGCGCAGATAAGTTAACCGTAAATAAGGTAGGGATAGGTATACTTACCATGTCAATGTCATGGAGTCGTTGAGAGGGTGAGCCGACCACGAGAGGCTCGGTGGCCTCAGTACACATGCTTGAACATGGCGTGGAGCACGAGGCATTATCGATCGAGGGATGCACGAGCTGTGAACTGCGCGGGACACCCGCCAGTCTACTCGCACCTTGATCTTCACGGTTCATTGCCGACCGGTAGTTGTGGGCAATCCGAGCACTCTCCGACATGCTTTCGAGGTCATGCTAAGTAGAAGGAAGTCAGTGGTCGACTCAGCATAGCTTTCGGTGGTGGACATGCACCTTGCTAACCCCCTTTCCTTTGTCTCCTTGCCTTTTCCTTCCAACGCGATCATCATGGGATAGGCGATGAGAGGACGTCGGCGAAGTTGATGAAGCATCGATGGACGCCTCAATTGTTGATTTGCACGTGACGGCGCGGCGCGTCATTTTACGCGACGAGCCACTCTTCAACGCGTCGTACGACGTGTTTCTCCTGGACTTCTTAGAGCTGCGTTGGAAGGGCGATGTGTTGAAGGTAATTTTTGGGAAAGAGAACATTTTGCAAGTCGTTCAATAAAAGCAACGCGCAACGGTGGTAGTGGTAAAGGCTGAGGTGACGCCGGTTACAATTGTTGCCGACGCGGACGTAAACTGGGATAGTGACGAGCAACTGTTGCGCGCTAGATAGCTGGGGGGAGTGGACGTGTAAGGGGGGATTAGAAGAAAAACAAGGAGTGCCGCTGTGTTATTTGTATGTCTGCAGTGTGTGGCCCGATGAAGTTCCTTTGATACCAGTGGCGTTGTGGGCCACCCTGCTTCTCCGCTCAGTTTCCTTATTCGGACACGCCGCTTCTACCACTGGCCGGTTTGAAACAAGTTGGCCATTGAAAGCCCTTTGTTCGATGTTAGAGGTATCCAGTGGCATGCTCGTGAATCCCAGGTCGGCGTATGAGCCCATGGCTGCCAAGCGGTCCCATCATCGGCGACGGGCCAGCGCTCACAGTTTTTGAAAGAAAATACCTGGGCATACCACTATCCATCGCCAGGTCATCGCAATTATCGTATCTCATCACATCCATTGTTCATCCGGACACGAGGCTTGATTCCGGTGATGAGGGGACGGATCATGCAAAGAGTGATAGCATTCAAGATCTCGGGCCATGGTACAACAAGTGAGACTTCACCAACGAGACGACTCATTCACACCTTCTTCTCATGCAATCCCGATGGAAGGGGGCCTTCATCCGGCCGTCTGCTAGATGTCTTTGTGAAGTTCCTCATGGCATAGTCTGCCCCTGAGACCTAAAATGAAAGCGTCAGAAATAATTTGTCGGAAATACCGGGGTCCGCACCCATTGTACGATATCACGCAGAAAACTTGGCAAGTGACCGACGAGAGGAATGAAGTTGGTGTAGAATGGTAAGAAGACTGTTTGAGATTGCTGGTCGTCGAGAGCCGCAATTATTCTCTTCACAATTGCCACTGGCTGGATTGAAGGGCAGAAGAACTTGAAGAACGGGATTCTTGGGAATTCAACTGTCTGGAACATTGGTGTCATGACATGACCAGGGCACACTAATGTTGTACGGATCTTTGGACACTCGTAACTGTGAGGAGGAGCAGGGCGTCAGGGATGAGAAAAAGAGAAGACAATTGCTGCCACGCACCGTTTGTCGAGTTCGTATCTCAAGGATTCGTGTAAGTTAACAAGAGCTGCCTTGGAGGCACAGTAATCGGCTATGAAAATGTATTAGCATTAGAGAAGAGCTTGTGAACCATACGACTGGCTCACTCATTTGCGCTACTCCTGTCAAGCCCAGAGCCGATGACACAGTGACCTAGACGGAAATACGTCAATACCGGAAGACCTTGTAAAGGATGGCAAGTCTTACGACGTGACCCGACTTCTTCTTGAGCAGGCTAGGAAGGAAAGCTTTCAGTATCCAGAAATGAGATAGTGTGTTGACGCCGAAAGTCCTGGAAAGGTGTTGAGGAAGAATTTCACTTTGATCATCGAAGAGGCCTACTGTTGGACGTCTTCAGCACTCAGGTCGACGATCAGCTTTCCCTGAACGACGCCAGCATTATTGACGAGGATAGTAGGTTCGCCGATCTGCCAACTTAATCAGTAACAGGCTAGAGTGTTTGTGAAATGGCAGTACTTCTTCAATGACTCTCTTTGAAACAGCCTCAACCTCTTCCCACTTCGAGACGTCGCATTTGTAGTATGTGATATTATCTGATAAAGGTGTCGGAGAATATGACGAGAATACCTGGCGAGAGAACTCACAGTTTTCAGTTACGATTGGCTTCACGTCCAAAACAACGACGGTCACACTGCGAACAGCCAATGTATTTGCCAGGAGTTCTCCGATGCCAGAAGCTCCTCCAGTGAGGATCACAATCTGCTCGCTCCAGTCAAGCGGACCGGGACCAAAGATTAATCCGTGTTGATTGCGGTACAATTTCGAACACCATCTCACAAACCCTAAGCACCCATAAGGATTGAAGGAAACCGATGATCGATATACACTCACAGAAAATGGATACGAACACGAAGTAAGCCGACGACAGAATGAAGACCTGGTCTGTGAACTTGGCACCATGGAAGAAAAAGAAGACCGGAATAAAGAAGCAAAAGAAAGGGCCTGCAACAGCGCTCAGCGACACGGCATCAGGAATGCGAGGGTCCTTACTGAATGCAGTATTCGCGAGTACCTTGACGAGGAGGTCAACGTCGAAGCTGTCGAAAATGGGAGAGCCCTCGGCGTTGTAATGGCTGGGTTCCATATTCTGGTCTTTTGAGAAGAAAGGCGCAGCCTCTCCAGGAGAAGTAATGAACGAAGGGAAAGGTAAGAGTGAAAGAGAGATAAAGCCGAAGATTTGGAGTAGTTTCGGTCTGGTCATGATCTCGGCTGTTAATGTGCCCGGACCCTTGACACCAGAGTACCACTGTCAGGAGTCGCGGCTCCCGATTTTGGCTGTCAGTGACTGCGAGGCTCTTTCAACCACATCCACTACCTGCCATTCAATGTCTCCCAACCAGCGCTCTCTCTTCGTGTTCAAACGCTGCGAGCCTATTGATCGGTTGGCCTCCTGTATGACGATTTGCTATTGCAATACCTGCTATGATGGAGTATAAGGGGACCAACTTCTTGTCATTCTTCTCGAGGTTGCATCTCCTACGTCTTCTCGAATAAATTATGCGCCCTGCCTCTGAATCGCGCGTTTAGTCTTGTGTTTTTCAGCGTGATGACTAGCGCCTGCTCTTCTCGACGGCTTTCTCTCTTCATACCGGCCTTCGTGAGGAGCGAAATGTCTGCTCGAGCTCATGCTTTTGCTGTCTTCTGGCGCTGGCACCCGGGCAATTCTGAGATTAGCTGTCACGCCCTGCTACTAATTACACAAGCAAATGAAAATCTCTTGACGTGATTCTTCCTTTGCGTCACAAGCCTGTATCTCCTGCCTGTATCTTTCGCCCGCGACATCACCTCGCCAGCAACAGTTTGTGTCATGGACGAAGTCTCACAGGAGGGCAGAATCGAAAAAGCGACTCAGGATGCCCTGACAGTGACAGCAACAAAAGGGTTGCTAGAAAATGGCCGAACAGCAGAAGCTCCTGATCTCGATGATTCCCTTAGCCAATGTCGCCTCATTGTAAGCCTTTTCTCTCTGTATTTCAAGGAGAGCATGCTTGACCAGTGACCCGCCTTTCAGGGTTTCGGAGGGGCTTCTCGGCCATCCACATGCAACAACCCCATGGAGTCCATGGTTCTCGCTCGGACGTGTTTTCATCGCCTCGTTGATAACCAGGTTCCTTTACTTCAAATTGAGCCATTAGAGCGAGACCAAGATTCCAAAGTCGACATTTCAAGAGAATCCGAGGTAATGATTCCTTTGATGTCCATCCATGATTTAAACGAATCTTGATTCATAGGCCGCTCAGAACCCTAACGACATCATCTACCGAACCACTATAGAGCTCGTCTATGATTTGCCAGGAAAGCCTCGTCAAGGCCCCGAAGACAGTTCTCTTCAACTATCGGATTCATTCCTGTCTGGTTCTGTCGATATCTTGGCAGAAACGAGTGCCAATTTCAGCGACAACTCCGACGCTTTTCATACACCTGAGTTGTCGGTGCTGAGTAGCGAAGATGACGCTTCGCAGCACATGATAGTGCGCATACATTCACTTCCATTCCTATCGCGGGACTAACACAATATTATTCAGCCACCAGATGCACCCGTGAACAGCCAGAACAGTGATTTATTAGACATGCTAAATTTTCCATCTGCAAGAACTCGTTCGGATACAGGCTCTCCTGATCTTACTCCCTCTAGTCCCCAGTCATACCCTCCACCTGACTCGGACGACGATGCTGACAGGGTAGGCTTAACAATCAACGCATCGGAGGTCATTCGCCTCGTTAACGAGACTGCACACCCTCTAAAAAGTTTCCAACGCCTTCCCAGCGATTGCACGGATCTCGCCTCTGGCGTACCTGCTGTATTAGTTGTCACTGATTTGCTTACTGTGGGTGTCCATATCACTACTTGTTTTCCTTACGCCAACATATGATAACTTACTATTGCACTCCGGTGAATAGGTCCACCCCGAAACGGACGGAATTTTGTCAGAAGACACCGGCCCCTCTTCGACTGCTGACACCACTGACACCGCTCAGGATTCGGCAGGCAGTCAGGATCCCGCTCGAATTGAATCCGTCGAGGCTACCTATGTGGATGACCCACAGAATGAAAGCAAACCGGTGGATGGTGCGGACAAACTTACCAACGGGGAAGACTCGGGATCTTGTCCTGCCGCATCCGAAAACGCCCCTCGAGCCAATCCTCCGTCCTCACCTCGACATACAGCAGACAGACCCAATTGGGCTCTAGCACCTGACGATACACCTGTCTCAAAAGCCACAAACACGAACCCGAAGCAGCCGCGCAAAAGCGAGCGTCGTCGCGGACCTCGTCGAGGAAGACATAAGGTGGAGAACAATGCTGAAAATAGCGCTTCGGATCGTACTAGCAAACCGATAGTAAATGAAGCCGACTTCCATGAAGCGCCCTTCTTCTCCGAAGCGCGAACGCCAAGCAATAACACAAATACGTCAGGGAATGGCGGGACAGGGCAAATTACTTTCGTAAGGGAGGACTTCAGGCACACTTCCAATTCCGGAAATTCTTCGCCACCCATTCCATCCAGTTTCAGGTCGGACAAGGAGAAGCCAGATGAAATGTCCTCTTGCACGCCAGCTGAAAAGGCACCTCTTCCGAGAATTGTCTTCGATTCTATTCTCCCGAATTTGGGAGCTCCCTCTTCTGTCATATATAGCACCGGTACACAGCACGACTCCTCCCATCTTACGGACAAGTCGATGACTCCGGAGAAGCCAGAAAAACGACCAATACATCGCTCGCCCGGCTGGAAGGCAGCGCTGGCTCTCCCTACGATCGTAGAATCCAATTCTGATCTCGGTCATGAGGACCTCGGGAAGGACACTTCTTGGATTATATATCAATCATCTGCCTCGCCGCACGCCCATTTCTTGGGGCGACCAGCGGCAAAAGAAATTCCAAATGAACCTGGCCAGGCCGACATAGACGGAGGGTCGAAGGGCGCTCGATCCACTGGGCCGAAAAGGTCTACCGCAACATTTGTGAAAGCGAGCTCGGACTCGAGGCGAATTGACTCACCTTCTTTGACGATCCCGAATTCTGATGACAGCAAGCAGCACAGATTGTCCTGGCCTTCTCTGGAAGAAGAGCTCCGCTTTCACGCAGCGGCGCGGCAACCTCTTTTGTGGCATGGCGTGAGGGATGAATATCCTTCCCATGGCCTTGGGATGACGACGGTCGATCCAAACCCGCCGCTGTTAAAGCTGGGCCCAGTCGTGGACGGAAAACCCAGAGAAAGAGGGAGACATGAAGCAGATCAAAGCCGCCCATTCGAAAGCTTCTCCCTTTATGACCAGACAGGCGCTACTGCGAGCTTAGGGTCCAAACCAGCCCATTTGGATGTAGATATGCCACTTCAACGAGCCATTTCCCGAACTCATCAATCTCAAAGAGACGATGGGACTCTCCGACCTATCTTAGCAAGATCGCACTCTCAGCGGGGCCTGAGGTCTGAATGGGATGGCTCAAAAGCCGGTAACCGTAGTGCTGAACAACAACACACGTCTGTAAATGCGAATATGTCTTCGACACACTCTCAGACGCAAAGCTTTCAAGATCCAAGAATGTCTGGGATCCTTCAATCCACTGGATTCCACCAAGAGACCCAGAGGTCTACTGCTGCCTCGGAGCAACGTCACCGAAGCAATCCACGCTCCATCCCCACTCTTACTGGGAATTCTAAGAACGCCTATCATTCTGCACCGGTACCAAGTCCTCCCACTAGGTCGACAGCTCCTCTCATGTCAAGAACACAGGACCACTTCGCAGACTCGGTTCATGTCGCCGTCAATCAAGGAAGCACTTATCAACAGCAGCGTCAACGAGGTATGTCTCCCGGAGGTCAACCAGGGATGGCAAGCGCGGCAAGCGACGTCTTTCAAGCACCATTTCGCCACGACAATCCCTTCGTTCATGGGTTCGAGGGGTGGCTAGGTCAACATGGACTCAGTCGCGAAACGCAATTTGGTACCTCCAGCTTCAACACATTAAATAAGATATCGGTACCGCAAGGACATGCTCTGCAGCAAACACTTCCATCAAATCGAACCAGAGAAAAATCTGGAGACAGTCTACGAAAAAGCTTTAGTGGATGATAAAGAATAAGTATGTTCCGGAAATCAAGCAGGAACGTCGGCAACGCACCAAAGATAGAGCTAGATTACTTTATGATCACATATAATGGGCAATTAGAATTTCGATCAAGCAGATGCAAGATATTTGGAACAAGGATACAGGGGAGTCGCGATGATACAAGATGGTGGTGGTGGTACGGGGTATTTGATACGTAGAGGTTTCTATATGCGAGAGCGGGAAATACTGATGGGTCAACCGAAAGCAGGAATGGATAGTAGGATCATCGAATGTCGAATGTCGAATGCAAGTTGGTGAATGAGTTGCTCGTGAGTTCCTGACGACGAGGACTCGATATCGAAGTCGGAGGAAGGGAAAGTCCTGTTTCTCCTTGGAAGCGTTACGTCTGGCGTGATGCAGATGACTCTTATGGCCATAAGAACAAAATATCAAGAGGTTGCAAGATTGCAGCAAGGTGGTTACACCTGGACATTTTCACTGTTCCAAAGAACATTCAGTCGCATCAGCAATCAGTCAACTGTGGCACAAAGCTTACGGCGCTTTTCCGACGATATTGCCAGCCGGGTTGTATAAGCAAACGTAGAACGTTGTTCTGGTAAGAAGTGCCTGGGGGAAAATACCCCTGCATTGGGATACAGCACAGCCAAGCTCCGTGGTCGATTTCCAGACGACTTGGGTGAAGCGGAAGTAGGATGGGTTGGCAGGATCATATTTGTCTGATGAAGACTGAATAAGGAAAAATGTCCTGAATTCGTCAACCCCCCTAACGCACCTTCATCCGAGATGAACGTAGCCACAGCAGCTGGGATGGTGAAATCCCCTGTTGCGGCTGCGATGTTTTCGCCATATAATGTGTCGTCGAGCTTTCCGTCAGAGTGTATAAACTGGCACTGGTCAGCCCAGAATTCGGCCTTCTCTGCGAGTGATGTCGACCAGGTGAGTGCAGGAGCACTGTGTGAGGCACGAATGGTGTTGTGTGCGTCGAGGAAGGCGTCGATCTGGCGCTGGGAGCCGCGACTGGCGATAGCGGGGATGTGTCTGTGTCGGGGGATGACATGGGCATGGATGCCCGACGTGAACGATATGAAGAGGAGCGCAAAGGCGTAGAAAAGAGCGACGAAGAACATAGCGGACGACTTGTTTGAGGTTTGAAGAGGTAAAAGAGTGGAAGCGGCGAGCTGAGCAAGCCTTTGGGTTCAAATGAACGCGAGAGTACTAATGAGAAGATGAGAACCGGGTTGAAAAGAATTTTTGGGTATGCTTGTCCGTTGCTACACGAGCTGATCATACTCCGACTTTTTCACGCGGTGACATCAAACCTTGAGACGACGGCAGCCATAAAAGCATGGACGTTGGAGCTCTGAATAAGATATTGTGACACATTTTCCTTGTTTCTACTCAGGTTGAAGCAACGATGTATGCATAACTGCGGAATTGAAGATTCATGACCTCAGAAACACAAGACAGGCTAAGGGGATTGAGTACCAGGCAGGGAGAAACTCTTGCGATAGCTATAGCTAACATGAATCGGAGTAAGGACACAAGGTGATTGGAGTGCGAAACTGGACAGTACCTGGACATTCTTCAGCGTGTATTGCCTCGGCCGTTGCTCCTCCTCTGGCTCAGGACGTAGGAAATTTTCTGCAGCTTGATAGGGTGATGCAGAGTCAGTCAAGGAGATCTGGAATGTAGTTCTACATGTCGGGCAATTATATTATGCCTGGACGGGTCGAATATTGTAGTTTTTCTTGAACGAATCAAGCTCTTTCTCTTTGGTCTTATACTGCTCCGCCAAGGTCGCGATTACTTTGTGTATCTGATAATCCTTGATCAGCAGACAGAACCATTGGAAAACGTAGATGCTCACCCCGTCCCTGTTCGTTTTCAGTGCAGGATTGACTTCCTTCACTGTCCGTTCCACCAGAACACCGCCGATGAGACGAAAGCACTTTCGATCGGGGTCCTCAGCGAGCGCTTCGTCCAACGTGGATAGGACGAGACTATAGGGCATCAACATATAAAAGGGAGATCGGAAGATGAAAGGACATAGAAAACACACGTATGCTCGTCCGCCTCTGATTCCAGCTCGCCAATTTTCCTTGCAAAAGCCTGCAGCTCATTCTGCAATCTGATATAATTCTGCTGGATTTCTGGCTGATCTAAATCAACGGCTGGCTGAGAAGCGGATAATAATACCTACCCTGATCTGAGAGCGCTGGCGCTTTCGTTTTCGCCTTTGCAGTTGCGGAGGCCATGGTGGGCACGTTGAGAGACTCGAGACTGCTATTGGTCGGACGCCCGGAACGAAGGAGGAGTGTGTTAGAGTTTCGGAGGATGTGATTGGCTAGAAGAATTTGTGACAGCGTGACCCTTACCGCTCCGTCGTTGGTCCCACTTTCCACCTGTCTCCGCCGTTGCTGGCATCGTCCACGTTCGTTTCGCAAATGTTCCCAAGAGCACGCCTTGCAGTGGGTCTACAACGACGCATCGTGCTCGCCCCTCGCCACAACTCCGTACAGGCTCCACTAGTTGCTCGTCGCCTCATTTCCAATTCCAGCTGTACCAACGCTCAACACTCCCATCGTCACCAGTTGGACGAATTGTCCAGTGCCATTGACGAACGGAAATCTCATGCAGCGCATCTTCGTCCTCGTGAATTTGATGAGAAGGGGAACGAGCTGAACCCGTATAGAAATGGACCAAGTGCCCTAGACAAGGCTGTCCACCTGTTCTTCTTCACTGAAATTATCAGAGGTACGTGCCATTTTGCCTTTTTCACGATCCTGGGACTCACCGTCCCTCCAGGAATGTGGATAGTGCTCGAGCAGTTCTTCCGACCGCCCTATACCATCATGTACCCGTTCGAGAAGGGCCCTTTATCACCTCGCTTCCGTGGCGAGCACGCTTTGCGCCGATACCCCAGCGGCGAGGAACGTTGTATCGGTGAGTACTGAATTCATTCAATTGTTATCCGTCTGACACCATTCCTGAAGCTTGCAAGCTGTGTGAGGCTATTTGCCCTGCGCAGGCCATCACTATCGAGAGCGAGGCACGGCTGGATGGGTCAAGGAAGACGACAAAATATGGTACGTGGCGTTTCAGTCCCTTCGAACAGAAGCTAACCAGTCATAGACATCGACATGACAAAATGCATCTACTGCGGTTTCTGTCAGGAAGCTTGCCCAGTTGATGCCATTGTCGAGAGTACGTATTCGTGTTCAAGAGCTAAAATTCACCATACGTATTTATCCTTTATCCTTTAGCCCAAAATCAAGAATTCTCGACAGAGACCCGCGAGGAGCTTCTCTACAACAAGGAAAAGCTCCTTGCAAACGGTGACCGAGCAGAGGCTGAGATCGCCGCCAATTTGCATTGTCAGAAAAGTTTGTTTGTCTGACTGGTGTAACAATCGCTAATTCTGTTATCACAGCCGACCATGTCTACCGGTGATGCTACCGCATAACTCATTCTTACTCTTAGGACACATTAAGATTCGGTTTGGCCCCCAGGATTAGATCTTCGCGTCGCAAACCGTTTGGCTCGACGCGAGACAATGTAGATATCGTCGAAAGCAATGAAGTAATTTCCGATTCTGTTGTCTTCCGCTCATAGACGTGAGAGCGATGCGTACGGCCTTCAACCGCACATGTACGACAGCAACCAATGCATAGGTGGCTCAGACACCCGGAATATTCAACGGGTGTTTCTTGGGTATTTTGACATGCTTGGGATACGAGTTGATGGCCATATTGTAAAATTACAATCACAAATCCTCGAGGCTGCACGGTGCGGTTCATCCCCTGTCATCTTCACATTTCACGGTTGACAACTAAAGGAACAAGAATGGAGACCCTAGGACCGCCCCAGAAGGTGCCGCCCTCAATGCCGTGATTTCTGGACCCACTGTCGCTTTTCTCACCTATGCGGGTTCACCTGGATACAGGGCATCCTACGTTATGGGCGTGGAATGGAGGAGAGCTTGGTTCTGATATCCAAATTGCTGGTGTCTTCTTACCGAGACTGTACATGGTATTACGGCGAGTGAAATTCTTTTTCCTTCTCACCTCGATGTTGAGTGACTCACATACCCAATTGTAGTCCTCTTTTGGGCCACATAGCTCTTCGTCAGAAATCACAGTCCTTGGGATCCCTTTGCTGCGATGGAAAGCATGGAAAAGACATGTTTTATAGCCGCGGAAATCGTTCGCCTGTTATTTCCGTCGACCTGTAGTGCTTTCGACTTTCCAATTGACGTCGGCGCGTAATTTTGCGGCGGCGGCACCAAGACAGATTGAACATGACACCGTTTGACTTGTATACCCGCTTATAGCCTGATTGACAGATGCCCATGCTCTTTCAGTGAGTTCCTACCGTGCGATAATCGTTGGCTGATTTTTCTTTCTGGATGAAAGCTTCCATTTCGTTAGCTTCGCCTCATGATCATGATTTCGACCCGGACCAGCGCAGCCTATTCCAAAGACATGCGCAAATTTTCAGGTTTCTGTCAGCCGCCTTCCTTTTATCGTTCTCCTTAAAACGGGCGAGTCATTGTTGCACCTCCAAATTGACAAATATGGATTCCGAAATAACCTCGTGTGCTGATGACAGACCTCTTACCTCAACTTTCCGGGCCAGTCATGCGACTGCGCATAATGAGTACGGCCACCTTTTATCTCTTCACAATCTCACTGAGTGATTTGTAACAGCTCAAAGCAATCCCGGCACAATCCTATAGCTAGGATTTCAGACTCTCGAGCCCGGAGTCGTCGTTCAACTCGGCGATCAGTGTCAGCCCACACCGCCTCCGACATTCAGGAAGAGTCAGACAAAGCCTCGAAGTGGCGCCAACGTCGACACGCTCCTGTAACGCGTCAAAGTGCGGATTTGCCCGTATCTGAGGATCCAATACAAAGGTCGAAGCGCCTTCATCGCCGCCGACTTGGATACACGACTGTGCAGACGATATATGTGGCGTCATCCGTTGCAGATGAAGAGGAGAAGCAGCCTATTCTGAAGACACCACCATCATCATCATTAACATCTTGTTCTCGCGTCGTATCGGATTCAGGATACGCAGTCTCACCAGCGGCTCGCTCAGACCGTGTTCGCCGTACAAATCTGCTGCTCGACTTGGCACGACGATCTATCGAAATCGAGTCGGACTGGGTTGGCCGGAGGCCTTGCGTCATGGATGTTATTCTGGATCTTCGAGACTTGGGCCAAAACTCGGCACTGGAGGCCCTTCTACTGCTGCTGAATCATGGAGGAGCCTCCAACGGGGACCCATATCCTTCCTATTATCGGACGTATGACTTCAGCGACGAGAGGAGCCTCGTGGCATATTGGGCTGACCAATCGGTGCTGTGGAGCGGGATGCGGGTCCGCGATAACACAAGTAATGCCATGGGCTTTCCGGTCTCTCTCGAACGGTCGACTGCGCGGTGGGATGCGACGGCACTCAATTGCGAAAGCGATGAGGTCACTTCCGTTAGCGGCGGCCCAGTTTCGGTATGTTAGAAAGACACTTCAATACGAGATAGGGCTTGCGGTTCGACCGTCGGGGATGGGGAAGTTTATGGGGAAAGCGAGTAAACAAACATACGCCTTCTCTGGACGGACGATCGTTCTAGGGAAGGACCTGCTCAAACGGGCGTCAAGCACTGGCAGGACGAACACCGACTGTTTTGGTAGCTTCCGACAATCTGTGATCCTTTGTCTAATAGAAGCAATTTGGGATGGAGGGCCCTCTTGGACGTCAGCACCCACCCACTCTGCGAAGCAAGCTTCTGTCCGATACTATGTTTCCTGCCATGGCAAACTCGCTGAAAGCGGCCACACAGGCCCGGTATTTTTGTACCCCAGCTCCAACTTTGCCGTAAGGCGATCCCTTGGAAGATGTGGGACCTAGTTCGTACTACAATGGGCCGAACATAGGCTATGGCATATCCGCCCGAATAATTAACGGAGTGGTGCTGTCGTCGTTGAGAAGCCCAAAGAGAACTTGAAAGCAAACGCGTCAAGCCCGAACGCATCAGCAGACCAAGTCATGAGAGTGTCGAGCCCGAAGGACGAAGAACCCAGACCAACCCGAATCTCTGTGATAGGATGTCCGAAGCAGTGTTCGGAGCAGGACTTAAATGAGGACATGACCGTTTGGTTCTTTCGGGACAATGGACTACATGATAGAGCAGAGAACGACAACATATTCGAAGACATAAATACATAGCGAGCGAACATAAAAGAGAAGGATGAGTGGGCCGACGTTCCGACTCTTGGCAGAAGCGGTATATTGTTTGTGTACACGGATTTCGGGGTGCTCGAAGGAGTAAGTAATCCAAGTCACAGAGCGCAGAAAAAAATCCAAACAAGGCGAATATGTCAAGGTATTTTTCACGAAGGACCCATTCGGGCGTCCTCGTGGTTATCGAGGCTCCTTCGAGTATGGTGGTGGTGTTGGTGGTCGCGGTGATAGCGTTTCGAGCCCCTATCATCGTGCAGCCTTCCCGAGGCGTAGCCGCCTGCTCTCCCTCCACCTCCATCGCCCGCTGCTGCTGCGTCATTATCGCTATCCACGTCCATCTCGTTCCGGCTGCGTTTCCTCGATTCCAATGGAGGCCTTTCAGCTATTGCGTAATTGCCGCCGCCGCCAACCCCAGGTGGACTGGTGGCACGGGCACCACTGCTAACATTAGCAGCATTAGCGTTTGCGTTTGAGTTTCCTGCTGACGGTGCTGAGCCAGAGCCGGGACCAGCTGAGGTCGGTCCTGCGGCCGCACTGCTTCGATCAACGCGCGTCTGGGATCTGCCATCTTCGTGGAACGCGTTCGTGTTCGACGCAGAAGAAGGATCTGGGCCCCCAGGTGCATCTTCGCCTGGCGCGTTATTTTGAGTCTGGGAAACTGGGCGAAGCCTGTACGAGGAAGAGGAACGCGTATGAGCAGTGCGTTCGCGTTCGCGTTCGTAGTAATCGTCGCGTTCTCCCGACGCAGAGCCCGAACCAGGCGTGTCCGAACGCGCCAGCCTCGTCGGAGGGTAATGTCCCCCACTCGGCGGGCCATGCATATCAGGATAATACGCCTGCGGGTGCTCGTACTCGCTGCGCGACCTATGCACAGAATGCGGCGAGTGCGAGTGCGGGGGCGGCGGCCCGTGCTGCTGCTGGGACTGCTGGTGGTGCTGGTGGTGCGACCGATTATTGTACTCCCTCGCCCGCTCCCTTTCCCTTTCCCACTCGCGTTCGCGCTCGAGGTCGCGCTCGCGCTGCTTGTCGCCGTACTCGTCTCTGCTGATGTAGGTGCCCGGGCCGAGGCGTTGGTGGGAGTGGATCCTGCCGCCGAAGGGGCGGGGCGAGAGTTGGGTGCTTGCCGCGCTGCTGTGGCTCGGGTGGCGGTCATAGGGCCCCAGTGGGGCCGACCCCGGGGCCGAGTGCGAATCGCCGTGCTGCTGCATGACAGACGGAGGCGGCGGAGCTGAGGGGTACTCGTGATGCTCGGTCCGTCTTGACCTGCTATCTCTGTCTCTCTCCCTTTCCCTTTCCCTGTGACTTTCCCGTTCGCGATCGGAGAGCAGAGGGCTGTGCAGAGGCTGCTGGACAGGCGGTAAACTTTCGGGGTACTGATGGTGCGGGTGGGCTGGTGGTGCGGCTCCGGAGCGGTAAGAGGTCTGCTGAGGGGCCACCTGGTGGTGATGGTGGTGCGAGCGCGAGCGAGATGACGAGTGAGACCTGTCGCGCGTGTGATGCGAGTGCGAATGAGAATGCGTATGCGTGTGGGATGAACTTGGGTGGGCGTGATGCAAAGGAGGACTGGCATGCGCGTTCGCGTGTCCCCGCGCGCTGCCCTCGTACGAATGTTGCTGGTGCTGAACGGGGGGGAGTTGGCCGAGTGGCGCCAGGTTGTGGTGGCGGCCACCACTGGTGGTCGTGTCTTGTCCTGGACCTCCTCCGGACGAGACACGCCTCGGAGAGTGCACCAACATATGGGGCGACGACGCCACTGTCGCGCTGTCCATGCCTGTCGCCGGGGCCGGCCTTCCCTCCATCACTGGCTGTCCCCCGCCTACACCTCCGCCTCCACGATTGGCATGGCTTGGGGTACGAGCATGCTGCTGCTGCTGCTGCTGCTGCTCCTCTCTTGGGTGATGCTGATCCAGATCCACCACTGCAGATGGGTGATCGCGCATTTCGCGGTGGTGATGGCCGCTGCTGGGGAGGGCTGCAGGCAGATTGCGAGGCGGAGGCTGATGGGGAGCGAGTGGTGGTGGTGCCGACTGGGAGTGGCCGTGGGGATGAGCATGAGCATGGTGGGGATGGGCGTTGGCTAGGTGGGGCGGTGGGAGGGCGTGGCGATCGGCGACACCGGGAGGAGACGCGGGGACGGTGGATAGACGCTCGTATAATATTCTGGTGTGACGGGGGGTGGGTTAGGAATATGAGAAAGAAGACGCATGGTGCTGGTGCTGCGTTACTTACGCCCGTTCCATTTTCATCCGCCGGATGCTCACTTTGGCTTGGAGGACCTTGAAGTGTATTTTGTCGTTGTCCTGAGCATGATGAGAGCGGTGGGTGAGTGTTACGCAGGGGTGTGAGACAAGAAGACGCACGGATTCGATGTCCTTTACTTTCCGCTTGAGCTCCTTGTATTTCGCATGGTACTTTGCGTCTTCGGCGCCAGCAGCGATGCCGATTGTAAGTTGTTTCTGTTTGTGGCGGTGGGACGGCGGGAGCTGGGGGGCGGGGGACGGGAGCGGGGACATGGTGGGGGGAGGGAAGGGGGGCGAGTGGCAGTTGCTGGCAGATGTTGTTGGGGCTCGAGACTTCGGCTGTATTATTATTATTTCTGGCGCCTGGCGTTCTAAACACTCACTCACCGCCAACATATCTTGCCTTTTTCGGCTTCAACTCAGGCACTCACATCCTCCGACAAACATACACCTGGCAGGCCCTGTCAGAGGCGTCTACAGGTTGACCAAAGTCTCTTTTTCTTTTTATCAGGACATCTGCTCGCTGTTTGCGGAAGTTCGTTGGTCGTTCTCTTGATTCTCACGAAGATGCTTACGTGATACAGACACCCGTCGTCGACAGCGCCCGACAATTCCCTCTCAGGATTCGACCACCACTGCACTGATCACCAGTATGTGTTGAGCTGTATTCCATGCTACTCTAACTGATGGCTATGCAGTGTCTGCACCCTATAGACAGTTGGTCGACTCGATGTACTGTTCGGTTCCGTGCTGACACGAAACTGTGTAGGGACATGCCCCCGGCCGGGGGGTTCGAGGCGATCAAGTACAAGCGCAACCTGCCGTTGAGGGGACCTGGAGCGTATGTTATTCTTGGGAGCGTGACGGGTATTTGTGCGTATGGGTTTTATCGACTTGGGAAAGGTAATCTGGAACGTCGGTGAGTGTGTGTACCCCAAAATTGCGGCCGAAGGAGGAGGGTGGTCAGCTGGACGAGGAACGTGTCAAGACGATGGCCGCTCGACGGGAAACGTGGTGATATTTGGATCCGGCCGCACTTGCGCTCCGTGTCTTCGCGTTATCTCTGGGGTGTTGCTTTTCTGGGAATGCGAGCTGATGATGTTTGCAGCGAGCTTGAACGCGAGAAGGTGTGGTCGCGGATACACCTTGTGCCTGTGCTGATGGCTGAGCGGGACCGCGACAACTATCGACGCGAGCAGGCGTCGATTGCACGAGAGAGAGAGATCATGAAGGACGTGGCGGGCTGGGAGGTGGGTTTTTGTTGATTTTTTTGTTGAGCACGGGCTGATTAGCCGGTGATCAGGCGGGGAAGAGTGTGTACAACAGCTCCAAGTACCACGAGTCGGAGATTGTGTTTGCGTAGAGAGGAGGGCGCGTCGGTTCGCCCGGGGGATAGGGCCGAGTGAGCCAAATCGGGGAGTTGAGGGCCGGCTGGCTCGGGTCGGGGCGAACCCATACATTAGTGGTGTTGTCGTTTAGATTCTGTGAAATCCGGGTTTGCATGATTGCCATTCTCAGCTTGACTCGTCCGCGATTCCGATTTATATCGCATACGCACAGATGTGGGCCCCGCACCCCTTTTAAGCCCAGCAGCTCTCTCCCATCCCCCCCCACCACAATGCACTTTGCCCACGACACAGACCAGCTCATCTTCGGGCCCATCGATCTCGACGAGCAGCAGGCCCTGCCCCAACAGCCCCACCCATTCAGCTGGGACGACTACACCCACATCGAGCCCGACGTAAAGCCCCCCTACTCCTTCGCCGCCCTCTCCCACTACGACTTCGGCCCGCCCGCCCAGCCCGCACCCTTTGCCCTCTACGACGACCCGGCTCACCAGCAGCCCGTCCTCGACGAGCTCGCCACATGGATCAACGACCCCGACCTCTCCGCCATGAACTCGCCCTCGTCCCCCATCCATCCGATACCAACATCTCCGCCGCCTCCTCCTTCGTCGCCTTCCACGACCCCTCCCCCTTCTCCCCCGATGCCGGCTTTTCCCCCGCTTCCTTCGCCGCCCTCCACCCCCTCCCCCGCTCCATATCGCCCCCCTCCTCCTTTGAGGACGCCCGCTCCCCACGACTCAGAGTCCACTCAGTCGTGTCCCCCAGAGACATGTCTCTGCACACCCCCTCCTGGGCTGCCCACCTCTGGGACGCCCCAAGCGCACATCGAACTCAGACTTCGATCACACGGCCCTCCATCCGCCACTCGCCCCTCACAGACGTCGCAACCCTCCGCCAGCGCATCCCCGCCAGACGCGGCTCCATCCCCTCCGGCCAGCTCTTCACCTCATCAAGTGCCCCGACTCACACCGACACACTCACACCCGCCATGACTCGCGCGTACAGCCGCAGGGCCGATTCTGTCATCAGTACCGAGGACCGCGACGCAACAGTCAGGAGGAGAAAGAAGTCCCCTGAAGACGATATCCCTTCGCCTGCCACCTCTTCCAAAGCAGCAGACCCGCGTACGTAGTCTCTTCCATTCCTCTCTTCCCTTTTCGAGCTAACAATGGCCCTTACGCAGCACTCAAGTCGGTCCTTCGTCCTCCCAAGCTCGCCCCCTCCGCCTGGCAGCTCTACTTCACCGACTGGATTCAACGCCAGCAGGCTTCCGGAACCCGTAAATTGAACGTCGCCCAGGCAGCTAAAGAGGCCGGCCAGGAGTATGCCTGCCTCAGCGCTGCTGAGAAGGAGGTGTGTAATCCCTTTCTTCGTGACGTCACCCACTCTCATATCATCCTTTCGCAGCCATACAAACATCGCTCCCAGGCGATGAAGGAGGCCCGTGAACGCGAGCATGAAGCGTACATGCGCACACTCACCCCAGAAGACATCAAGCGCGAGAACGCGTTCCGCGCTGCCCAGCGCAAGGCCGGCAAGTCGAGGAAGAGCAACATCAAGGACCCGAACGCCCCTAAGAAGCCCCTGAGCGCCTACTTCATGTTCCTCCAACGCATTCGTGCCAACCCGCGCTTGGTCGCCGAGATATTCGGCGACGAGACCGAAACCACCAAGCAGAGCGTCCTGGCTGCCGCCAAGTGGAGGTCCATGACTGACGCGGAGAGGCAGGTGAGCCGCTCTCTTTTTTGCTTCCGTGTCGTTCCTGTGGCGAAAGGTACTAATTCGCCCCCCCCCTTACAGCCCTTCTTGGCCCAGGCGGAACAGGAGAAGATGGAGTACGAGGCGGCCAGACGCCTCTATGAGGAGGGCACGACCGGGTTTGGGTCGAGCATCAATTTCAGCATCCTCCCGGGAAGTCCACACTTCCCGATTATCAAGATGGAGTCGGAGAGTGAGAGCGAGGGCTTCACGACCGACGACGGGTTCGAGCGATCGGCTCGATCATAAAGGACATTCTTCTCCCATAGTAATTTCTTCGTGCTTCTGCCTGCCTGTTTTCCTCTCCATTAACGACCTGTCATGCCTTGCTTTACGAGGATATCCGATTCAACCTTCTGGAACTTGCAACCATCCCGTTTCGTTTCGTATGCGCCTCGAATTTCGCTTTTTTATATTATACCGTTTTGATTGATGACATCCCCCGGACAATGACGACCCATGTATATCATCTGCTGGCCTCTCCCCGTATACCTCTATGCTGTATCTTTAGCACGCTGCGCCTGGCTCTCTAGTAGTCGATTATTCGTATGTTTCGTTGACGACGAGTTAATTTAATTACGACCACCCACCCCACCTCCTTCCTCCGTTTACACACATACGTAGTAGGGTATACATCTCTGTACATACTTAAACCCAAACGAACGAACAATCTGAAACGGTAATTAGCGTGAAGATAGAGCGGCACGGACGGGAGAGAGATCTGGCGATAAGATAGGGAATGCCCATAAGCAACATACCTGCACCCCCGATGCGTCCGTACATGCATCGATGCGAGATGGGGCTCGGATGGGCACGATGGCACACCTACGTCATGTCGCAGCTGACGGGCGTAACGGCATCTGCAGCACCATCTTCTGATGAGGATCTCCGTCCTCGTCGAACTCTGCACCCTGAAACGGATCCAAGATCCAGCCTGTTAATTAAGCCTCCAACACGAGGCACTAGAGTGGGCGTCACTTGCCTCTGCCTCGTAGCCGAACCTGGATAGTTGTGGGCGTGTCGTAGATGGAATCGCGTAGAGCCGTGCGATAAGCAATGAATTGCAATTGCGAATTGAATTCGGGGTGCAGTGCGGTAAGTGCGTTAGGCGTTAGTTAGTCAATCGACAATCGCTGATCTGATAATGGGGACGGAACCACGCACCTGGCGTAGAACCCCTTCGCGGGGATCTGCGAGTGCGCGACTATCGTGACCGCCGCGGGAGGGTGTTCCGTCGCCGTCGCCGACGTGCCCGACACCGACGACACCGACGAAGACGAGGAGGCAGAGCTTGAGGCTGTGAGAGCGAGCCCAAGTGCGTGCTTCCTGACCCACTCGTGCAGCGCGAGCACGAGCGCGCGTCCAAACCGGAACTGGCGGTACTCTTTCAGGACGGCGAGCCGTGTCAGCTTGTACGCTTGGGCTGGCGTAGATCCCGAATTCGCGCTTGGGAGAGAAGTCGAAGTGCTGCTGGCTGTGCTCGAGCTGTCACTTGGGACGGGGACGGGAATCGTGTACGTGCGGATCGTCCCCACGGGCTCGAGCGAAGGTGTGAGGCGCAGCAGGAAGTGCGTCGAGACGTCTTCTTTGCTGTTGGATTGGATGAGACGAGACATGGGGTATTAGGGTAGGGTTGAGGGGAAGGAGGAATGAAAAAAAGAACGAGTTTCAGAACGTGGGACATGTGGAGGAGAAGGAAAAGGTTCACGGGCTCATCGATTTCTGTCTCGAGTGGGAACTTTTGCTCGTGGTGGAAGACGGCGATGCGCTAAATGAATAAATTGGATGTGTACGGCATAAGAACGGGCACTGCGTACGATGTCGAAGCACTGCTGTCGCTCTTCGGGGGTGCGAGCGACAATGATCTCGTGTGCAGGTGGTTCAGTCGCCGCCATTGTTGTTGTTTGTGGGTCCGTCGTCGGGGTGTGTCTCGCCGCGCCGTGATGAATGTTTGGGAAAGGGATCGGAGGAGTCGAGCTGGTGTTCGCGAGAGTTTGGGTTGGGGAGTTGAACCAAGTTAAGGAAATTGTTGGAGGACCGGACCGGCTATGGCGGTCACGTTCCCACATTTTTTTGTGGTCAGGCTCTGGACTCTCCAAGATCACTCTTTTGCTGACTAGACGCTCAGGCGTCCTCCGTACGCGTTTTCTCCCGTTCTTGCATCGTCTTTCTACCTTCAGGTATTGTGGTTTCCTCCTGGTATTTGTGTTTCGCTCACTTTCTTCGTCAAGAAGACATGGAACCTCTCGCCAGCGGTGTTATAAACACCCTCCTTCCGCGCCACGTTTTGTTAAAGCAAGCGTCGTCTTCCGTAGCCCGAGCGGCCAAGGCATCGACACGACACACTTTAGCATCGAATTTCTTCACGCCACGGCAAGACAAAGGGAAGGCAAAAGCTGTCGAAGAACCGCCGCTCGGAGACGGTTTGGATGTCCAAGCATGGGCTTGCTCTTCTTCGAGACAACCAATGTGGAATCAAGGTATGTTTCATCCTCTTGCTTTTGTGGAAAATGTGTTCATACTCCTGGACAGACCGCCTGTCGCGTTCGGTATTGCTCGGCGAGCTGGAGTCGTCAGAGCCCGCAGGACGATCTTCGCGGACGAGCACCCGAACCTCCACAACAAGTCGGAGTCGTTTTCACCAACCCTCATCAAATCCACGCTCTGTAGAGCCTTCCGGAAGCCATCGACAACATCTCTCTTACTCTACAAGCAGCTCCGCACAACCCGTTCCCGAACCCGATTTGCAACACGATTCCGACGCCATTCCAGACAAGCCGGTGATATACTCTGCATACGTTCCGACGTCGTACAAGCGCCCTGAACAACAAGAGAGACTACTTGATCCGCTAGGGAAGCTTGTGCGCCAGCTCAAGATTGACACAGAGTCATTTGCAAACTTGCAGGCCCTAGAGGGGACCTACATTCTTGCACGCGATGCGGGTTGTTTCGACGAGATGCCTCCGACGACGGGATATCGGATGCTCCGTGCACTTGGCCGAAAAATTGACTCGCTATGTGTGGCGCAGGCTAAACCGGAGGTCATCCAGAGGTTGGGAGGGTACATGTTCGAGCTGTACGAGAAGCTGCCGCCGCAGACGAAAGAATCAATCCAGGACCTCAAGCAGTACAACGAGATCATGGGCCAGGCGTTGGCGTTCATGGGCAGGTTCAAGGAGGCTCGCAGTCTCCTGGATAGGATGTATCAGGAGCAACCTGGGCAATATCGAATAGCGTTGGCAGCCTTCCTCTCATCCATGGCTCGCCAGAAAGGCATCTATAACGCGCTGGAGTACTGGATAAATCTCAACGCCACCGAGGACATGAAGTCTCCCGTCGAATCCAATTTCCGCAAAACGGTAGCCGAGACTGTGGAGATTGCCAGTATCTTCCCTAAGATTGCTCAGTGGTCCCGGGACCAGCAGGAAATCGTGCTGAATTTCGTCCTCGGCTGCGCCGTTGATCACTACTCGGGTGGTACTCGTGCTTTGGACGTCATCAAGCAAATGCGATGTCTGCACATGAAGATCCAGTCGGACGACCTGTTGGAGATCTGCAGCAAGCTCGCAACGGCCGGCGACGTTCGCACCGCCCAAAATATCTTCACGACCATCGAACCGGAACAAGGGAATATGTACAGCAGAGTCCGGCTCCTGCTTGCGTCGCGGGCCGGCGACGTCAGGACCCTCGAGCGGGTCCTCGAGCAGCGGGAGAATCTTGGTATTAACAGGCTTAGTGACAACACGAATGCGCTGTATGGCCTAGCTGTCGCCGGAGAAACACGCAAGTTCCGCGCGCTGTTCGAGCACGTCTTTTCCAGACGGGCAGATGGACAGCGTGTCAAGAATCCCAACATCGTTCACTACTCGATGGCCATCCTAGCACATTCCGTGAAAGGAGTGGTTGATGGGCTAGACTTCTGGCTCGAGGACATGCAACGGGAAGGTGTCAGGCCCAACGTCAAGTTCTTCTCGTCGCTGATTCAGGTTTATCGAAAACGCGGCGACGACAGGGCCGTCCTCGCCGTCGTCAAAACCATGCGTAACGCCGGTATTCAGCCCGACAGGAACATATACACCTCCCTCATCTCGCACATGGCCAACCGGAAGAATGCCAAAGCTGCAGACACGTTGTACGTCGAGGCACTTGAGGAAGGCATCCAACCCGATGTGTACATGACCAAATGTCTGCTGAATGCCCACGTCCAAGCTGGCTCGTATGCGGAAGTTGCCCGAATTTTCCACCACCTTACGTCCTTGCCCTCACATCGACAGCCGGATGTGCTCATCTACAATCTGGTTCTCAAGTCATACATCCTCATTGGTGCTCCCTTAAACCTCGTGCTGAAGCTGTTCTTCAAGATTATTGCTGCTGGTGCCAAACCCGACTCTTACACGTACACCTTGCTCATCATGTCTGCCTGCGAGTCTCAGCAACTTGGTGTTGCCAACAGCATTTACCACCGAGCACGGACTGAGGAAAAGGAGACGGGAAAGAAGCTCCTGACAGTCCACTCGCTTACGATCATGATGGCGACCGCCTTGCATCTGCATAACGAGAATGAGGCGAAGTTCTTGCTTGACTATATGATGACGAAGGGGTCTATGCCGAACTCGGTCACCTACCGCGAGATCGTCAGGTCGTATGGGTTCCGTGGCGAAGAGGGGCTAAGACTCGCAGAGGAATTCGTACGGAAGATGGCGAACCAACCTTTCCAAGAGCAGACCTGGGCGACACCAGTGGCGGCAAAACGCCTGCCGCTGACGAACTTGTACGAGCCCCTCCTCCGCCAGCACGCGAAGAGAGGCAACGTAGAGGAGGTCGAGCGGTTATATACTGAGTACGTCGAGACAGGTGGAGAGCCGTCAGTGGGTATCTACCATTACCTGCTCGACGCGTACCGGACGAGCGGGAACGTGAGGAGGGCGATGGAGGTTTGGGACATGATCATGAAGACTGCGTCGCGGCCGTCGTTTGCCAAGCCAAAGGAGGGCGAGGAGCCGGCGGAGGAACTGTCGCCCATCAACGGGGCATTGACGGTGTACCTCGACATTCTCTCGAAGGCTGCCTTGCATGAGAAGATGAGAGATACCTGGCTTGAGTTGCAGAACCAGGGGATGAAGTTCGACCACTTTAATTGGAATGCCCTTGTCACTGCCCTCATACGTGCTGGCCAGATGGAGCGTGCGTTTGAGGTCCTGGAGAAGGTCCTATTGCCATCCGAGTTGAAGACGCGCATTAACCACGGTATCCTGCCGTTCAGAGTGATCCCATGGGACGAGAACGCGCCAGAGGAGCTGAAGGTCCCAGTGAAGCACGAACACAAGGAGACGTACCTCGAGAAGTACGAAGACATCCCTCCTCCGATGCCCCGTCATAACAAGAGGCAACGAGCACTTGCTCTCCGAGATGGTCACACGACACTGGCGCGACGAGAGGAGCTCAGGGACAGGAGAGGGATGTTCGCCGACCTGACGTACCCTCTGCGCGTCCTGCAGAAGGTACCTCCGAATTACAACATCTGGCGGCCCCACAAACACAACCTCCGTTCGCTCATGTTCATGTGGATCCAGCTCCGCCATGGCTACCTGCCCCGGGAGACCAAACCTGATGAGCAGACTTACCTGGATGTCGCTATCCGTAGCAACGACGACTACGACGTCGAGGAGGCTGAGACGCTGCTCGAAACTCTCCGCGAGAATTACCCCAACACGGTACAACGCATCGAGAGGTTCATGGGCGATGAGAAAGGGAAGATGACTGAGACCGCCTTCCAACGAAGATACACTCGGCGGTAAATAATGATAATAGACATTCTACAACGGCGGCGACATACAGCGTTGGCGATAATATTAGCAGAGGGTGACCGAGATTCGGGGCAAACAAGTATAGACTGTGGGCAGTGAAGACAAGTGATAGCAAGGAAGACGGAAGACAATAAGCGCAGGCCCGAAAGCATTATGTCCGTGGTGAATACTAATGTTACAAGAACTTCTATGCGTCAGAGTCTTCGTCCGACTCCGAGCCGCCCCGTCGTCGCCGCTTACTCGAGCCATGGCGATTGCGCTGCAAGGTCGACGTTGTCAGCGGGTTTGCAAGGGAGGAAGAAAGGCAAAGAGACCCACCAGAGGAAGTTTTTGACCTTGGTTGCCAAACGCAATGGATAGGGCGGTGGTATCTAAAAGAGGAAGAAGAGAGGGTCAGAAAAAGTAGTGTAGAGTATATAGTAGGACCAAAGATAATATACCTGGCACACCAGGGAATCGTTTGGCGGAGAATACGGTGAACGGGTCAGTGAATGTCTGGGCAAGCACTGGAGAGACGTCATTATGGACCCGTGTCGCTCCGTTCTCCGGGGCAGGTGGTCTATTTTGAAAACGTCAAATATAGGTGCAGGCGGTGGCTGAACAAAACAGCTCACGCTCCAACATTCATGAGGCGCATTCTAAGCCGGAATGTTCCTGGAGGGAAAGTCAGTAAAAGAAATAAAAGGCAAAAAATATTAAACTTTGACTAACCTTCAGTGCGAACAGATAGGTCTTGGAATAGGAAGAAGATGCCCGGTTTGCGATGCTCATCTAGCAAACGGCATGCATTCGCAGACAAAGGCCCGACTAGCGTACGCGTATAGGTGTGTCGAGGCAACGGCGAGGAGGGAGCTGCCGGTGCGTGCGACGGCCCAGGAGAACCCGGAACTGGTTGAGGGTACTGCGTGTACGTTGGCTGATGGTGGTACGGGTTTTGTGCATAGGCACCTTGATCACCATCGGCGGTTGAGCTGTAGCCACCGGGCTGCTGCGACCAGCCGCCGTCGCGGGTGTCAGTCGAACCAGAAGGCGTCCGCAAAGCCGGGTCCAGATGTTGCTGGCTATTGGGATAGCTGTCTACCGGTGGGTAAGCGGCGTCTGTGTTCCAAGCACGGTAGGGCAGAATCCCGGCGGGTTCTTCCGACTGCCAGGTGTCTGAGGAGGTCGAGGACGTTCGGCCGAAGGAGTGGATGGAGGGCAGGATGGGAGGAGGGAAGCTGGCGGTGCGATCGACAGGCGGGGGTGGATAACCCCAAGTAGAAGAAGGATCGGGAGGCGGAGGGCCGTATGGCGGAGCTTGCGGGTAGGCTATGTTTTCTGAACCGGGAGCAGGCTGAGGCGCAAAATACCCTTGGTTAGGGTAAGGAGCATGAGCACTAAGAGAAGGAGTAGAATTGCCAGTCTGGAATAAATTGACGTTGAGAATTTTGACTGGGGTGGGAAAAAGTGAGATACAATCATACCTGGTCGCCTGCGCGGTATCCAGGTGGTGGGGAATTGCGGCCTGCTGGCGTCTGATTTCCAGATGGACGAGCTGGAGTGGAGGCGCTCGCACCTCGGCGTCTTGTCTTTGACGATGAATTCGTTGGAGCGTACCGATCGGCAGAAGAAGGATGAAGGACGAGGTTCATCTCGTGCTTTCCATCTGCCGACCACAAATCTACGGTGACGAGGAAAAAAGAACAGTCTACCTCGCTGAATTCCATCTACTATGTTAGTAAGAAGCTCTCATAAAATAAATTACGGCATTTTGCTCACTCGACGTCTACGATGGAGTCATCGTCTCGTCTGATGATCATCTTTGTCACTGCCGCTGGGGCAAGCGGTCGCCGATCCTGAGGAATGGATGAAGTCAGACACCGCAGTTTGGGTTTCGCGGTGTAACTATCGCTCACTTTATCACCGAAACCGCACATTCGGGCGCGAAGTGGGTGCTGGACCACTTCTAGAGAGTAATGTCTTAGCATCCCCAAGTGAGCACGTCAAGGCCTGTCCGTTGTGGAGTGCAACACCGACCTTCTGCCAGCCCATTGACCCCAAACTTCAGGGCCATCCTGGCGGGGCGACGTTACGGCGGAACTGGTCGGTCTGATATCTGTCCTCTGGATCATGGTGGATTCAAAGAAGAAACGAGGAGGAGATGGTTGTGGGTTTGACGAAGAAGAGGTGACCAGTTATTAGGGTGCGATCCGAGCAGTTGTCGCAGACACAGATGAGAATCGGAAGGTGTAGTACCGCGGGTTCGTGGAGTCGACAATGTTCGAGGGGGTTCTCACGAGTAAAGAAGACTAGAAAACAGCAGGGGTCAAGGATTTGGATGTGGTCGAAGGAGGATGAGAGAAACAAGCGACCCGAGAGAGTGGATGGCCAAGACAAGAAGACGACCGACACAGTGGATTTCTCCTGAATCTCAATTTGACCGCAATCAGTGTTCCCGCCGCGCACTGGAGACCGATGGGCACGACAGGGAGTAGGCAGCAACGATTCAGAGGCTGTTAAGACAAGGGCAGAGTGAGAAATGCTGTATTGCACAGCCACCGAGGCGCTCTAGCCTCTGCCGTCAACACTGCTCCAGCCGTCCTGCAAAGAATCTTCCTAGCTCAGCATCAGCCGTGTCATGTGTCGTTGGTCTGGGAAACAAATACTCAGTCGCGTACCGAAGATTTGGGTGGTCCCACTCCGTTGGAATTCTGTGGTCGGCCGGTCGGGAACCTATGCATTGCCAGGATACAAGTAATGTAGATGCGATGACGCGTCGAATATGCGTCCTCAATTAACCCACATTGCGATCATGCGCGACCTTGAAATTTGCAGAAGGATGAGAACAGCAGCAGACGCCCAGCACTTCGGAAACCTCGCCCAAGCCTTGCCCATTGCCGCCGCTCACGTGGCGATCGCGGGACTGATGTACTCAGTACCGGTCTTAACTTGAACACATTCCTATGGCAGACCAGGTCGCCGCACGCAAGATTCTCAGCGAGCTCTCGAAGCGCGAGGACCTCAAGAACAAAGTATGCAGCGACTGCAACAATCCTAACCCTCAGTGGGCCTCACTAAGGTTCGAGTGAACCTGCCAGCTCCGTCGCCTATCGCCATCTCATCGCGTTTCGTTCTAGTTTCGCCATCTTCATCTGTCTGCAATGTGCTGGCGTTCATCGCGGATTTGGCGTGCACATTAGGCTAGCATGATCACCTCAAACCATTCCGCGTCTTGTTCATACCCTCCTCCCCTTTAGCTTTGTGCGATCGATTTCAATGGATACCTGGCAGGAGGAGCAAGTAAGGCGGATGCAAGTATGTCCCTGTCTTATTGTCCAGAGCCAGGGTTCTCAATAGTCTAATTTAGCTCGGAGGGAATCTGCCATTCAAAGAGTTCATGAAATCCTACGAGCCACCTGACCTGGGAGGGTATAAGCAAGGAGCTAGCCCGTATGACACGTATCACTGTTGGGCAGCTGCTCAGTACCGAGAAAAGGTATGTCCGATCCGAGGTACTCCTTATATGCCACGATATCAACGTGTTTTGTCCATCACCTCTTATCTACTTAGCTCGACGCAATGTTGGCAGACAAGGATTGGTCACCTTCCGCACCTCCCGCAACCTTCAATGCTGGGTCTCGATCAGCTTCCCCGGCACCTTCTGCTCAGGGTCTTCGCAAGTCCCGAGCATCAACCCGAACATTTACTGGCCGAAGCGACTCGCACTCCCCAGCTTCCTCCTTCCGCAACTCTCCCACTGGGACACCCAGTATCGGCACTGATCAAAAAACGGCGAACGAAAATTACTTTGCTGGACTCGGAAAAGCGAATGAAAGCCGACCTGTTGACCTTCCACCCTCGCAGGGGGGTCGATACACCGGCTTCGGAAGCACACCAACACCTGCGGCCGGTCAGCATCCGTCATATGGACTTTCATCTGCCAATGCACCAACACTGAGCGAGCTCCAAGAAAATCCCGTTGCGGCAATTAGTAAAGGATGGTCCTTGTTTGCAGCTGCAGTGGTTGGAGCCTCCAAAGTCGTCTCGGAGAACGTTATCCAACCCGGAGTAGAAAAGGTCACCGACCCCAACTTCCAGGCCAGTGTGAAAGGCTATATGACTGAGGCTCAGAGGAGAGCTGCCGAGGTCGGAGGGGCCGCGAACCAGTGGTCGAAGAACCAACTCGGTGTGGATGTGGCCGATACAGTTGGAGGAGTGGTCGGGTCCGTAAGAGACCGTGTTGCAGGACCCTCTCGTTCGGGTTATGGGTCTCTTGCTCTGAGAAGTCCCAATGACATGGATGAATCTTCAGGGCTTTATTCACCCGACGATGACAATCTTTTCACTGAGTATCGTCAATCGCCTGTCACGACGACTTCTGCTGCACCAGCTGCTATCACATCTACAAAAGCCAAAGCCCCAGAAACGAAAAAGAACGAGTGGGACGACGACTGGAAAGACTTCTAGAGTACTGGATTTTTTGGATACTTCGTTCTTGCATGCGACATAATTCACGACCTAATTTATTGCATTTTGCCGGGATATTATCAAGAGTGTAAGCGAAATGTCATGACGTCGAAGTTTTGGTCCGGCCGACCCTTCAACCGGAACTCAACATGTTGAAGCCTTTCCAAATTCCGACTCCCGACCATACCAATCTCCCCTAATCCTTCTACGAGGCGCAGCTCTCTCATACAGTGCGGCCGGGTTACTACATTAGCCTCCAACATGCACGGTCTATTATCCAGAGCCTTGTGGAGGACGATGCCCCAAGCGACGCGAAGGGCATATCATGCCTCCGTCTTGCCCTCGCTCATATCAACATCATCGCCAGAATTTCAAGCCAAAGCAGCGGCAATGGACGAACTGGTGAAGGATCTGGAGGCCAACTTGGCAAGAGCGCGTCTGGGAGGCGGTTCTAAGGCTGCTGAACGGATGAAGGCGAAGGGGAAGCTGCTACCTCGCGACCGGTTCGCTCCCTCTCTCTTATCCCCCTGCCGATACCCTTGACGCGTCGTTGTCATACAGATTGAACTACATTCTCGATCCTGGCTCCCCTTTTCTCGAGCTGTCGCCGCTGGCTGCACATGAAGTGTATGATGGACAATACATCCCTGGAGCTGGAATGATTGCAGGCATAGGCCGGATCTCGGGCACGGAGTGCGTCATTGTCGTCAATGACGCGACGGTTAAGGGCGGTTCGTACTATCCGTTGACGGTGAAGAAGCATTTGCGCGCGCAGGAAATTGCGAGGGAGAACAGGCTGCCTTGCGTGTATGTCGGTGAGGACCTTGTTCAATGCCCTCGGGCGACACAATGTGACCTACAATTCATCGTGTCTCTAGTCGAATCTGGCGGTGCTGCTCTTCCTCATCAAGCAAATGTGTTCCCGGATAAAGAGCATTTCGGTCGGATTTTCTACAACATGGCGCGTCCTAATAGCTGGTGCCATCGCAAGGTCTTTAGCTAACATGAATCCTCATCCAGGCTCAAATGTCAGCGCTGGGAATCCCCCAGATTGCCGTCGTTCATGGTATTTCTGTTGCTGGGGGTGCTTATGTCCCCGCAATGGCAGACGAGAACATCATCGTCCAAAACCAAGGTCACATCTTCCTGGCTGGCCCACCACTCGTCAAGGCTGCAACTGGAGAAATTGTCGATGAGGAAACACTGGGTGGTGGCTTGATGCATTCTACAGAAAGTGGTGTAACTGACCACCTCGCTCGTGACGACGAGCATGCTCTTGCATTGGCAAGAGGCATTGTTGGCGATTTGGGACAGGCGAGTAGGCCATTGGCATCTGTAAGGCCCTACCCATAGGCTCCACAACTTCTCTGGAGTGCTGATTTCTTGAATAGCCGTCAACAACGCCCGAAGATCCTTTATACCCTGCGTCAGAGCTCCATGGAATTGTTGGTACTGACGTCCGCCAACCGTTTGATATGCGAGATGTTATTGCTCGCATCGTTGACGGGAGCCGTTTCAGAGAATTTAAGAAAGAGTACGGCACAACAATGATAACTGTAGGTGCCATCATCAAGATTAATGAGGGTTTCAAATTAGCCATTCATTTCTAGGGATTTGCCAATATACACGGATATGAGATCGGAATCGTTGCAAATAATGGAATTCTATTTTCGCCGTCGGCCTTGAAAGCTACGCATTTCATTCAACTCTGTTCTCAAAGGCAAATACCATTACTTTTTCTTGTCAACGTCACTGGTACGCGCTATCACTTCCTGCTCTTGTTCCATTTACTCATTTACACCCTACATTCAGGATACATGGTGGGGTCGAAGGCGGAGAAAGGTGGTATTGCCAAAGATGGGGCGAAGATGGTCCGCGCTGTCGCCTGTGCGGACGTACCGAAGTTCACTGTCATTGTGGGTGGAAGCTTTGGAGCAGGAAACTATGGTGAATCTCTCTCGTTGACACCGGAGAAGAAAGTTAACCCGAACTTATTTTTGTAGGAATGGCTGGTCGTGCTGTAAGTATCTCGCAAGGAAGCCATCTTAAGCGTCGTTGACGGGTATTTTTCTGCAGTATTCGCCTAGATTCCTATGGATGTGGCCAGTACGTATATTCCATAATTCTCCATTTGGCCATGGCTCAGACAAAAACACAGAATGCCAAAGTTTCTGTCATGGGCTCCGCTCAGCTATCACAAGTCATGACGACGGTGTCAAGGTAGGCCCCTTCTGTGATACCTTAGGTTTGGACACTTCGAGAATGATCACAGGGACCCCTCTCAGCATTCCTCACTACAAGCCGAAATTGAAAACCAATCGACGGCGTTATACTCTACTGCCCGCCTCTGGGATGATGGCATCATCAAACCTACAGACACAAGAGATGTTGTTGGGCTAGGTCTCGCACTTGCTTCCCGTGAGAGGCGCTCGGAGGGGAGTTCATCAAATCAAAAGACCACGACTTGGGATGGAGACGGGAAAGGATTCGGAGTATTCAGGATGTAGAGGACGCATTTATCCGTGTAATAGAACTGAAATCAATCTCACATGCCGATGTACAACATGCACATTTTGGAAAGAGGACCCATAACCAAGTTTGAGTGCCTCGTGTTCGCCTCGTGTTGTGAAGTTTGGAGTGATGGGTGTTGCCAAGCCGAGAAACAAGGGCCTGCCCACTTACGCGTGGACGCGCCAAATATAGCACAGTTCAACTTTTCACCGTCAGGCCTCAACGTTGTTTGCTCCAACACGACCACGTCCGCCTCTTGACGACCAAGAGAACCCTTGGCTAGAGATGGGTAGCAATGTCTGAACCTCAGCGCACCATCGCGCGACTTCCGCCGCCCACCCAGGCAAAGCTCCGGTCGACGCAAATCCTCACCTCATTGCCGCAAATTCTTTCAGAACTGGTCCAGAACTCTCTCGACGCTGAAGCGACACACGTGGATGTCGGCATAGATGCCAAAGAATGGATCTGCTGGGTCCGCGATGACGGACGAGGCATAAGCAAAGCTGACCTCGATTTTCTGGGGCGAGGGGAGGAGGGTGCCCGTTACAGTGCGTGTCGTCACTGCACCTTGCAAGAATGTGGACTAATATGCATATAAGATACTTCCAAGACGTGTGCACCAGGTGATACGAACTCTTTGTCGACCTTCGGATTTCGTGGTGAAGGTATGTCAACCTTGAGCTTGATCCACGGTTTCTGTCACAGTTGCTCAAGGTTGGACCCCACTACATTTAGCCTTAGCGTCAGCTGCTGATGTCTCTTGCCTGGAGATATGTTCTCGCACTTTGAAGTCCCGGAACACATGGTCAATTATCCTCAAGGTCAGTTCTCTCGCAGACTTCATCTTTCATTTGCCCTGACGCGCTTTTGTAGGGCGGTAAACAGTTGTACATCGGTCCTGCGGTACGTTGGAAACGTGAGACACCGGGAACGGTAGTCAGCATACGTGACGCCTTTTATAACGTGAGTGCGTTTCTCTTCACCTGTTCACCCTGTTAAACATGCATTAAAGCTACCGGTCCGACGGCTATCCCATCCAAATCCCTTAAGAACATGGGAACTTGTTCGGCAAGAGATCGAGACGTATTCACTTATGTTTCCTCATGTCTCCTTCACTATCGAAGGTACGAGTAATACTTGGGAGGCCCACCACAAAGACCGTACTATCCGAATACCTAAGGTCCGTCTTCGTGTTCCCAACTTCCAACGTTTTAATGAATGGAGTCTTCAGAATTCTTCTACATTGCAGTCGTTTCGTCATCTGTTCGGGAATGCATTGACTGAGGTTTATGCTTTCGACCTGGGGCGGTAACCTGAGCTGACACTTTATATAGTACGTCGAAGCGATTGACGTCGCCCTCGGTTCGATGAAGTTGGAAGGGTTCATCAGTTTGACCGGCGCTGCTTCCAAAGTCAGTAAATCTACTTCTCTACCCTGGAGAAAGATAACTGAGGGTGACCGACATAGGCATATCAATTTTTCTGTGCGTCGCAGTAACTAATCGTCCATATTCAACGTAATTGAACCGTGAAACCGTGACCTAGATATCAACCGGCATCCCGTGGAAGTCTCCGACCTTCGCCGGGTCATTGACTCACAGTTTGCTTCCAGTTCGTTTGGTAAAAATGTCTGTCACTTCCGTTCGGTTCGGTTACTTGGATATCCTGAACGAGAACCCAGGCTCTAGACGAAGAAGGAGAGAAGAACCTTCCGCGCTCAAGTAAGATTCAATCCCTGCAAGCTAACGGATCTATATCTTATTGAGTCAACTCCTAGCGATAAGAAGATCTCCTCGAAAAAATGAAAAGAAGCCTGTTTATGTTCTCAATCTAAGCATTACCCCCGAGGAGGTAGATAATTGCTTCGACCCTTCCAAAAGCATCATTCAACTACAGGTGAGCAAAGGTCGTATGTTCCGTGCGGTAGTTCGTTGACTTGGATTACGATTTGCAGAAGAAGACAAACGTTACCTCGTTTCTCTCGACAACGATTCAGCATTTTCTTGAAAAACACGCGTTCATAAGTTGTAGCAATGGAGAACCGTTCGGTGGAACTACTACCTCCCGGCACTCACCCCGAAAACGGAAAAAAGTGGATTTCTATGCTGTCGACGATTCAGGTTATGCGGAACAAAATTCTATTAGTGAATTGTCTAAGCTGTCCGTCGAAGATGACAAACCTGAAGTAGCTTCTGGCGACTTCTACACCTCTACGGTCCGTATTCACTCAGCCAAGATGGCCTCGTATCTGACTATCCACAGGACGGTCCGGATGAGGTTACGTGGCTGGATCGAGCCACAGGTGAGCACTTCGTGGTCAACACACGGACCGGACATTCTCGAACGACAAACCGGTCTTCACAAGTGGTGAACGAACCTTGTCATGCTACCATTGTGGATCACGGAGAAGGTCGGCGCACTCTGAGGCAACACAAAACCAACAATTCGGCGGTGGTGGATGCCAGCGCCAGACAGGACCCTTTGCCCAAGTGGCTGGAACAGGCGTTAGAGGTCCATCATATCCCACAACTCCCTTGTGGGGTCCGCTGACATTCTTTCACAGAGCAATCGAACTTACGCCATTACTGAAAACAGGATACTCTCTGTCCAAGTGCCTCTAGCCACACATCACGTTGCCTTAACCAATGATCCCTTCAAGAGCCGTGAGTGCCACAGAACCCACAACCATTCGACTCCTCAATGGACGAGAATTGGCGCCCTTCATTCGGGTTTTGAGAACCCCTCCTATCGATTCACAAAAGGTGATCTCCGGCGAGCCGATGTCATTAATCAGGTCGATCGGAAGTTCATTGCCTGCCGCATAGCAAAGCGCAGTGAGGCAGGTTCTCAAAATGAATGCGGAGGAGATGTATGGCCGCAACACGATTACTCGCTCGTTCTTATCGACCAACATGCAGCGGATGAGCGAGTCCGTGTGGAAGACTTTCTCAAGGAGCTGTGCTTGGGGTTTCTCGAATCTCCGAGCAGAATGGATAGCCGCGAAGCTGTAGGGGTCCACGTCAGAGACGTTACCCCACCTCGTCCAGTGCTTCTGACGCTACATGAGGCTCTCATTATCAAGCGGTCACCAGACGTCCAAGCAATGTTGCGCAAATGGGGCGTTCGATTCGTCGAACTATCGAGGGCTGACCCGGTGTCCGACAGCATTTCGGATTCCGGAAGCTGTACTGGATACTCTCAGCTTCTTGTAAGTGCCATACCGGACATCGTGAGTGATAAGGTGTGTCCTCCGTCACTGTCGTCTTGTTTGTCCGCGAATCGTTTTCGTTGACCTCCCTTTTTGTTTCGTGGTTCGGGATAGCTCCTTCAAGGAGACGAACTGCGGGATTTCATTAAAGGATTCCTTGGGCAAATCCAAAGTGGAGAACTATCTTCAGATTCTTGGGACTTGCCTTCTGAAGCAGCCCAAGACGAGTTTCTCTGGCTCAGGGCTGTGCGAAGCTGCCCAAAAGGTCTCCTTGACCTTATAAATTCGAAAGCATGTCGAGGCAAGTACCTCCTTGGACCGTCTTCATACGTGTTAGTATTTTTCGTTGCCACTAAAATGGATTCCCGTCTATCAACTCGTCATAGGTGCCATCATGTTCAACGACTCGCTCTCGATCGCACAGTGTGAGAAGCTGGTAAGGCGGCTCTCGGAGACGGCTTTCCCGTTTCAGTGTGCTCACGGTCGGTAAGTGCCTTTCAAGCATCTCATTGTGCTTGCCGACACTGGTCGTTCCCCCAACTTCAGACCCTCCCTGGTACCCTTGGTCGAAACCGGGGCGCTTCAAGGACGGAATCGTTCACGTCCGATTCCACCTAATGACTGGACTCGGTTGGAGACAATGGGCCATGTATAATTGTCGCAATTCTCACCATCGACATTCAAGCCGAGTCAGTGAAGGAGTGACAGGCTGACGAGAAGACGTTCGGTTGGCGTTTAGGGGGCCTTTACTCGGCAACCCCATTTTGTCGAACTCGGAGCTGCTGCTGCGCAGTAATACATGTAGGACTGGAGAAATCGAGAATATTTCTTTGCGAGCAATCTGTCCCCACTTATCTTATCTGATGCTGTGGAAGTTGGACCGTTGCTCCATTGGTCGTGGTGGAGCTGTCGCGTCGTCGCGTCAGAGTCGCGTGACGTCAGCAGACAGACTCGGGGATTGCCGAAATACCCTGGAGACGTCCGAGTCATGGGCTGCTGCTGTTCTATAAAATCCCTCTAGGTCCTACCTAGCCGCCAAATCACTCTCACCCACAACTGCCACTTTTACCACAACACTCTCTCATCGCATACATCTACCATGTCCCCCACTCTTACCAAGGTCATTTACAAGCCCGACTCCCAGTCTACAGACGAGTACACCATCATCGTTGATCCCGTAGAGGTGCGTTGGTAGCCACTTCCCACTGCTCTCCTAATCTTACCGCTCGTCCCACAGTTCAAGAAATGGAAAGATGGAGGTGAGCATTGGCATTGTGTATCGGCCACCATTCTTTCGACTGACCCTCCTCCTTTCTTGTTTCTCAGACACGTAATATCCACTTGCACTGATCCTTTGTTTCCTGTACTGATCTTGATGCAGGACGATCCCACTGGCAAACGTCGTTGACTGTATGTTATCTTACTTCTCATGTTCGCCGCTTGCATCAACAAGTTATCCTCTAGCGTTCAAGATCTATCACTCTGGACAAGGATCCCAGGGCATCCTCCGCCAACCATCAAAACAACAGCTCGAGTCGGTCTTTGGAACACACAAAGACACCGATATCGTCGAATTCATGCTGAAGAATGGGAAGGAGCAGGCCAGCGAGGGCGTTTCCACTGGTTCTGGCAATCTGAACATCTCTCGTGGTAGCAACATTGCGGACTCTCGCGCCCGAGGGGCTCAAGCAGGATTCTAAACACCCATCATCAAGGGAGCCATTCCGTAGCATTCTCAACCTGTCGTTAGCAAGGGCATGGAAGTAAATTGAATATGTATTGTATTGTTACCTTAAGATCAAGTCGTGAAGGATTATCTCCCAGTCCGAGTCATCAGAGTGTTAAGTCCCTAGCCCGACAGTGTGTACGAGGGTCAGCTTGCCGAGCCGGTCTAGCTGGCACCAGTTACTCCAGAGCCTTCGAGTTGCTTAAGAGCAATCGCCTTGACCTTGTACGAAAAGAAGCACTCGAAGTGCAGGTATTGGACCCACAGTTTGCCCGCGGCCTCAGAGACGTGATGTCCGTTTCCGAAACAGAGACGGAGCCAAGCTATCAGGTAGTCGAAAGCGGAGATCCGAGGATATGTTGAATATTAGTCGGTCACTTCATCACTCACTCGAAGAGAAAACACCAACAACTCAATTTCTCGTAAACTAGAACACTACAAATGTCCTTGCAACCACACACTCCTTCGGCCTAAGAGCTGTCGATCCTGCTTAAAGTGCAGAAGTCCATGGTGCGAATTGAGGACAGGCTTAGAGGTTGAGGTTGATCGGAGTGCAGCCAAGGGCGATGAGTCCGTCTGTTGGGATAGAATTAGCATAAAGTAATTACAGATGTCTTGACTTTGTTTCAGCACTTACTGAAACTGTTGTTGGTACAGCAGACGGGCTGGGCAGTGCTAAAGAAGTGTTCTTTAGTTGAATCAACGCGTGAATCAAATAGGGAACTAACCAAGAATTGCCCCCAATACCGATGACAGAGATGGGGTTGCAGGTAAGACCAACGAGGGCATCAATTGGCCCAACAACAACGCCCAAGAGGCCGAGGAGACCGGCAAGAGGGCTGCTACCGGCGGTCTGAACGCTTTGGCAGCATTGAATGGGTCCCGTGTTGCACTGGACTTGGCGCTTCACGGGTGTGGCGACCGCAAGGGTGGCAAGGGCGATGGTGGCGAGAGCAGAGATCTTGAACTGCATGTTGCTGAGAGAGTACTTGAACGAATGCTGCAGATTGGTTCGAGTGAAGAAAATCGGTGAGAAGACGAGGCACTTTATACGTTTTCGAGATCTCTCTAGTCATCTCTTCGGGATGGTCTTCACATCATTCCTGATGTTACCTTCGACCATTCAGTTCTCCGAGACGTCGTCGAGAAATGTCAAAGTGGAGCCAATTTTCGAGAACGAGTGGAGTATCTTTCAAACGCAAGGGTCCCTGGAAGGGTCTGTTGACCGCGAGGAATACACAGACGACTCGGAAACAAAGGGGCGATAGAGTGAGCCGAGCTTGAGAAGACGCGTGTTAAAAAATTCGACAGCTAAATGCACGTCTTTCCGTCAACGCGAGCGAGGCTATACCGTAAGGCTGTCTTCGCAAGACGGAAGGTTGGTGCAGAAATCAGAGATCCGCGTCAGAACCAGTAGGGTAAAGCATATTCGCAGCATGGCCATGCTCTCGTCATGACACTCGAAAGAAAGCGAGTTTTGACTTTCTGACATTCGAAGTGATGGACGAGTAAACACATATATCGTCAGTGCGGAGTACTGGGGCACGGGTACACACCAGGATCAACAGGGGGAAAATCAAATTGATTTTGACGACATGCAGCTGGCTGAATTCTTGTGCTCGTCATAGTGATGTTTTTCTGGAGAGCCCTGCGAAGTTGTTTTGCATCGACTGGGTCGTCAGGTAATGATCAGCGTAACTTCTCTTGACAGAACTTCCAATATACTCCTCAGGAATGGAGCACCGCAGCCGACTAGGGTGCTGCCCGGGTTATTGCTGTCCAAGAGACAGGCTTGATTGCGACAGTCTGGAAGCCTGGAAAGTGTCGGGCGCCTCTTCTCGCGCCATCACTCCGAGTCCATAATAAGAGGTCCGGAGGGAGATCGTCGGCACCCACATGAAAATCCGAGAAATGATGAAAATTTTTAGGAGGCCAATGTCTGGGACACACTGCAGTCGTGGACAGTGAGTCGGAAAAGTTTGGTGGTGGCCGCAGGAAGCAAGAGGCGACAGCTAGTTGTTTGGTTCCGAATTCGGAAGTCTTGGAAACGCCGGTCCGCTGGAGGATCAGTGAGCACGTTCAATCCTTCTTGGCCAAAATCTCTCCAGGACTCGGCAGAGTGCAAAGCACGAGCAGCAGGCGCGAATACACATCTTCAATTTAGATTAAGTCCACGAGTTGTACCTAGTTCAAGGAATTCGTTTTTACATACATATGTCCAGATAGTATATAGTGTTCGTAATGAGCAATCAGTGCGTGTACAATTACTGAGACCTTTAGAGATTGATGGTACTAGTAGTGCATCCAAGAGCAACGACGCCGTCTAGGAGGGAAAAAAAGGGATGACTTCGTTTTCCTTTTGATGGACGTTTTGCGGTCGTGGTTTAATTGCTTACCGTAAGTATTGTTTTCGCAGCAGACGGTCTGGGCGGAGCTGTTGAATGTTTGTCAGGAATAGGGAAAAATGGACGACCAAAGCACCTACCAGGAGTTATCAGCGCCGCCGATTACGGTGATTGGAGTACAGGTGAGGCCGACCTGGACAGTAACATCCTGGACTACAATGCCCAAGAGGCCGAGGAGGGCGGCAGCAGCAGGATCGTTGGCACTCTGGACGCTGTTGCAGCACTGAACGGGTCCCGTGGTGCATTCCGCACGCTGCACAGGTGTGGCAGCCGCAAGGGCTGCAAGAGTGACTGCAAGAGTGACTGTGGCAAGAGTAGAGAGTTTGAATTGCATGTTGCCGAAAGGTGTGCTTGAACGAATGCTAGGGATTATCCGAATGAAGAATTTAGGAAATAACTGCGGTTCTTACAAGTCTTAGAAACCACCTTTTCGTTGTTTGACGCTCAAAGAATTGGCGTCAAGATGACTTCATGGAGAGCATTTAAAAGTCTGCATTATTCAAAGGTGGAAACTTGCGCAGTTGGAAGAAGAGTGGAGCATCGAGCTGACGGCGGGACGACTTGTGCATGGCGCTGATACTCCCCCTATTGTTACAAGTTACGGGACGCAAATATCAGATAGAACGGCGCAAGTGTGGGCTTGGGCGGCTCATGATGATTGTGAAAGAGTTTCCAGCGCTTGAGAGACATTTAAAGACACTTGAAAAGCCTTAATGAGATGGAACGGCCAAGCGTCAGAGCAACGGCGATGTCTTGGTCGACGAAAGAGTAGTAACGAAAGGGGCACTGGTGGTTTGAAGAGGTTTGAAGCAGGTGACTCCGAGAAGGATTCAACCGATGCCATGTAGAAATATCCCATCAATGTCCCACACTGGAATCCAAGAGTCTCCACCTTCCACCGTGGTCCGTTACTGAACTGTTGCTCATCCGATGCATGAGTGAATGTCAGATAATGCCACACATCTATCTTTACTTGTCGCTGGAACTTCTCTATTCTATCGATATGTGGAGCATGAAGTCCGCACGTTGTGGAGGTGCAAGGCTCTGCATGAGTCGGTGGCAAGTCTATGTAAACCTTCAGCAGAGCCCTGCAACCTCACCGATCACCGGTCATCGACATTGACAATGCTTATGCATTTTCCTCTTGCACCGTCGTATGTTCCAAATTTCACATCAAGTGAGACACGAGATATCATTCTGCTCGTTGTTTTCTGTCGCGTCTCTTTTGGAAGAGACGATTGCCAATATGTTCGACGGTCCTTGCTCTCTTGCTCCCACACTGGCCGACTTGACTGTGAGGCATAATCAAGCATAATCACCGAGGCGAAGAATAGTGCCTCGACGTGAATCGTTTCTCACTCTGCAGGTAAGTAATTAGGACGATGTACTTGAACCTGATGAACATTCCTTATTCAAGTCATTGACTTTCTTTTCCCCAGGTTTGCGCATTTTTCATCGAAATCATATTCCTCTCTTCCGCAACCTGCCTTATACCCAATGATCTCTGAGGTTTTTTTTGCCACCGTGAGTGATCTCCGTACGCAACTTATGGAACCCAACAACGTGTATTAACGTTGAGGAAGGCGGCCATAAATAACCTATTGCGTCGTCAGTGCATTTACATAAATGCTTGTTCTATTTTCAGCTTGATCATCTTGACTTCGAACGTCATTGCTTGACTGGGCACCATCGCAGGTCTGTCCGGGCTCGCTGTATACAGCGTCCTGGACTCACAGAGACGTTTGGTATTGTCAGTCAAATAGGCCTGCGTATAGTCCTTGCTCCAAAACGCCCACGGCTCCACTCAGAAAGCTTCGTGGGCTATCTTCAGAGCTCGCTGTTGTGCTTCGTCTTTGCGAACATACCTGCAGGATGGCGCATTCTCATATTGGTTCAGAGCTTCCAGAAAGGTATGTATAAAGGGCCTCCTAGAGGGCGTGTTTCTGCACTCGAACAATTCGCAGCAATCGTTCAAGTATTACTTTCAACAACATGCAATTCAAGCTCTCCGCCCTTACTACTACTCTGATTCTCGCCACCCTTGCGGCTGCCACAGCGATTCGTCGCAACGAACCGGCTAGCCAGTGTAACACCGGAGCTCCAGTACTGTGATAGCATTGGGGCCGCCAGTGAACCTTCCATCGCCAAGCTCCTAGGCCTCCTGGGTGTCGTCGTCCAGGACGTCACTGCCATTGTTGGTGTAACTTGCACCCCCATTACCGTCATCGGCGCCGGAGGCAATTCCTGGTAGACATTTGCTTCTTTGCTTTCATACTTCGGGGTGTTCTGACTTGTTGCCGCGAACAGCACAGCCCAGCCTGTGTGCTGCACCAACAACTCCTTCAGTAAGCTTTTACTAAATATCATCTCACGCTTACTAGTTGGTGCTGACTGGTTTTAACAGAGGGTATTGTCGCTCTTGGGTGCACTCCCGCCAACATCAACCTCTAAGAAGTTGGCACGTCTACGGTTGTTGGCACCTAGTGCCAGCATGCGGTTATATGATGGACTATGACTTGTATGAAGTGTGGTGAATTTATTTCATTGTCATTCATCGCTGAATTCGCCTTGGAATCTCGCCGCCCGACCTGGTGTTCAGGGCGGCACGTTATGAACAATGGATCTTAGAAGTCTGAAGAAAACGAACTAAGATGTGCCAATATGACAAATGTAGCGAGTATACATAGAGTGATTCTACTATAACCATGAAGATGTTGCATGAAGATTCAATAGAGCAAAGTAGATACAGCCGATCTAACCGTCGTAAAGTCTTGTCATTCTCGTGACTTCGCCTAGGCTCAATAATCTACTTCATCCCAGCTGTCTCTGCCCACTCCTTACTTCCCATCTGCACCAAGCGGGAGCACGCTCGTGCGAAAGCGAAGACCTCTTCTTCTCCCGTGAACATCGAGCTGCTGCCAACAACATCGTTTGACAGACCCTAATCACACCGAATAGCCGTCAAGAAGAGAAAAAGAAGCGGGAAGGACGACTAACGAGATCATCCATGACACTGCGCATGTGGTCGGAGATATGGATTTTGTGAGCTGTCTCTGAAGGGTCGTCGGAGAAGACCTTGAAGACGGGAACTTCCGATGTTACGAATAGCTTCGTCTGAAAAAGCGGGATGGTCAACATCGAGAAACAATGAGAAGAAATTTACGACATACTTTACTTTCATAGCAGGCTGTGAGAAGATGGGAAGTCAGAAATGAACGTGATATGAAACTATACATACCGTCAATGAAAGTAATGAACCTTCTCGCCTTCAAGCAGAAGTATAAACGTGAGTAATCGTATAGAAGGCGTCGTGGAATACATACCAAGTCCTTCTTGTCTAAACCCATCTTCGGCACATTCAACAAGAAGATAGTCCCGAAATTCTTCGTGACTTCTATGTAATCGGCGGCGCTAAGTGGCCGCCCACAGAGGTCGTTGAAGTTGAATTTGGCGACGGTGCTTGTGCTCTCAGGGACAAGAAGAGTTCGGCCCCATATCGTAAGTTTGCGATTCCGGATGGGAGGGTCTGTCGGGTCTTCGCCAGCAAAGGAATCAAATATCTTGTTGATTTCGCGATCATTCTCCGATGAGAGGGGGTGGTAATACACATGCGACAGAGCACGAGGTATTCGACGGTAGTCTACTCAGTGAAAAGACAGATCAGAATCAAAAGAAAATATTGCATGAACTCGTCTTTGTCCTGACCTGTACCAGAGTCCAGGTCCGTAACGTCAAATCGGGTCTTCAGCAGGTCTATTGCTGGAAGGAAGCTGGATCGTTGAATTCCGTTCTTGTACAAATCGTCCGGGTGTCGACTGTTTTTAGGTCAAAAATTTGTCGAGGCAGCATTTGCAAGGTACTCACTTTGAGGTCATTACACAAACAACGCCGTAATTAACCAATGACTCGAGCAGCCGCCTCAGGATCATAGCATCAGCGATATCGGTGACTTGGAATTCATCGAAGCACAATACAGAAGCATCCCGTGCCAAGTCTCGAGCCACAGGAACAATTGGGTCGCCACCTCGATACCCCATCGCAATCTTCGCAGCATGCAGCCGTTTGTGGACGTCAATCATGAATGCGTGGAAATGAACTCGTCGTTTATGCTTTAGGGATGGTGGGAGGGTCTGGTAGAAGAGGTCCATGAGCATCGTCTTCCCTGTGCCGACATCTCCCCAAAGATAGAGACCTTTAGGGACGTTTTCTGGCGGGGACGTGGGTACGGGGGACTCGCGGCTGAATAACCGAGAAAGCTAGACAAGGAAACAGGTATTCGATAGTACACTTCCATGGAATGAAGAACACTCACAAGTGAGTTGGAATCGGATGCGTCGGGTATTACAGGCGGGGTATAATCGACGAGCTTGTCGTGTAAATCCTGGAGTTTTTGGATGATACGGGTTTGGTGGTCGTCGCCGCGTAGCACTCCTTTATCTATTAGGCTTTGGTATTGGCGCATGGGCGTTAGATAATCTAAGAAGGACGAAATAAGGCAAGAAATCCTTAATGAAGTATGGGATTTCCTGACGTACCGTGTTGAGTGGAATCCTGGGCCGCGGATGCGGAGGTACCAGCGAAGAGGCCCTGGTCGACGAGATTGGGTTTGAGGGAAGACTCGGCGGCCAACGAAGAGTTGAGAGCTGTTCCCCGGTGCTTCTGTGTGCGACCTGCAGAAGATGCAGAGGCCGCAGAGGAGATGGATGCTCGCTGGGTCCTTGATACTGGAACTCGACATGCGATGGGTGGTGGCGACGCCAAGATCCTTCGTGCTGCCCTCATCGTTGGGCAATAATAAGAGAATATCGGGAGAAAACAAGAACAGGGACACTGCCTGCTGGGCTGCTCCCACAGTAAACGCCGCCGGAAAAGCGCGGGGAGATGGTGAACCCGTCTGTCTGAGCAGGAGCTCCTGCCCTTCCCCGCAATGGCACGTGCTCCGGATCTCTCCTTTACCGAGCCAGCCCGCTTATCCATCTCACCTCTCCCCGCCATGGCCAACAAGGACGACACGGAGACCTACATCCTTCTCCTCCTATCGGACAGCAACTTGCCAACAGGCTCATTCGTCGCCTCTGCTGGTCTCGAGTCCCACGTCAAGCACGGCTTCGCTTCACTCTCGGCGTCTCCAGTCCAGGCCACCGTTGACTTTGTGCGCGACAGCCTTGGTTCCTACGCAAAGAGCGCGCTTCCATTCGTATCCGATGCTCATCGCACGGTCGAGCGTTTTGCCTCTTGCCTAGAACAAGAAGATGGTGGAGAGGGATTTTTGCAAGATACGCTTGACAAGCTTACCGAGCTCGATGAGTTATATCAGGTCATGACTCTTAATCACGTTGCCCGAAGGGCCTCCGTCGCCCAAGGTGTCGCGCTCCTCACACTCTATTCAAGAGGCTTCTCGCGGCCTCCCACCCTGTCTGCTTTCTCGGCGAAGGAATCACGGGCCGACGAATCTCAAATGTCGAGGCTCCTCAATCAGTTCAAGCTCAAGGTGCGCAGGGAAGAAGTCCCCGGTCATTTACCAATCTGCTGGGGCGTCCTAACAGCAGCCCTTGGCCTAAAGTTAGGTATAGTGCATTATTTTTCGCTCAATCGACCCCACTGATATGGATAATTAGAACGGGCGCAATACCTCTATCTATTCCTCCATGCAAGGGGTCTGCTTTCAGCTGCTGTTCGTCTCAACGACCTCGGACCGTATGGTGCTCAGCAAATTCTACTGCACGCTGTGCGTCCCTTGGTGGCTGCTGAAACGGAGAGGTGCAAAATTTTACGCACAGGGTTGCTTCAAGGTTCAGATGATGGATTTGACGACACGTTATCAGGACCTGCGAACACATGGCCACTGGGAGAGATTTTGGCTGGACGCCACGACCTCCAGCATTCCCGTATATTCAACAGTTAGGGTTAACCCTCCCACAGGATCGATTCTAGATGCGACAGGTATAATGGGTAATGCATCCGAACGTTCTCAGAAAGCGTCCTAAGCCGCTGCTGTGAGAGCGAGCCGTGAGGAAACCTCCGCTTGCGCCCGTACAAGATTAGCAAGATACGAAATCATCAATGTATCCTGGGCAAGGAGCGCAGCACATCAGAAATAGACCGTGGAAAGGATGGCCGAAGAACGCACCTGCAGCGCTGCATTGAAACCACCCTTTTCTAAGTCGTCGGTGCTTGCACCCAAGGTGTCCATGAGATACCGACCAACTGCCGGGTCGCCTTTCCTCTGTCCCGAGAGAACATCCCGGACATAAGCCAGCACCCGATCCAGCATATCAGAGACTGCCAGAATCGATCGCTCAATAATCTCGAGATCAGCTACTGGTTGAGAGGAGGTTGATGTTGGCGAGTTTCCGGTGGACAGAAGGAGGTCGACTGGAACAAAAATGAAAATGAAAATAAGTTGGCGCATAAGTAACATCAAGGACATGAAAGCCTTCGGTTCACACTTACGTCCACTTCTTTCCGCATCGTGGAAACGCAGTTCCACTGGAACGGGAATGAATACACAGTTTTCTGGTTTTGGAACTGTTCCGACAGGTGAACTGATTTGAAAAAGTTGTCAGTAGGACTTGAGGATGGCATTGTGTGAGACAAACCTGATATAAGCCTTTACGCCAGCTTCCTGGCCTTCCTCAACACCCGTATTGACAGAAACATGGATAGCGGGATGATTGACTGTTTCTTGCGAGTAGAAATTTTGGATGAGAGCAGAGTAGGTGTTGAGGTTTGATCCCGTCGAGTACCTGATACGGGAGATGAGGGATCGGCCTTGTTTGCACAGACAAAATCAAGCAGCGCACCAGCCGACGATAACCTCCTTTGGGTGCACCTTGTGGTGCAATTCGTACATCGTCCGATGGTAGTCCATATCTACGGCGACTTGTTCGTCCGTCTCGCTGTGGAGGACGGCGAAGGACGACCGAACTTCGACTTCATTCTCGTGGCGCGTGCCTAGGAGGGTGCCAATGACCCGTGGTTGGGAGTCCGTGCGCCGTAGGTAGTGGTCGAGGATAGAGAAGAGCGCTACGGGGTGGATCGTAATATGCGTCGGTGCGCGTCTGGGAGAAGAAAAAAAGAGAATTCAAATCAGCCAGTATTCTATGATCATCGGCGCTATCCTCCACGCGATAAAGAAGGCGCGACGTACGGCGCGTTCTGAAGGGCATCGCCCGTTGAGGGGCCCTGGATGTTGAGCGCGGACGATGGAGGCCCAAGAGGCATCTTTTGTGTGCTTTTGGTGAGATACGAAACTTACCCAGAGACAACACCGCAAAGTTGGACTCGGCAATATCCGAAATCACACCTTTTCCTACCTGCCGCCATCCTCGTCACCACCTTCCGCCACAAGAAAAAAAGTAAAAGCACAATGCCTTCAGAGGAGACCAAGGTAAGGTGCATTTCTATTGTCGCGTGTATCTGGTGTGCTGACTTGAGTGCAGGAACGCATCAGCAAGGTCGTCGAAGTTGGCCGCGTATGTTTTCCTCTCAGTTCCGAGGCGAGGTTCACGCTGACCAGTTTCTGTGGTTCATACAGACCATCCTCCACTACGGCTGGATACCTCTCATCATTTATGTTGGATACACGAGAAGCAACCCTCAACCGTCATTAATCAAGTGCGTTGGCATTACATTCTGGTTTTGATGTTTCAACTGACGTTCTCCCAGGTTGATTAGCCCTCTTGCATAAACGTCCCCCACTCTTGTATACTATCTTATAATGGCCTTTATAATCAAAAGGCGGCGCCTACTCCGTCGTTCTGACCGAACGAAGTGAATGTGTGTGAGGAACGTGTTGCGGTATGCTCGTTCTAGACTTTTCGTGAGTATTTCTCTCACTGTACCTCCTGAGCGCGGATTATATACGTCGTGGTGGTACGAATTTTCGTGCCCTGATAACACACTCGACTCTTCGAGGCGTTGTTCGCTGTAGCCGCGTCCTTCGCTGGTTTATGCGACAATGGTGGATCTGACGATCTGACAAGGCCAGATATGAGCTCTTTGGAAATCGCATCTGCTTGACAATGAACGTTCCGAACTGACGCTTCTTTCGACAGAAAAACAGAACCTAGGAGAGTACGTGTTATAGGATAGGACATTACAGATACATTCTCCGCAAATCCGTCGCCCCAGTGATCCTTTTACAAATTGGACAAAGCTTGGTGGATCCGAGGCACCTCAACCAGCATTCCCGACAACATGTGTGCCAACATCCTGTCGAAACCGTAGGCTCGTTGAAGGGGTCAAGACATATTCTGCAGATAAGTGAAGTCGAGGAAAATGTATCCGTCGACTCCTGTTTCCTTGTCAGCATCAGTGTTAGAGCTGTGAGGAGCACCCACCAAGTGTTTGAGTTTCTCCTCAAGAGCAGCAATGAGCGCCGATTTATCTCCACGCCGACGCGCCGCCAATATGGCTAAGTCTCTTTTATCCATGTCTGTCCCTTCCATCGCCTTCTCAACACGAGTTTGCCCGCTATTTGGTAGTTTCAATGTCTGTGTTGCAGCCGCTACCAGGTCACGCAAGGTCTTTTGCTCTTCCTGCGCCTCGTCATCCTCATCAGCTTCAATCTCGACATCTTCGTCGATGGTAGGTCTGTGGACATTCACAGGAACAACGTCATCCTCTGTGAATTGCACTCCGCCGTACATGGCTTGGTCGTCTCCGTCTATGTCGATTTCATCATCGATGTTTTCATCGTGGGTTCGGGTGTGAAATCCAGCACCTAGGCGCGTCGAAAGTTAGTGTTCATCGTAAGAAGTGGGTACCGAAAATGTGGTTTCACCTCTGATGTTCCCAATGTAAGTACTCTCATCCTCATCGTCCCAATTAGCTTCTTGTAAGACGCGTCTATGTTGCAGGTCGCGTTGATGTGCTTCTTGTCTCTGTGCCTCGTGGGCAAGACAGGCGTCGACGTGTGCATCTAAGATATCTTGGTCGCCTCTAACAGTTGTCGAACACACAGGGCAGACTATTTCTTCCCCGGTGAACTTTCTCGACCACGAATCCCGGCTGTTTCCTTCTTCATCTTCCCGGGCCATCTCCTTCAATTTGTTGTTCCGTTGCTTCCTGTGTCGTTTAATGGCTTGGATTGTTTTGGTAGATTGATCAAGAGAGTCGTTCGCGGGGCGAGTGGTCATTGACTTGCGGGCTTTGATAGCAGAGCGACGAGCTCTTGAGCTTGGTCCTGGTCTACCACACCATTAGCCGAGTGTTTCATGAAGGTGCGTGCGCTTACTCGTTATCTATCTCATCATACGCGAATTCAGAGGATCCAACATTTCTTATAACTTCTTCGACGCGTTCAAACTCTAATTCTGCGTGCTTTGCGAGTAGCCGCAAAGGAATATGCTCGTCACATACGGGACATTGCCTCGTTTCGGCGCGTTTGGCTACTTGACGCCTCAAAATCAGACTATTGGCTGTCAAACACGACTGCACGCACGTCGTTTTGTTGGATGAGGAGGTTCATTGTCTAGGGGTGTTGATAGAGCCGCGTTAGATCCGGATTCCTTCAGAGCCCTCTTCTTTCCCCTGAGATGTGTTTTCAGAGCTCTGATCATGACCCAATTCACAAGTTGACGCACTGGAGCTTTATCGTCAGCGTCATGCTTCTTAGATGTTCCCAAAGCAGCACAGAATTATTGCTTGCCTCTGCGTGCCGTCTGGATGAGTCTCTTGGATGGATTGGAATTGCTCACAGTGGATGGAGTAGACAAGTAGAACCGGTCACCCGGTCCGGTCACACATTCCTGCGCGTGATCACTCGCGTTAAACTAATGACGCGTGTGTCGCCAAAGCCTAACGTTCCGACCCTTTTCCACCCAAAAGACGCTCATCGATGCGATCTTCTCTCTAAAAAAAATCCGAGCTGCCGCACCGGCGTCGCTCTCTGAGGTTCCCGAAGACTACATCTTTTCTCAGAGTTGCGCTGAGCATCTGATCTCCTGACTGGAACACCACATCGAGTTTCCGAGATTTGTCCGATGCTTAAGGGGCTGGGGATATATAAATGCCCCTCCAGAGAGGCCGGCTCCTCCTAAAAGTGTCCCCCTTGTCGAAATTTGAGCTATGGCTTCCAGCGACCGAGACGCTTCGGCCACTTTGGCGAAGTTGAACCTCCCACAGAAGATTAAGCTCCTCAGCGGTCTCGTATGTTTCTTCTTCGACCCCGTTTACTTCAATGCGCTGAACATCGTGCACCACTAGGGTTGGTGGCACACTGAGCCCGTCCACGAGGCAGGGGTCCAGTCTATGAGGTTCAGTGACGGTATGTTTCTTAATTATGTTACCTCTGGATCTCTCATTCTGACTCTCATATCATTAGGCCCGAACGGTGTCAGAGGCACTCGATGTATGTTCGGTCATTTTATGCCATCCTCACTTAACTTTCAACTGAATCTGGGGTCTAGTCTTCAATGGTGTTCCCTCGAGCTGCTTCCCCGCTTCTACTGGACTGGGGTCTTCCTTCGACGTGGAGTTAGCCCACAAAGTCGGCGAAGCCCTCGGAGACGAATGCCGTGCGAAGAGTATGCATTTCTCACAGTTTCCGCGCCAGTGTCTTTGGGAGTGATTTCCATCGTTCTACAGGCACGCACGTTTTGTTAGCTCCGACTGTCAACATCCAGCGCTCCCCATTGGGTGGTCGCGGATTTGAGTCGTTCTCCGAGGACCCTCTTTTGAACGGCGCCGTCGCGTCTGCATACATTAATGGACTCCAGTCGAAAGGCGTTAGCGCAACGATTAAGCACTTCGTGGCTAATGATCAGGAATTCGAGAGGCAGGTGTTGTCGCCAACGTCAATCAATCCCGTTTCTCACATCTCGCTCTCTGCAGGATGTCTATCAGCAGTAAGATTATGATGATTTTCACCTGTATTGCTCGGCAGTTAAACCCGTTTTCAGGCGAGGTTAGCGAGCGAGCACTTCGAGAAATCTATCTAAGGCCGTTCCAACTTGCCGTCAAAGATGCCAACCCTTGGGCTATCATGACAGCGTACGTTGTCCATTCTTATTTCGCAATATGTCCTATGTGTTTCATTATCAAGCGCCTTAATGGTCACATAAATAGATATAATCGTGTCAATGGCACCCATGTATCCGAAGATAAGAGATTGCTGGAAGACGTGTTGCGCAAGGTTCATTTTTTATTTATTTATCTTCATTTCGTCGTTTTCTCAAGACATCATACTTGCATTCATTTTTTGGGATGACAGGAGTGGGGATTTAAGGGTAAGCTTCTCCTTTACACTCATCGTAACTTCTCACCCCATCTCCTTCCTCCAAGGAATGGTCATGAGTGACTGGATCGGTGTCTACAGCACGACAGGAAGCATTAAGGCAGGCTTGGACCTCGAAATGCCGTGAGTTTCTTTATTATTATCGTTATTATTTCAATTGGTGGACCCTTTCGCTCATCTCAACGACAGAGGACCGTCGGTTATGCGAGGGAAAGCATTGGAGCGTGCACTTATCGCGCAGAAGGTTTTACCCCGCGATATTGACGAACGAGCAGCCAAGGTAGCTATCCTGCACGTCTTTGAAGTACGTGTCATTGATCTATATGTTGTGTAGGTCTTGGGTCTGCTTGATCATGCCCGTGCTTCTGGAATTCCATTCAATGGACCTGAGGGCTCTGTCGACACCCCGGAATTACGACAGCTCCTTCGAACTGCCGCAGCGGACAGCGTCGTTCTGCTCAAGAATGAGAAGGGGTTGCTTCCTCTGACCAATCAGACGAAGAAAATTGCTGTCATTGGACCAAACGCGAAACCCGCCATGACATCAGGAGGAGGATCTGCCAGACTTCTCTCGACATACACTGTGTCGCCTTTGCAAGGGGTCCTCGCTGCCGCAGAGGAGGTAGGCGCAGAAGTCAAGTACACGGTTGGAGCCACCTCCCACAAGTATCTCCCACTGCTCGACCCTCTTATTCGTCAGTCAGACGGCCAACCTGGTGCCTTCATGGAATTCTGGAACCAACCACCCCCCGGTTTTATGAAGACGGACCCTGATTTCAACCTTACGCCTCCCGCACCTGCATGGTCTACGCCTACTCTTGGTTCGAATTGCATCATGATTGATGGAGTCGTAGGTACTCTTCTAACATGGCCATCTGCCATTGCTAACCAATCGCCTGCATAGGACGAGACGAAAGTTGACCCTGTGTGCTGGATACGCGTAAGTCGCTAAGCTTCCCTCCTGTGCTCCGGTTGGTCTGATTTCAAATACCTGTCATTAGTATTCAACCAAGTTTACGCCTGATGAAGATGGCGACTGGGCCATTGGCGTCAACGTGACAGGAGCCGGGAATGTCTTCTTGGACGGGAAGATTATCATTGACCTTTCTACCAATCCTCCTCCGGTGTCGCTTTTCACAGGCTCTCTCCCACCTGACACTCGTACCGTCGTCAATGGCTTGAAGGCCGGTCAAGCCTATGACCTTGAGATTCGAATTGACAACAGCACCTATGCCCCGCTTAGTCCGTTCCCTTGCTGGGGTGTTCTTCGGGCTGGAGCTATCCGAGATGTGAACCCAGAAGCTGCCATCGAAGAGGCAGTCGCTTTCGCGAAAGAGTCGGATGGTAAGTGTATTCTGCCATCCTTTTCTTCATTCGACTGACAAAGTCCTCAGTGGCCATCTTGGTCATCGGCTTGAACCATGAGCATGTCTCTTTTATCGAACTTGGCAAGCAAGTGTATTGATGGTTTATTTATCCGATACAGTTGGGAGACCGAGGGAGACGATCGTGCCAACATGGAGTGAGTTGAGCCTTAGTGCTTCGTCATATTTTATTGATTGCCCACAGATTGCCTGGCCTTACCAATCGCTTGGTCTCAGAAGTCTTGAGCGCCAATCCTAATACCGTCGTTGTCAATCAGTCTGGAACTCCAGTCGGGATACCTTGGGTCAATGAAGTCGCTACATTGTTACAGGTATATAAAGCTCGGACTGTTTCTATTTCCCATGCTTATCATTGTGCAGGCTTTCTATGGTGGTAATGAGCTTGGAAATGGACTTGCGGACGTTCTGTTTGGCAAAGTCAACCCATCTGGCAAGCTTCCTCTGACATTCCCGTACGTTTGGCTGGTACACTGTTACTTCTCCTTGGCTGATGAGTTGCGCCATAGTAAACGCCTAGAAGACAACCCATCCTACCCGTCGTTTGGGAACAAAGGGCAAGAGGCTGGCAAGATCCATTACAACGAGGTACGCAAAGATATCAACCGATGATGGTTGTCTGATGGGATTCTTCCAAGGGCATCTTTGTCGGATATCGAAGCTACGAAATCCGCAAGCTTGACCCACTGTTCCCCTTTGGCTTTGGGTTATCTTATTCTCAGTTCGAGTACTCCGACTTGGAAGTCTCGCCGATCTCTTCGAGCGGCGAGTTTGCAGTGTCTTTCAAGATCAGGAACACTGGAAAAATCGAAGGGAGAGAGGTTGCCCAAGTTTATGTGTCCGACCCACAGTCTTCGCTTCCACGAGCATTGAAGGAGCTCAGGGGCTTTACTAAAGTCCAGCTCCAACCTGGAGAGTCGAAGAGCGTTAAGGTCTCGCTCGACAAGTATGCATTGAGCTTCTACGACGAACGAGACGGCCAATGGGTCGCTGAGCAAGGGTCCTTTGGCGTCCTCGTCGGTTCTTCGTCAGCAGATATCAGACTGCAGGGAGAGACCAAGCTCGAGAAAACGTTCACATGGAGAGGCTTGTGATCGCGTATGCCTCGTGAAGTGTAAGGTCTATAGGGTGAATTGCGAATCGATAAAGATATATATCATGACCGATTCTTTCAAATTTCTTTGTCTTCAAGGACAATGTCAATGTCTTGATCGTGAGCCATCTGTACGCCTTCCTGTTCACGAGCCCGTGCAAATTCTACCAAAGAGCGAAGAATGGCATTTTGACCTGGGAACGGGCTTCAGGGGGTTTTTCAGCTACCAAATTCGACATACCCTCAAGATAATGATGAAACATCTCCACGACATCTGCACGGACTTCAATGTTTCCTGCGATATCTTCCTCTGGCAGCTTTTCTATCAGAGACTCTAACATCTCTTGCAACATTCCGGATGCATCTAGGATATCTTCGTATGTTGCATCACTTGCCTCGACGAATTTTGAAAGGATTACTTTCCAGAGTCCATCTGCCCCTTGGGCGTCACGGCCAATCTCCCATCTCCCTTCAATGCCTCCGACCTTCAGGACAATTGTGTCATCTGGATTATGAGGGAGGGAGAAGCCGTATCCTAATATGAGTTCCGAGTTGGGCTTGAGACCATAATTATTAAACAGTTCTTGGCCGCTAACTGAAGGGGTATGAAGCAGAAGAGATAATTTTGCTTCAGCCTCCGAGGTCGCACTGCTAGCGGTACGTGTTACAAGCCACGAGACCGGTTGTCCACGCGCATGGTTGAGTGAGTCAACACCGGGAACTAAGACAGGGTGTGTAGAAGGGGAACTAATCAAGGAAGGAGCTGACGATAGAATGGACGAGGGAAGGGCTCGGGATGAGATGTATGTGGCCGCAGTCAAAAAAATATCCCTGCGGAGGTATAAACGATTGGTTTCTTGTAATGACGAGGTGTGGTACTGACCACGAAAAGCTCTCGGTCCAGCTGGGAACTGATTCTGCAACAACCTGGCGACATTGCGTCCATTCGTCCTTCCAGCCACGTTCGCGGTCAATAGTAGCGCCATAGAGATTTGTCCCCTCGAAAAGCTCAAGCTCCGAAGAAGTGAAATGCAGAGAAGTCCGAAGCTTTTCTGCAGATGGCAAAGTGTTTAGATACTTGAGATGAACTAATCTAATTGTTGGTTAATTGCGATGTTTCTAATGTTTGCCAATTGAAATACATATCATACCTCGGATCATCTGCACCAGCGATCCAGTGCAGTGAGATATATGTGCTTATCCATTGCCGTTCGGTCCATTTATTAGTTTTAGTGACGGTAGAATCTCCCAAGATTCCGAGCACAGCCGTCTTTGCGAGAGTTGGGGTTACTACCAGCGAAAAGGGACAGGCAACAATAGTGGAATCTTCTGGCAGGTCAGCTGCTGCTATGATTCGTGATCCAGCAGCATCTGGAGGAGGGAAAGGCCATAGTCAGCCATTTCTCTGGTAGGGTCGAAGCGCCAGATATCAAGAGGGGGGAACGGGAATCGGGTGAGCCGCTACCTTCTGAGAAGCGCGCATCAGGATGAAATGCACCGCCATGTTCAATGATCCAGGTTTTCAATGCGGAGAAGGATGGCAATTCAACGGTGCCCATCAGAGTTGGTCAGTGTTCAAACGTTCAAGTCCGAGTCGATGCTTTGTCGCTTTCTGTCAAGAGGCACAGCCCAGCGGCCCGGCAGTTCTTCCAGGATTATAAGGTAGAGCTGATGTGCTCTTGTCTACATCACATGCCGTGACTCTCCCGTGACTCCGGCCAAAACGATGAGTCACTTCCATCATTGTCGTGTTTGGACCCGAAAGTAAATCCCTTGGGGCACTTTTTTGGCTCAACTTTGCGCAAAATTTCCTCCAAGGAAATGTTCAAAATTAAAATCAAAGCACTTCCTTGCAAAGATTTTGGGAAAATTTGGATTTGCCGGGATGCCCCATGGGAAACACGGAAATTGTCACGACTTTCACGTGATGTGGACAAGAGCACTTCGTCTCTACCTTACAATAGGGGGAGTCAGAGTGCGCGATTCTGGGACGGTTCTGGAAAACGATTTGGACCAGAAATTGTTTGCCCTAGAACCATGTGAAAACTGTGAATCGTCCCGAATCGCAAAGCGCCTCTGGAGCTGCTTTTGCACTCGAGAATCGCCGATTCTGGTTCTGCGCACTCGTCTCCCCCTTCTTAAATATGCATATTAATTCATTAAAATATACTTTTCCCTTCTTCCCGTCGGTTTGACTGTCTGATAAATCTGTTGAAATAAGCTCGGGAATCCAAATTGAGATAAGATGAGATTTCCGTTTGACCTCGGTGAGCTCGTGAGGCAAACGGATAGTAGCTATGGTACATAGTATCCTACTTATATACTATAGTGTAGTCTACGAAATAAAAGGAGATAAATGTAAAATGGAGCCCACAGCTCCAGAGAATGTAGAACCAAAATGATAAGAGAAACGTACCTATGTTGGGTGCATTGCGCACGCTCGCACAGCCTCCCAATATTCTAACACACCCCCTCGAGTGAAGCAATGTGCCAAAAGTGCACCCCTGAATCCAAGAAAAGTCCGAAAAAAAAAATGTGAAAACATACCCCAAAAAATCATCCAAAATCCATGCACCCCCTCAATGTCACAAATCCTCCAAATCTCCTGCGAAAGGGCCAGTCTGTTCATGCTCTTGTTATCCATTCGTTGACCCATGCGAAGCTCCAGTCATAGAATCTTGAAAAGCGATGGCAGACGGCAAAAGAAAAACAATTGAATAGCATGTGCTCAGTGCAGCTACTTGGCGAAGCAGAATCTGGTGTATGGTGGCATGTGGGAGGTGCTTCCAATCAGGAAATGTGAAGCACGGCGATCGGCGAAATGGAAACAGCAGAAAATGATAAGCGCGCACGTACGCACGAAAGGAATCCAGTGTTGAGAAAGCATCCAGCAGCGAAAACAATATCTTCTCCAAAAATTCTTCGACCTATCAAAGGTCCTCCAGACTCTCCCCAGTGGCTCCTCCTCCTTGTAAAATCCTCCAGCTTCTCGGGGCCTCTTCCTCCAGCTTCTCGGGGCCTCTTCCTGCACGTCTCGGTGTCTCTTCTGCATTGTCTTCCTTGTCCTTGGGCATCCCTCAGGCTGCTCAAGCCTAGGGACTTCTGGCGTGCGCTGATCGTCGACAGCGGCTTTTCTTCTGTGTGCACTGATCATCGAGGGCAGCTTATCTTCTGTGGCTGTGTCAGCGCCACGACCGCCTTCTGCAAGTTTAAAGGCGTTGCGGCCTCCTTCTGCCCCGGCATCACGCTTGAGGACTTTCTTCTGGCCCAGCAATGCACTGGCATCGCACACAGGCCTTTTCTTCTGCCTCCAGCGACAAGCACAAGGACTTCTACAGGTGCGCTCCGAGCGAGCGGCTTTCCTTCAGCGGTTCCTTCCGGAATTGGCAAGCGGCGTCAGGTGACGTCAGATCGCGAGTCTTCAACTCCAGCAATATGAGTGGTCGGATGAACAGCGGTGTCAACCAGCGGTGTCAGGCAACAAAGCAGTGGCAAAGAGACAACCACAGGGTAGTATCTTTTACTGACCCACCCCAAGAGGACAGGATCCGTTTGTGTTGAAATAAGCTCAGGAATCCAAATCGAGATAAGATGAGATTTCCATTTGACCTTGGTGAGCTTGTGAGGCAAACGGATAGTAGCTACGGT